TCCCCATTGAGGTTTTCAGCGATCATCGAAACCTGGAATATTTCATGACGACAAAATTATTAAATCGTCGACAAGCCCGTTGGTCTGAATTTCTTTCACGTTTTGATTTCATTATACAATTTCGACCGGGAAAACAAGGAGCAAAACCCGATGCATTAACTAGAAGGTCAGGTGACCTACCTAAAGAGGGGGATGAAAGGTTGACGCATCAGAGCCAAGTGGTTCTGAAGCGAAAAAATTTGGATACAAAGCTAAATTTGTTCGCGGGTTCTTTATCAAATGAATCCGCTGAAGGAATGTCTACTGTGGAGGAGTTATTTTCAAAAGCTTACCAAGTTGATAGTTTCCCAAACGAGATTCTTGTTATGCTCCGGAGCGACGTTCGACATTCAAACAAAATTTCACTTGCCGAATGTACGGAAGACAACAACGATCGGCTACTTTATCGAGGTGCACTCTACGTACCAAATGACAGTGGCCTCCGGCTGAGACTCCTAAAAGAACATCACGATAAACCATCAGCAGGCCATCCGGGTAGAGCAAAGACATTGGAACTCTTAAGTCGGGAGTATTATTGGCCACAAATGCGAAAGTACGTCGATCAATATGTCAGGAATTGTAATGTATGTCCCCGTAGCAAGGCACCATGCAATGCGCCCTATGGAGTTCTTCGCCCAATGCCAATACCCGATGGACCATGGACAGATGTCTCGATGGATTTTGTTACCGACCTCCCTGCGAGTGATGGTTATAATGCGATCCTGGTTGTTGTTGATAGACTAACCAAGATGCGACACCTAATACCAACAACTAAAGAGGTGGACTCGAAGAAAGTAGCAAGGCTATATATCGATAACGTTTGGAAGCTACATGGACTACCTAATATGGTTGTGTCCGATAGAGGAACACAATTTGTTGCGGAATTTTGGAAGTCACTTTGCAAACGCCTGGAAATATCTCCACGATTCTCTACCGCATTTCACCCCCAAACTGATGGACAAACGGAAAGGATCAATGCCATGATGGAACAATATCTCCGAAGCTATGTCTCCTACCAGCAAGATGATTGGGCCCGGCTGTTGGCAATGGCTGAGTTCGCAACAAATAACCATATTTCGGAAACAACAAAAGTCTCTCCTTTCTATGCCAACTCGGGAAGAAATCCCAGGATGACTTTTGGTCCCTTGGAACATGGTAAAACGACAGCGGAAGATCAAGCCAACAGCATTGCAAAAGAGATGAAGGACATGGTGGTGTTTCTGAAGAGCGAGATGTTTCGGGCGCAAAGGATACAAGAGGAGTCGGCTAACCTAAATCATTCTCCTGCCCCTCGTTATCATATAGGAGATAAAGTTTTCTTGTCGACCCGCCATGTTCTAACAAAGCGACCCTCCAAGAAGTTTGATTGGAAACGGATTGGTCCTTATAGCATCAAACGAATCGTCAACCCCTATGCTTATGAGCTAGAACTTCCCCGCTCCATGAAGATTCATCCAGTATTCCACGTTTCATTGTTGTCACCTGAAGCGGGTAACCCATTACCTGGACAACAACAGTCACCACCACCTCCGGTTGAGATCGAAGGAGAGGAACAATGGGAAGTCGAGGATATTGTGGACTCTAGGAAACGAAAGGGTGGCTTTGAGTACCTGGTACGATATACTGGATACGATGATGCCTCTTGGCAACCGCTATCGGACCTTGAGCATTCACCTGATATTGTTCGACGGTTCCATGAAAGCTATCCACGGAAACCTAAGCCTACCAGGAGGTAGGCCTTAGAGGGGGGCGTAATCTGTAACGGCAATATTGTATTTCGGCTAAGGTGATAGATTGGATTGTGAAGAGGAGGTATTGCGCGGTTGAACTATGATTTGTAATGGGGTTTCTGTTATGTTCTTTCGGTTTCCGTTACGTGGGGCATTAGTCATCAACGGACTAGGAGTTGGATATATAAGGGGGCGTTGTCTCGTGCCTTTTGATGTTTTCCTTCCTTTCCTCTTCTTCTCACGGAACCTCTTGTATGTACTCCACGAATATTACTTTTGTTCTACGCCTCGTCATAGGGTTCAACTAGTTGTCATACTAGGTAGAGCCACTCCATAGCCCATAGCCTTGAATACCTATTGCCACGTTCTCACCTCGGTTGTATTCCTTGGCACTATAGTCCCTACGTCCATAGACCCCCATTACAGATAGTTCCTGCCTTTTACTGGCAAACTCTTAATACTCAGAGGATATAGAGGATCACCGAACACTCAGAGCTTCACTCTGGCCGGCCTTCTAGTCATTGGCGAGGCGGAGACTTGTCAATCATTACTCCCATGAATAGATCCTCTTCCTAGCGCTCAGAATGTAGTTGTTCTGACAGCTGGTAGCTAACAGTGGGTTGAGGCACTGGCGTTGAGGTTGGTAGCTATCCCCAAATATTCAAGACTTACCAAAACTTTGTCCTAGTACTATACTCGCGCGTTAATTAAATGGTCGGATGTCGTTGCAACCAAATGTTTTCTAAAATTTCCGATCTTTTAATTAAAGACTGAGTACATAGGTATATATACCCTTATTTTGAATCACTTCAGCATTTATAGAGCTTCAGTTAAAAGGTCCCCAAAAAATTGATACTATACAATAATTAACTACAGTCTTTCTCTACTAGACACATATCATCCACACCAGTCTCTAAATTAGTGATATAGATGCCTTTTCATTTATAGCTTCCGAAGTATAGTAGTTGGGGTCATGAATTATCACTCGTACCCTTTTGCGACCAATCCAATATCTTCTCACGAGTTGGTTTATCCTACGGAAAACCAGTCTGTACCCATCTTCTACGGAACCCTGGGCTCGGCACAGCTATGGTAAATCGGCAGCCATTGTTACCAGCTTTGGTCCAGTGAGAAATACACATTCCATTCCCACACCGAACTCATAAATAGATAGATTGACTCGTTGATTCTGGAGGAGGTTCAACCTAGAAACCATTATCGTAAATCTGGCTAATTGATGTTTAGGTTCAAAGACCAAGTATCAGACATCGATTAGTTGGCTGGTAATTCATTAATTGCAATTGTAGAAGCCCCAGACGTCCACTAGGGTGTCCTTTCTAGATCTCAACGATCATACAATTCGATCGGTAAATTAAGAAAGATGGTGTTACCGCGCACCTACGCTCGAATCCGAAGTCTGCTCGAGGGATCAGTATCCCTGTATAGGGTAATAAAATATTAAAAAAAATCTATCTAAAATCTCGATGCGCATACTATAATGCACTACGCTTTTGCGGCCTGTATTCGTCGTGGTAGACATGTAAGCCCCCCTTAGGAACTAGAGAGTTACAGATCTTGACCTCAGCTATCTACTTACACATGCAAAACTTTAAAATATATATATAGGAGAATATTAATGGGGATCATTATCCGATTATTTAATGTCCTGGTCCCAGAAGAAGTCAATTATTGATAACCTGTAAAGGTTCACATTCCTTTAAATTATAGTAGTAGATTAGTGTTCAAGCGCCAATTGCAACAGCCGACCTCTCCCTCCAGGAGAAGAGGCGTCTTATGAACTCGACTTAAACAGCTGGAGACCTAATTTTGCGAATTTGAGACCGGGTTTGCAAGATAGCTATTGTCAATGGAGTATGTATCTTATCATATGGCCTTCATAGATACATGTATGTGCGTCTTCTTGGAAACTAATCATTGAGTTTATTTTGTATGGTATGTTGGGCGAGCCGCTAGGAGAGGATATTGATTTCTCTGAAGTAGTTAGTTACATGTACTTCTAAATTCACCTATTAGTTATTGGCCAGGCCGATCTTCTTGCTTAACTCAAAAATACCTTACCGTTTCGTAAGTTACCGTTCGTTTGACAGGTGGGTTGAATTTTATTTCCCACCGAGTGATACTTTATGAGCGCCTGTAACCACCCCCCCCAATGTGCGAATGCGTCATGTCCAGTCACTCGTTCGAGGATAAGAGGCTGGTTCTCACCGATCACAGGTAGGCTTAGGTTTTTAATAATATCAACATAACTTATCCACAGAACTCTAAAAAAAAAAAAAAAAAGAAGAAGCGGCCCATCGCCTGATATATACTTTCTCTTGCATATGCGCTTTCATGGCAGGTAATGTTCTCTTATAGCAGCAGGACGGTTTAACTTTGTGATTTCCTCTCCGGTCCTCTTCTTCCCACGCTCAATCCATAATGATAGCTGGGATTATATCCCGGGAACCGAGACACATTGCGTCTTTCAAGATTATAAAGAACTGGAATTGTGAGAGATTAGGAATCCGGATACCAGTCGATGTAGCCCGGATGTGGTAGTTAGGGTGTAATATAGCCTTAGCCCGGCACTAAAAGGACCTCGCATCATACCCGAAAGACCCCTTCCCCTCCTCCCACTCTCTACTCAAGGGAAAAATAAAAGATGAAACAGAGCATACACCTAGAGGTATGCTGATTTCGTTGAAGGGGGTGAGTGACCCGAGTTACATTCCCACCAAAGATTTGGAACAGGCCACTCAACTCTGTCTGATCAGATTGATATTAGGCCTCAGCCCATCTCCTTATATACGCCTGCTGGCTAGTCCAAAAGCCGAACACATAATTCTAGGAAACAGCGAAAGGGACCGATTATCAGGGCACGGAGCTATCTACGTATGAATTTGCTGCGTTATTCCCGTTAATGTGCTAGTAATGACAGTATTCTTTTTGTAATGCCGGTTTAATCCCGTACTCTTCACTGAATCCCGTAGTCATATACTACTGATTTCACCCCCTTTTTTCGTACTGTATGTATGTATGTATACCTTACAGCTTAAGGGAGCAATTCAGATGTACCCACACTGCCAACAAATGGAAAGGAAGAAAGAAAAATATTTTGTTTTGCATGTTGGCCCGATTATACATACATGTAGTCATACCCCAAGCCGACAAGGGAGAGATCGAAAGCCAAATCAACTACGGCATTAATACATCTACGAGTGCCAGAGATGTCTACATTCTCCTGGCAATAGCCATTCTGGCTTCCTTTTTTGTGGGCGGCCCCAGCTCGGCCGAACAGATCCACTTCCGTCCACGGTTATCGTCCTCCAGGGGACGGCCAAGGGGATAGCTATAGTGGATAATCAGAAAGCCCATCAACAAAATTAAAATTTTGGAGAATAGTAGAACTTACTCCTGCTCACTTTCAATTCTTTTCTTCCCCTTTGGCTTGTTCTCATAGATCCTCTTCTTCTCAAAAAAGATGTACCTACCCGTACCCCACCACTCAGCAACCTTCCCAAACCCCAGAACGCATCAAAGTATGGTCAACAAGGGTGACAACTAAAACTTACGCTCCCGTAAAGGTTCCATTCTCCGCCCCCGACCCTTCACCCTTCTTCTCCATAAATCTCCGATAACTATTCGAGTTCACATTTCCAATCTCCTCTCTAAATCTCTTCTGGGTGACCTTTGCGTACTTAGGATCGCGAAAGAATGCCCTTATCTTCCTCCGGATTTCATCGCACGAGTCATAGATGGGCACCTCGCCTTCCTCCTCGCCGGGCAGCTTCACCGCCGTCAGGAAGATGAGAGGGTCCTCTGTGGACGATGAATCATCAGCAGCTGGCCTGGCAGTTTTGGTTTTTGTCTTGGGCGCGGTTGCCACCGCGGTGAACTCGGCGGCGTGCGGGTAGGGAGCTGCGGCGTCCACTACTGGGTTAACTAGTTGTTTCGGTGCGGCCTTGGGCATGGTTTTATGTGGGAAGTGAGTATCGAAGGTAAACAGCTGATTGGAGCCGACACAAGAAGCCCGTTACAATCACAGAGAAATCTGGAGGGACAGAGTGAAATAAAAGCTCTAGAGCAGGTAGGGGGGCACTTAAGTAGGTACATGTATCACCCATCCATCATGGAGTACTGACGTCGCGCACGTGACCCACGTCATCCTGATCCGTGTCCACAGGCTTTTGGGGGAGTTTCACGAATGCATTTTCTTACTCGCTGCTGTAGCGAGCGAAAGATCCCCCCCTGGTCAGTGCTGACCTGACAGACTTCGACTGAACGTGCCCAGCCAGGCCCTAGAGCAGAGGGGTCATGTAGTGCACGTCCGTTTCCGTTTGGTGGGGGTCCGTGCGCCCGGAACATTTACAGTCACTCGAGCCAGGCCAAGGATGGTCTGTAACAGAGATATTATTTCTCTCTTGACGCTTGTTTGAAAAGAAAGCATTGGCCATTTTCCGGATGACACGGGACGACTTGACTAGATAGAGGTTTTCGGTGGGTATATGTCATTGTGATATTGAGCTTATCTTTACTGAGGTTTTGATGAGTTTCTCTACTCTATGCGCGGAATGGCCTAAGCTTCTAGAGATGATAATCTGCCGGCTCAATGAGTACAAACCCCACTCTCAACAGTCCTACGTTGAACATAAATACTTGGGATCATCGAGCCAGGAGCAAAGCTAGCAACAATCTCGAGGCCACCAGCTCTGGGAGTTACATATCATCCATTATCACGACAAGGATTTGTCCCAAAACATTTAGACAGTGCGATTGATTGTACGAGACCTCTATATGACTGATCCCAGAAACTTTTTCATGGCAGGGTTTGATGGAAACCACCCCAACCACAACTTTTCCTGTCCGAAAAGAAAAAAAAAGTAAAAAAAAAAAAAAAAAAAAAAAAGAACAAAAACTCCTTCAAGCTTTGATATCCATACTCCAACCACAACAACCTGTCCCAGCCAATTACCTATTGTAAAAAAGAAAGAAAAAGATTTAAGAAATAACCCCCGTGAAATTACTGAAAGAAACCCTGCAAAACCTTAAACAATTCGTGCCCCACCTTGAAAATCTCGTATACACGACAGGCTTTTTTAGAGGAAACCTTCGTTGAAAAAGAACATGAGCACAGAAATCAGGAAAGAGATCTGGTACAACAAAATAAGCGTTCATCATATCGCCATCAAACAAATAAAACTCTGCAGGAGGTATAGCCAAATTCAAAATCAAAGGATATCAGGCCCAGAAATACCATCACAGGAAATACATTTTGCTTCTTCCAACAAACAAACACCATCAAAGCGCAAAAAAGAGCTTGTGCGACAAATAATCAAAATAAAGAATAGAAGTAGAGAATACGGAAGGAAACCTTGTCCCTACTCCACAGATTTCCACTCTTTTTGCAACGAATCGAGTCTTTTATAGAGGTCGGCTGTAACAGCATCCACTCCATTATTATCATGCCTAGATGAACCTCCGTATGATTGCCCATCCTCGCCCACTCGTACCATAGCGTTAGGATAACGAGGACCGCCCACTCTCTTCCTCGCCGCAATAAGGTCATTGATCTCCTTGGACCTTTCCAGGATATCACAGTAGATCTTTCCTCTCTCAACAGCTGCATTCACAAAGTGATGCAAATCTCGCATATGACAAGCCTCCTCCCATATCTTCTTCATCCTCGGAGAGTAAAGATCGCAAGCTTGAGGCTCCGGGGAAAAACGGGCATGGACTGTCATAAAATGGGCCAATGGACTTTCCCGAACGTGTTCAAACCAACATTCCTCGCAAACCACGAAATCGTCCGTTCCGTACCACTTGGCTCGCGCCAGGAACTTTCCTGGCTGACAGGGTGGGATCGCAGCGCGGGGGATAATGTAAGAAAGAAAGAGACCGAAGTCTTTCCAGTTCGCAGCCTCCCCAAGCTTTTCTAGTAATGGGAGGAATCGTGGGCTCTCTGGGGTTAAGCTGCAGACCCGCACGACCGAAGAGTTGTAGCTGGGACTGGAAGGGTCTGAGTTATTCACATATATCACGTGTTGGAAGTATTGGGCTAGGTTGAGCGGTCTGATTAAGGTGAAATAGCAGGTTCGGCAGCACTTGAAGTTTTCGAGGCAGGGGTCATGATGCTGAAGCGTATACCACTCTCCCCCTACAGCATGATCTGGGAATCCTTTAGCCGTGCAAGGCGGAAGGTCGAAGACAGCGCGGGCCGCTTCCCACCAAACCGCATATTGCCCCCTTTCGACGGCAAGAGCCCAAGGCCCTTTGATATTGAAGTTTGACATTGCACAGGTGAGGAGCTGCGAGGATTGAGCTGCAGGTATAACGGCTTGAATAAATTGGTCTTTAAAGTGTGGCACAATATCATCGCAATAGCAAGCATCGCAAACAGTGAGTCCTGGAATAGGATCCTTCGGAACCCACCAGTTTTTGCCGGAGCTCTTGACAGGCGTTTTCCCAGGGCAAGGGGAAACTTCATTGAGACGATATAGGGCGATATTCCGGAATTCGTCCCATTGATCTTGCCCGGTCTGATCCTGATACTTTGAAAGTTGAAGCATGCCACCAGCGATGAACGGGATTGCTAGATCACATGTCCATACTTTATCTTCTGGCACAGCATGAACCTGACTAAAGCAGCCTGCAAATGCAGTTGCTAGTACGATATCGTTGTAACACGCATCGCAGCACCGAAACTTTGGTATCGATCCGTCATAAACTTTCCAGCGTTTTGCTGATGGTCCGCCAACTGATGTACCTTCAACGCCATTGCAGGGTGGTATCGTGGATCTCATGGCTGCATAGTCTCCGAGGGTATTGAAATTGCCCGTTTGTAATACGTGCGGCCAAATTTTCTGTAATATTCGATCCGTGTTGAAATGACATGAGGCGTTCTCGCCATAAGGTTTATCGGAGGGGATAAAGTGAGCAAAGAATGGCGATGGGTGTATATGTATATAGTAGCAACTTATACAGATATCAAAGTTTGGAATTGACGGTATCTGGAACCACCTATTCCAGTGGACAAGTGTCTTTTTGGGGCATGTCGGAAGTAGCTCAATAGGAGGAGCTGGATCCCTCTTTGGCGGTGGACGCAGTTGTGTTTGTTGGACGGGAGACGGCGGAGGCGGTGTCTGTCGGAAACGTGGTTGAGGGCTTGGACGTGGAGGTGCTTGTGACTCCAATGGTGGGGGCTGGTATCTTGTTTGAGGATTGGGTGAATGAGTATATGGCCTTGGCTCACGCGCCGCTGGGGGCGTGGGTTCTGGTTTCGGAGTTTCTGATTTCAAAGCATATGGACGGGGCGCCCTAGGTTCTGGAGGTACTCTGGGTTCTTGAGGTACCCTATGTTCAGGAGGCGCCCTAGATTCTTGGGGTACCCTATGTTCTGGGGGTGCCCTATATTCTGGGGGTGCCCTATATTCTAGTGGTGCCCTAGAGTCTTGAGATGCCCTGTGTTCTGGAGGTGCCCGAGAGTCTTGAGATCCCCTATGTTCTTGAGGTGCCCTAAGTTCTGGAATTACTGGCTCAGTAGTATCAGATATAATGGAGTATGGTCTTGGCTGCCGTACTATTGGAGGGACAGCTGGCGGGGGTGGTGAATTGTTACTGATTGCATAGGGCCTTGATTTTCTGGTGGATGTTTCATTTCCAGGCGAATCTGGGTCTGAGCTTGAGTCAGAATGTTCAAAATACTGGAGAGGATGATTTCTCCATGAATCCGACTTCACAAGAGTTGGTTTGATGAACTCGGTTGCCTTATTTATGGGCTTTGAATCTTTCGGGGGTGGAGCTTGTTCAAGTATCGGCTCCGGCTTGTAATCGTCTGGCAGAGGCTCGTTCCTCAACCGGGCCTTAACCTCAGCTGAGAGGGTAGAAAAGTAGCCCTCATCCTCATCAAGTACATGCTTAGAATCCGGGGAAAGAGTTGCAAAGGAAGCTGGGGAAGGGGGAACGCTCTCCACACTAGGTGATTTATACCCTGGGGGCCTTTGTGGGACCCCAATGCGCTTTGGCCCATTATTTCTCTTACGGCCCGAAGGACGGCGCTGTTGTTGCGGCTCTTCAAACCGCAAACGAGATATATCCGGCAGGCCCTGTTGCTGGCGCCGCGATGTTGACGAATGCGAGGAGTTTGAAGAAACAGAGGAAGAGACTGATGACCCCGATGACAGTGATATAGGGCGATATTGTTGTTGATACTGGCCTCTTTGTTGGCTATAAGGGTCAGCACTTTTAGGTTGTTGAGGGTAACCCGATGGAACACCTGACGTTGTTGAGGTCTGGATAGGTGGCGGATTGTGTGGAGGTGGATGGTGTACAGAGGGCTGGCGACGAACGTTTAGACGGTCGAAGACTCTAGGCTCCCTTCTATATCCAGGACTAGAGGCAACAGAGTGCAGGTCATCTTGAGGAGGTGGTGGATACTGAGAGGACTGATTGAAGTTCACAGGAGGGGTAGGCGGAGGCGGGGGTGGGGGTGGAACATAGGTGGAAGATGAAGATTGAGGAGGGTACGGCCCCGGGTGATACGGATTCTGTCGGGGCGGCGGGGCGGAAGAGGACGCGGGGTAGCGTCCAAAGGGATGAGACGACATCGTAGCTGGCTGAAGCCGAGCCGACCTGGACGAAACGGAGCTGGGACGAAAACTAGGGCCTTAATTTAGTTGTATGTGGGTGTGTGTGTGGGGTGGGAAGACGATGATGGGGGGGGGGGAGGGGAGGGACTCTTGATGAGTGAATGAATAAATGAGTGATGCGTTTGTGAGTTTGTGATTGAGGGAAAGAGTTAGAGAGGTAGTAGGTTGGAGAGAATGAGGGGAAGGGCGGAAACAAGCGTCGCCTTCGGTGACGTCGGCTACCGTGATAATGTGAAGTCAGTAGTACATCCAGTGTCCTTCTTTTCTATCTGGCTGTGTGTTTCTCAGTCTGTCTGTCTGTGTGTCACGTCACTGGTCCAGGCACAAGGGATAGGTCGATCTTTCGAAAAGTAGAGAGATAGGTAGATAGATGGATTAGATGGATAGAGCCATCACTTACTCAACCTACGAGTCTACACGGTAGTGCGTATGAGCTCTTGAGTCTTAGCAATTGGTGCTTTTTTTATTCCTACTTATCCCTCCTTACTTCTAACTTTTTGCTACAGGGCTTCCTCTAACATTTCCTGGAGGACCAAGTGAGAGACAGGCGGGCAGGGACGGACAGGCAAGACTGTTTCGTTTGCTCTTCATGAACTCTAGTTCAGTAGCAAGAACATTCTGGAAGGGTTGGGAGTAGTAACGGGGGCGATTAGAGTGCGGGGATTGGATGGCGCCAGCGTGTTTTACTCGCGATTTCTCCGATCTACTTCGCCCACCAAGACATGTTGGCCCTGTGTTACCATGAATCGATACTTCGAGCCTCCACTGGATTCTTCTAGGAGACGCCAAGTAAAAATATTTTATCTCAAACTCGAAACTAACTTTGGCAGCCTCAACCAGGTGGGGTGACTATTGAGTATTGTCCGCACTTTTTGTGCAAACGGACCTTCTATCGATCACCGCTCGGCTCCACATGATGGAATCATGCCTTGGGTTTTTCCAACTCTTGTTCGCTGCGGACATCAGTCATTTTCACTGCTCGGAATAATGATGGATGTTGTTCCCGTCTTTACTGACTCACCCGCCAATGATATCAACGCGGTGTGTTGGTACACACATATGCAGGCTATTGAGGGGAAATCCAAGTGATTGGTGGTAATCGGTAAAAAACAGATCTAGATCTCCTTTAGAGATGCCTCAAATTGCAAAAGTGTAGGATGCAAATTCAGGTTACAACTGAAATACCATAACTCACATTTGCCTGAGCAGTGATGATGAAACGGGTAGACCGTGTGCACCTGTGCCGAGAATGTACCTGTGCCGAGCATCTTATCTGATCTCTAGGGATCCACTCCAAATGGTGGCTAAAATGCTGCCTTTATTATAAGGTGCTCGGCACAGGTACATGCTCGGCACAGGTGCACACGGTCTAGCGAAAGACTCACACCGGCTCCCCAGAGATATTCCTATATCTAGATGCGGAGTAGTAATGTGTTCAAAATCGTTTACCCGGTTATAATTACTTCAAAGCAATCAGTAAGGAAAGAACCTAGACATGCATCTATATTACTAACCAACCAAGCAATGCATACATGTATGTGGACAACGAGATACAAGTCGCTGGCAGCAAAGTCAAAGTTCCTCAAAACATGACTAGAGCAGTTCCTCTAAACAAGGAGACTAACTGTTTTTGTCTACTACATAATTTAATCTAACAAACAGATTCAACAGTTGCCAAGACCTAACTATTCTACTTCCAAGAGTAGAGAGTGGAAATATCCAATAGCAATTAGTCATATTAGGAGCTAATAACACACTGATAAATGCGTTATCAGAACAATTGCTAACTGTAGGGTTTCCAGTCTTGATATACCAACTTCACTTGGAAATTTGAAATTCAAAGAAGCCAAAAGTGGTTATATTATGTGTGGTCAACATACATCGCTGGGGGTATTTCCTTTCAATCATTCTTCTCCCGCAACAAATTCGTCCAACTATTTCTCTCTTCTCTCATCTAAGCAGATACATATTGCCGCTATCATCGCAGAGTCCACTGCATTTTCAAATAGGGGCTGTTAGCGTTGAGTATGCGCGCACAAATCGAGAGAAAACCTTACCTCGGGGTGCGACAGTCAGGAAATAAGTCTGCTGATCAAAGAACAACTCCCCGCTGTTCAAAATCTTATTTTTGATAGTGGCTATGGTTCGCCCCTCACATGATATGGTCGCGTTCCTTCTGAAAAACTCTCCCTTGATGTGCAATTCCATTTCTTTTCCATCTGACCTATTTCGGAAATGTACCATCATTTCCGGGGATCCAAAGAGCTTGAACTTCCCACGAACGGTAACGAGCTGCTCGCTATCCGAATCTCCCGCGAAAATTCGAAACTCTTTGTGCAGCGAGAGAGGCTTTTGTGTAATTGTCAGGACAGGATTTCCACTGGCGGGATCAACCAGAACTGTTCCACTGTTAGAAATAGGGTCGCAACTAATTGGGTCAAAATATAAATCCAGTACCTTTCTTCCCAACAAAGGAGACAAGGCTTGGGTTAGCCTTTAGAAATCCTTGACCGTCTACGGTCGTGATCTCGAAACTATCACCCGTGAGTGATAGTCTCTTTTCTCGGAGTTTGAGAATTAGTGGAGTTTCGTGGCGACAGTATGGTTCGAAGATGCCAAGGTTACTCGGCCAGCTATAACAGGATCAGTTACAAGTTGAATAGAGAGGTAAGAATGATCATGATCATACGCTTGGAGGGTGTCTTGTGCGTTACTCATTCTGAACTCTGAGTTCTTTGGATCAGGTGTTCGCGTATTTTTGAAATATAAGTTTGTTCGGTAACTCTGTTGCTTTTAGGTACGAATATGGGTGCCTGACTAAATGATTAAAACCCAAAAGACTCGAATATGGCCTCTTATTATATAGGGGGCTCAACCCAAACAAAGGATTGAGTCCATTAATAGCGTGGAGAGGCGGTTGCACGGGTGGTGTTAATACAGCCTCGCGAACATCCTTGACACTTACTCCATCTGATTAAAGGAATGCGGATCCAACGATGAAGCCACTGAAGCTTAGAGTCTTATCCTTCTCAGGGATCATGATCGACGGGTTTGTCCAGTGGTGTACCTCAGATTGGCGAGTAGTGGCGTCTAAACGACGTCTCGGACCCCCGAATCGAGAGCTTCTAACGTTTTAGACCGGGTTCTGTGTCAGACATAGAAGAGTGTCAATCCCATACAAATTTGTATGGGGATTTCTGTTGCCAAAGCTATCTCCACCATCTCTTGAGATATTTACTGCCAGATTTTTAACAAATGAATTCCATTTAAAAGCACACGGATTAGGATGGTTTCCAGATGGATTATCCTCTATTATGGTGTTATGGGGTCTTCTTTCTTTTTGGGGGCTTTGTGTCTGGTTTTGGTGCCGTTGCCATGCGACACACTTCTAGGTCTGACACAGTACTGGGTCGAAAACGTTATAGCTAATTTATGAGTATGCCTTTGTCAACCTCCAGAACAAGTTTTACATACCTTCCAGAAACCGTAATGATTCAATGGAAAGATTGAGTAATGTTCTACTCAAGTGGCAGAACGCTACAGGAATGTACTATCACCAAAGCATCAGGTGTTTCAAAAGCTGCAGTCTCCTCGTGCTACGATAGACTCACAGTAGCGCACGTGCCAGAGAGTGGTTCAAACATCTGATTGATCCTTGAAGAAACATGCCAAGCTCAGACGTTGCAAACAAAGCGTTACATTACAATGTCTACCAATCAAACGGGGATCTGAGTGGATTGATCGTCACTTTACAGCTTCAAGTGGAGGAAGTTTAATGGCAGTTATCCCTAGACAAGTAGGTATCAGGTCAGTGGGGTTAAAAGCAGCCCATGGTCAATAGCTACATACATACATTCAATACACACTACCAAATCCTTGAGACTTGACAACTCAACTCAACTCACCGCCATAGTTAAATCTATTTTTGGGATCCAATGATCTAGATCTTTTACAGTGCTTATTTAATCTAAATTGAAGCAGGTCTCTCCGAGAAACATTCCCGACCATTGTTGAGATCGGTAACTTTGTATCAACAACATGAGCTCAGCCCTACCACTCATCCATGGCCAACCCTAGCTACCGGGCTGCAGTCTTAGACAATTTCAAGCTACTCTAGACACTAGGCATCGCGTAATTCACAGCCGTGCTGTAGCTAGCTGTAGCAAGGCGGAAATATGTGCGCGTACTTGCGAAGACGGCACTTGAGCTTCGGTGATTCGGTTGATTCAGAGGAGTGGGAACCATCGCCTGATCCTGTTCATGAGATGTTTCCTTGGCGTTTCAATTGAAGAATCGAGGCGTGAAATCATGCAGTGACACAGACTGACTGCAAAGCAATGCAGAGCGATGCATCAAATAATAAGGTTAATACAGCTCTATTATGACTACTAATTAAATCCAAAATGCCCCGGGATCAATGGCTACGGTCGATGCATGATACATGTATCATTGCTGTTACCAAGTGGACTACCAATATGGTTAGTCAGCAGTTAGCAACACTGCGTTCATGTCTAGACCTAGCGTTGTCTGAGTAGAACATGTATGCCAGACCAACTGGTATATCTTCGCGGTTGGGGGCTCTTCCTCCCCCTTTCACCAATCAATTCGTCTACAAGCATTACATTAAACGTGACTTTCTTCAATTGCAGCCAAGTCTACATAGATACTGGACCTCTATCTTCAATGGTGCCCCTCCAGCTGATTCAAAGACTCAAAGAAAGAGCAGTGGCCGCAATAAGACTACATCTACTCTCTTACGACTGATCGGCAAGATAATTCCTTCATACGTAGTTTATTGAAATATTTCCGTTAACAATCAACCACTCTAATACAATCATCAAATATCACTCGCCTGCTCAGTACAACTCAATCGCATCCACGATATAGTTCGCACTCAAGAAACCCGCATCCCCACTCCCCGTTACGCCCACAACCAGGGTATTCTCTCCAACTACTAATGTTCCCGCCGGTACATCCCACTCATAACTCTCCCCGTAACCCCTGTACCCGCCTCTGGTCACACCCCTCGAATCAATCAACACCGGCGCGCCCGGATCCGCACCCGTCCATGCACCGTTAATCACCACCGACGGCCTCCCAGTCTTAAACGACAGCGTCGTCGCAATCCTCAACGTCCTCTTCGCGGTACTGGTCGCCATAAACTTTATCGTCGCTGGCCCCCCGGTCTTTGCAAACAGCGCCATCGGGAAGTCCGCCGCCGTCGACACACCCACAGTATAGTTACCGCCCCATGCAGACATGCGGGTATCCGACGGATGCATCCCAAGGAACTTGTCACCGTTCTTGAACTCGAAGGGCTGGCCATCGAACTCGCCGATGCGGAAGACGGGCGATGCGGCCACGACCTCGGTGGAGGCGATGTTACTCGTGGTGCTACCGCCAACGGTCACGGTGACGGTCTGTGTGGCGACGAGGAGCTCCTGCTTGTACAGCTTCATGGTATAGGTACCGGGCTTCATGTAGGGCTCGTGTAGCTACCAGAGGTACTGGCGCGTGTCCAGTACTGGTTCTCGGTGTTGGACCAGGCGATGACTGCCTCGAATCCCTACGGGTTGTGACGAGAGGTAAGACATTGTTTTGCAAATAGGGAGGAAATTGGATGGGATAGTCATACCGATGGAACACCAGAGGCAGTCCCGGTCACACGCCCACGGCCCGACTGCGGGACATAGCCAAGGATATCAAGCCCACTGAAGAAGCTGGTATCCAGGGTGCCAGACGCTGGACCCGTGCTTGAGAAGACAGCTGCGTAGGGGCCCTTTAGACCCATTCTCCAAGGCTCGGTGCGGAGATGGCCCGAGTTCATGTAAAACGTAAACTCCTGCTGCGTCGATGTTTCTACAACTAGTCAGAGACTTTCCTACACAAGTATAGAGAATAATCCTACGAACCTTGGTTATTGATATCACGCATGAAAGGACCACCGGAGGAGGTCTCATACGCCGTTCCAGGCATCACGAGTGATATATAAACTCCTGCACATAGTCGCCGGGTGTCAATGATTATTCACTCATTAAATCTGCACTGGGAGCGGGGGTAATGATTACCAGGCCCAGAAACGGTGTGCACCAAGTCGTCGATAAACCGATCCGAGCTGTAAAACTTACACCTCGTCGTCCCGTCGGCCAAGAACACATCGCTCCCCTCGATGGCCACGCCGCCCGTGTTGTCACTCGCTGGGTCGCGGATGCTGGTTGGCAGGTTCGTCTTATCTAGCCTTGCCAACCACCGCAGCTCTCCGGGCGACACCTCGCCCGTGATATATGTCCCCATATCTACCCCAACTCTATTAGCTACCAGTCCATACTCCCGGGGGCTACAAAAAACTCTCAAGTCATTCACTACTTACAGATCACACTGTCCCCCTTCTTCGCAACGTAATACTGCGTCACCGGATTTGCCGCCGACACGATCGTAATCTTAATATAATCACTTCCGACCGTCGCTGCCGTGACCGTACTCGTTCCCAGGCCCGAATTGATATGCGTCCATTTGCCCTCCTTCGACTGGTAGTCGACCGAGTTGTATACAAGCGTCAAGATGTCGCCCGTGGTGCGGCTGACGGAGAAGACGAGCCCGCCATCAGTATCGACGGTGTATGCGCTACTGGTACTGGTGAGCTGGAACGCGCCGAGTACAGAGGTCGCGGCGTGTGTGAGGAGGACGGCGAGGGGGAGGGCGAGCTTCATTGTGTGGTAGCTAGCTATAGCTGATTTGGTATCTGGGGGCTGCTACTTGGGTTTCAAAATGGGCGGTGGCATCATGGACTATATAATTATCTGCATCGATATACGTGATATCCAGATCTGCAGGAACGACTGCTTAGATGGATGGACTCGGGGGAATAGCGCACGCAAAGGCGAGGATCACCGGACCGTCCGCTCCCCCGGCTGCACGTGCGGGAAGAGCGATCGCCGTCCCTTGCAGGCGACACTCGGTAAAATGGGCCCCGACCAAAGAAATGGCCCCCAGGGACTGCTTTCTGCGAAGAGGATCACTGACAGCTTAAGCTTAACTGGATCAAGGTTAAATACATGTAGAGCTTGTCCTTCCTCTTTGGGCTTTGTTACTGTTGGGTGTATTATGTAACGGGTGCCTGGGATGCCAAAAGGTAATGATACTTTCACACCTTTTCTGCACAAACCTCTCCCCTCCCCTCCTCTTTCCCTCCCCCACACACACAGACATACATTCGTGACCAAAATAAAGACAAAGAAGAGACAGACAGACAGTGTTTGGCTGTTTAAATGAGAGACAGAACGAACAAAAAAAGAAATATGTAAACAGAATTCCCAACGCCTGAGCCACCCGCGTGTATATATGCCACAAAACCTGCTGACGGAAAAACCCAAAAACTCCTAGCTATCCAGTTGATCCTAACTCTTGACAAAACATAGAAACCCCCCAATCTCATCTCAATTAACCCCTCTGGCGAACCTAGTATTCACCGGACTGACCGCTGGGGACCTCACCAGCCACGAATTGCTTCTCTGGTAATGACTCCCCCTCGCCGATACCCTCGCGTACGAGTCCCCCTTCTGGATCGGAATCACCTCGTCGTTAACCCCAAAAGCCGCATGCTTCAGATTCGCCCCCGTCGACGAAATCTCGTCAATGACCCCGAATTGAAATTCCTTCCGCTTAAGCTCTTCCGGGAAGGGGTCGCCGCCGAGGCACACGCCCTCGTATTCCTCGACTAGCCTATCTATGGTGCGATTTCGGGTTGTGACCATAATCTTGGAGAACGTAGTATCCGATGTGATACCGTTGGAGCGTAGTGATAGCCCGCCGACGATTATACAGGCGAGAGCCATTACGATGGAGATAGCATATCCACTCCATAAACTGTTGACCTGGTATCGAAAGTTGTTCTGGGTGTGGTGCATGACGCAGGCCACGGTTGTGTTGTAGCTGATCCCCAGGTAGTTCTCCGACAGCAGGGAGATGATGATTTCCTCAAAGTACGTCTGGAAGGCGTTGCGCAGGTCGCGGCGGGCAAGGGCGCTGTCCGGGTTGACGAGCTTTGTCTGCGAGATGAGCGAGAATGTGCGCACTTGCTCGGTGTAGTTGTCTTGCGTGATCTTGCCCACAATCTGCTTCCGGGCAAGCTGGCCGAGCCCGTGGTAGGCGGCGTATTCCTTGTAGTTGGAGTCCGCGGGGCGCACCTCCCGCTGTTGTGGGTTGATTGCGACGCCGTTTGAGATGTTGACCTGCTTGTTGACTTGGACATTGTTGATGTACTCAAACTCAATATCGTAGCGGGCCCGCTGTAGCTCGCACTGCATGAGGTGCTGGTGTAGTTTAAAGGGCCAACTCGAATTATAACCCTCTGACTCGGGAGAGAGTCGATTAGTGGTGTTGGTCACCCATCCCAGCCAGATCTTTGGCTCGTTGTAGAATATTCCCTGGCTGCCAATATCGTTTGAATCATAGCCTTTCTGCGGTCGTTGGTAATCAACGCTGTCCTCGTCCATGAAATACATCTTGTTCCCCTTTGGCGCCAATGAATCGAATGTATCGTTCTCCGTCAACGGGTTCAGGTCCTTGGTTAGATCCGCCCCTCTCTTCATCGTGCAGTTATACCACGGGCCCTCGAAACCAAGCTCCCAAGTGCAATTGAATCCCATGCACGGTGACTTCATAGGAATAAATGTATGCGACATGGTAGTTAGTGTAAACAAGCGTACAGCGTTAAAGCTGGGCTGGTCAAACCACTCTATCTTATCCTTGACCTTCGCCTCATAAGTCGGCGTGACGTTCCAGAAGGCCAATGATTCGCCGGCCCGGAATCGGGGTTTGCGCCAGTCATTGATGTTCTCGGATGTGAAGTTCACGGTGTGCACCTCACAGCTGTTGTTTCCGCCAACGATGTATGCTAGCTCGGTGGTGAGTGCTGCGGGGGACAGGACGGAGGCAAGTGGGATAATCCTTTTTTCATTTAGGAAAGTAAATAGTCAGAATTGCCTATGGCTTTGAGTTTGTGATATTTGTATATATGCGAAATGATCATTACCAGGTGATGACTGCCATTGCAGTGGCTAGCTTGGCTTTCTTATAGATTTCGGGGGAAAAGAAATGCGTAGGGTCCTCTACTACCGCAAATAAACTATCAATGCCCCGCAGAGTAAGTGGCTTTCGCCGCATTGTATCCCAGATACGTTGTCTGTGAAGGGAAAGGTAAGAAATCGTTAGCGCGAGCCCGACAAGTAACGCCTGCTAGGCAGCCAACAGGCATCCCCATGCAACCACGATGCCCAGGGCAAAGCTGGCAAGGAAGGCGCTTGAACAAACCTGTACGCAACCACCACGGACCCCACCAACATGGCTTTCGTAAAGAACGCCAACGCCGTTCCAATTCTCATCATCATCAACTGATCCTTCGCTTCCTTCCCATCCAACGACTGGTAAAACAAGTGATGCGCGAGCGCCCCCAGCAGACCCAGAAACAGCAACGTCACCATTGTCGACGGAAGAAACCAATGTATCTTTGTTCCCCACATCATCTGCATCTCCTTCGACCTAACCCTCTCCAACCTTTCCATGGAACTTGTTCCAGAGTAACATGTTTCCACCGCTGTGTTGGTACTTGGTTGACTGACGCTCCGGGACGGAATCGAGCTATATCCGAATTTTGTCCTCAACGCAGGCGGGGATCCAGGCGTGAAGAACTCTGGAGCATTGGTTCCTGGGCTGGTAAGGGGAGAGAGATTCCCATACATTTCATAATCTTCCCGTGGTTGTGCCATTTCTACCGTGCTCGCGCTTCTCTCTTCGTGGTCAGTTCCTCACTGCCAGGAGATCAACGAGTGGCGATGGCTTTGGGAGAATGGTCTTGAGGTTAGTACGTATACCACTGATTGCTTGTGCTATCTGGCGAGGAATATAGATGAAAGACAAGGGCATGTGGTGACAGAACCGGGGGTTTATTCGTCGAGCGAGCAGTCAGTTGCTTGAGCCGCAAGAATCGGCTTTCAGAACCTCTTTATTCTCTACCACCTTCACAAGCCTGCCTGTAATCAGCAGAAAAACGGCAGGCGAAGAAACCAGTTCAGCTGTATTAAAAAAAGGCGTGTTAATGCCAGGAACCCCGGTGATATTAAAGGTGTGTGTGGTTTCGAGTAATAAACTCTAGAGCTATATTGGCAAATAGAGGGGTGCTTGTGGCGCGTTCTGCCCTATGGAAACGATGATCAACCTTCAGCCAAACAAAGATGACCATCCCCATCGCATCCGCCCAGCGTATCATATAAAGTAACGGGACCAGAAGCACAGTGAGGTACGGCTGTTCGGCCAACAATGTATACATATACTTATGACAAGTTCTCTCTGCTGCAAAATGCCGTATCTTTCTATATGTATGTACGCCCACATGTGGTTTCCACAAGTATTATTAAGTCATTCGTTTAGACCGAACGGTGTACAGCCTACGTACTGCCAAAAGAAACTATGTCTACAGTTAAGATACTGCTAGCAGAGCTTGCTTGACATAGGTATGTACGTACTCTATGTATTTAAATGTTTCGATCCGGATTCCAGATCCTCAGCCCTTCAGATGTGCTTCTAAAAACGTACGCACAGGGCTGAGGCCGAATAATAGATGGTGGGGAAGCTTGTTCCCGTGTGGTGCCAAATATGTCTCATTGGCCCGACCAAGGTCGTTTAGCGAAGAACCCTAACCTCCGTGAAACCGGCTGTTGCATAGTGTTAAGAGATATATATCTACCCCACCAGAAAGCACTCATTGCATCAAGGGACGTTTTTTCGTGCGGATGATGGCTGTCTTAACTGCATAGGTGCAATAAAATATCACTTATGATACTTTATTATCCAATTCGGATTGAAACATCTACAGTTTCCCTCATCCAAAACCCAGTGTGCGGCGTCATTAATACCAGAGACGTTGAAATAAGCTCTGTACGAGAGGAATTAGCTGCGGCGTCGAAATCGGCTCGCGCTTGGCGGTGTTATGTAAGGGCGAGACTATGGAAGGTCAAACATCAGCCAATCATGTAAATGCTTGCTTGACTAAGTACTATTAGGGCTAGTGTCTGCTTACCTCCCATTGAACATTACAAGTACAATATTCGTTATTTTAGGCAACTGTCGACAGTGCAAGCTAGTTGCCGGAAATCCATGTGTTCCCCGATGTGCTGGAACCAGTAGATTGTTCTAGACGTGCGATGATGGATGAGGGCGAAACTTGTGCCTGGGCCCTCTCCGCACTCGTGTGAAACAGTAAGCCAGGGAGTGTAACGTAGAAATAGCTATCAACGAATCCCAAGAGGGTGGGATTACGACGGGTACGTGATACCTTAGACCGTGATCCTTTGTGAACCACTCAGTCCCTCAAGATGCGAATGATCTTTGAAAGCTTATATTGGCTGAGCATTATCCTTCAATTGAAGAGGTACCTTGTGTACCGGAATATGAGATCATTTATTAATAGATTGATAACGATATCGGTTCTGGCAGAAACTCGGAAAAAGCTGTTGGCAAAACAACCTTTTACCAACAAAAGAGTAACCAGCGAGGCTCAATATGGCCGCGACTGTGCGGCCAGATGCGTGCTACGGTATCCAGGGTAAGTGAGTAGAACAGCATATTAAGTGTGGCGGTTCATATCCGCAAGAAAAGTAGAAAAATAACTGCTCAAGCCACGCCACCACATTATTATTTACCCTGGATACCGTAGCACAGCATCCATAGTTCCCAGCTAAATGAAATCCCATACCACTAATCGTTATCACGGGCTTCGTCAGTGTTCGTATATTCGGATAGCATCCTTTTAAACATAACGCCAGAATGCTATGTTCTTACCACCCTGTAGTTATGCATCTATCCATTTCGCCGACCATCAAATACCACCAGCATCTTCCATGCTCACCCAGTAACCCCTCGGTGGCCTGGGGTAATTATATGACCTACCTCTCAAGTTTTCACACATGACAATTTTGCCTGAACTTGATACATAGAGTAAGTTAAGTGCTGTGGAGGCCCGAGGGTCTTGTGGTGCAGCTTCGCAGACTTTTGTCATTTAACCAAAGTAAGCTAGGTGAATGCATGTAGTGCGACATTAGCCCATTTCAATTGGATAGTCTCACATACATATACTATCAGGTTTACTCGTCGTTTTTGTACCCTTAACGACAGCGATACCGGCTAGCTGCCAAGCCATCACATGCAATCATGAGCGATCACTCACCGTCATCGTAACACAATGTTCATGATTTGGGTAAGGCAAAAGGTTTAATATCAGGCCGAAAGTAGGCTAGAACACCTGAGCATGGTCAAAGGTGTTGATGCTGATATGGGGTAAGTATAAGCCACCTGTTCCGCCACTTTGACCGCCCATCATTACTGTCTCGGGCCACGCACACACAAACTTACAAAATACTATCCCATAGTCCGTCAATGCTGCCCCTATAGTACAGGAATTAAATTTGTATAGGAGACCTCTTATTTGATAAGAGAGATAACAGGATCTGTTAGTAAAGCCACACACAATTTGCTTTTTCTGGGGGGGGCAGCATTTTTGACGGACTATGGGATATAAATTTTCTTTCTCCTCTTTAATGGCTAAAGCTTAATAATCTCAGTCGTTCTACGGGGTTGGGGGTAAGTGAGTAGAACGTGGTGGCTTAACCTTAACAATCTGGGCACGAGACTATAGCTAGGATAGCTAGCGCAGACCCACTTTCCGGGTCTAACTTTCGAGAAGGCATGTACAAACCCAAGTAGATCATCAGAACCTGGATAAGAGTATTATCTCAATATGAAAGATTTTCGAAATCACGGACACCTTCGAGGTACATATATCTCTACATGTATTTATTTACGTATCATAATGTATCATTTCCTACACTCAAATCCCAAATATCCAAATATATATCAGAAAAACAAAACAGAAAAACTCCTCCTAAATACAAAGCCCCGCAAAACATGAATAACCCAATCCGTAAGCTAGCCAAAAATTAAGCAGATCATAAAATAAATAATACAAGGAAAAGAGAAATAAAAAGAAATCTATCGTCCACCAATCTGTCCCTTAGGAATAGGCGGAATCCAAGAAACACTCATATTTACGCCAATGCAAATGGCGCCAATAATCATGATGACTTTGTCATATTGCGTACCGTTGTAGCGGAAGATGACGGAAAAGATTATACCACCAAAGTTTCCGGTTGCACCAACGACACCAGAGAGGATACCTGAAAGAAAGACAGTTAGTACAAGGTTCATGGGAGTGAGAGAATGAATGTTAAACTCACCATTGGCAAATGGATGCACATGAGGCACGATGGCAAAGTTTGCTCCATTAGCGGCATCCATGAAGAACGCCAATCCAGCAACCAGTCCAAACATGGCTGCCTCACTCTTGGGGTTGAGAATTCCGATTGCAAGGCACATGGCACCTTGGGAGCATCCTACGAAGATCAACCACCACTTCTTCACAGCAACACTGTTTGTCTTTCTGTACAAGATGTCGGCAATGATTCCACCGGCAGGTCTAAAGAACACATTGAGTAGCCCAAACATCGCAGCCCAGCGTCCAGAGTTGGTTTGTCCAAGGTATGGGAAGTTCTTGTTGTAGTAAGCACCAAGGATCGAGTTAATCGCAAGTTCGCCACCGAACGAGCAAGCATACGGTGCAGCAAGCATAAGACACTGCCACGAGAAGATGACTCTAAGGGCTTCCTTAAATGTTGGCTTGACAATGACTTCGCTTTGTACAATCAACTCGATGTCCTGGCTGGCGGTGGCGTATTCAGGGTCGGAGTCCTCGGTCTTTTTCTTCTCGTCGAGCGATTTCTTCTCTGGGACTTCGTATTCGGGGGTGTTGGAGATCTTTCCGGACGCGTCGACGATGGTGCCAGAGAGGGTGGTGTTGCTGGAGGCGGAGGCATTTTGAACGGCGTTGTGGCGGTCGGCCCAGGCACCGGTGGGAGTGTCCTCACAGAAGAAGAGCATACCGAGAGCGATAGACATGATGAGGATGAATGGGACAACGAAAGCGACACGCCATGCTTTGTGGGGGGTCAGGCCCTGGTCCTTAACGAGCGAGTCGAAGAGAGCGGGCATGATGAAGCTGGTTTTATATGTTAGATACATGAACCATTTATTGAAATTATTGAAGTAAACTTACTAAGTAATGCCACCGCCAGCATTTCCAATACCGGCCATGAGGGCATTGGCCGAGCCGACAACATTCTTGTCAAAAAATCCTGTCGACCATACTTGGCAAGGAACGAACGAGGCACCAAGGATACCGACGAAAAATCTTAATGTAAGAAGACCAGGTGCATTTGTTACGAGTCCAGCCAATGCAGTGGGAACAGCACCCGCGAGAAGAACACCAGCAAAGCAGAGCCTTGCTCCAAATCGATCACAAAGAGGGCCAATGATTAGACGGACAAGAAGACTATTTGTGTAGCCCACAGTTGTTAGACACTGTAGCTACATGTAGTTTGATATTATATTCTTGGGATTTATGAGCGCTTACGTTGCCACAAGAGCGAGGACGTTTGAGTTAGCAACCTCATTTTGTGTGAGGTGAAGATCGCCCTTGATGGTTTTTGTCATCTATACACAGGTTTGTTAGGAATTTCTCTATCATTATAGGGGATATTCTAAAACTTATGGTTACTTACCAATGGTGGAAAGGCATACCACGACAGGAACGCAATCATAAAACCAAAGGTTGAGAAGAAAAAGGTCCGACCATAAGGGTCAAAGGGGTTCAGTACGGGGATTGATTGGGCTTTGCGGTTGATCGGGTTAATGGCCGGAGCCTTCCAGAGTAAGCTAATCTGCATGGTTGCGAAGGTCTATATCGAGGAAGAGAAAAAGACAATTGCAGAAGTAGAATTGAAGAAAAGGATGTTGCTTCTTCTTAAGTCAGATAGATGAGACTTCTTTCTTGATGAGAGAATAGAATGCAATGATGAGGAGTTCAGACTCGGTTCTTTCAAGCTGGCTATATAATCTCGAGACCAAAGCTAGAATCCCGGATTATCCTCTGTTCTTTATCAGTAGATAGGGCAGATCAGGCCTTGGTATTAATTGGCAAGCTGTGAGACGATAAATAAAAACAAAGCCTCCTTCCCCCCACCAGGTACTAGTTCAAGATACAGCTGCTGTGGTAGTAAAAGATTCTAAGATTGTTTCAAATTCTCGATAGTATTAAAATGTGTATCTTCTTCTGCACCAAAAGTACTGATCTTCAATCAACATTGACCCCCACAGGCACACAGAAACCCCCAAAACCCAGCTGATAATTAGACTTACCTACACTGGTAGCTAGCAGCACTTTCTGCACAATTAAGAAAAGGGCAGTATTCAGGCTTCCCGGTCCGAGAAAAAGATTTTTGCAATAAATGCATGCAGCAGAAAACGTCCTTTGATTTTCTGTAAGTCTGTTTCTTTCTCCCTGATGTTCTCGGAATCGCCAGTTCGTGGTAGTAATTTCTGATTTGTTACACGATCTTGACGTTTTTTTCTTTTTGTTACTTTAAATTTTGACGCCAGAGCCTGTATGCCGTCGTACGTCGGAGCCGGTATTACCCTTCTCCGGTAGTAGTTGTAGCTGCAGTTGCCTTGTCTCGTTGGTTCTTCCCTGGGGGTCTCGCTTTCCAATGACGATAACTGTATATTCTCCGCCACAGGTGCAAAGAGTAGCAATAGTGTCCCGATCTGGGTCAGTAAGTTGTAGGAGAACTTCTCCGCGGGGGTGCGAGTAGGTGCGGCGACCTTGAGGTCAAATATATTCGGTCGCTGTCGGGAGGTTGACTTTGATTGCTGGGATAACCCAGTAGGTCGGGATGCCGCAGCAGGTTGATAAGGGTGGGATTTTTTCTCTTTCCTCGATCCTAGTTTGGAGACTGGGGGTCATCCCGGTCCCCTTACTTTCTTATTTCTTCCCCCCACTTGAGGGGATGGTCCTGTTTGGGTTGACTGGAGGAGAAGCATTGGGGAGACTGGGCCGCAAGGTTATTGGTGGCTTTTATTAGCCTGTAAGAGGTATCGTGGACGGAATGTGGGATATTGCGCAAATGATCGATGATTTGAGTAGGTCCATGAAGCGAGGTGGTCACTGCTCAGTACGACCTACAGGGGGAGACTAGCAACTTCAAACAAGGGAAAGCGGTGTTGGTTTTCATGGCTAGAGGCGCTCTCATTCTTAGTGAGGCACAAAGGCTCGTGGGGTAATGATCGTGATAGTAGGATTCAGAGTTCTTTGTATTAAGAACATCAAGTACATGTATGTATATGTAGACTCGTAAGTACTGTCATTCCATATGAATTTCTGTAATATTATATATGCCTGATATTTAGTACCTGACATTGTAGTTAGTTGTTTGTGTTCACCAAAGAACGATACATGTAGTTATCTATCACCAAGACTCAAGACCTGTAGCGGTTTTGGACCCGGCTACTACATGTAACCAGAGATTTCAGCCACAGGACTCGCGTCCCTACCAGGCTACAACCAACGGAACAGGATGGATCAACACCTGGAAGCCTGTCCTTGGCTCTACAGTCAATGCCATGCCACACCTTATCACAACCTCCGACCGAGCCCTGTCAACCTGCATCGAGGAATGGATGAGACCTCCAACATTCCAAATGCTGCTTACGCTCTCACCCGTATCCGCGATCATGGATCGAATCGTATCTCGCTCCCCCATCTCGCCGTGCTCTTTCCCGCGGAAAAAAGTACCTACGTGGGGATGGATAGGCACTGATCCGGGGAAAGCAGGAACACATCCCGAGTTTAGTACCTATCTCCAGTCTAGCTGGGGAACACAAGGGGAGAAGAACCGTAGAAATATTACCCTTGCCCATTACGTGCAAGAACAATAGTAAAACAAACATCAGAACTTTCCCGCTTGTGGTCCGGTAGAGTATGTAAGAGTCGCTCAGCAATCATTGCTCTTCACTTAGCATATTACTAAACTAAACTGTTAGTAAAGGAAAACGAGAGAGCTCCATTTTACTACATACAGAGACTTAACCCGCTCTTTCTAAATTCAATAACGTGCTCGGTGGGGAAAAATACATAACCATGTCAACACTCCAGTTTAAGACGCAGTTCTTCGACCTGTTCATCAGCTGTCTCTCCTATATCAATATTCTCACCCTTCTACGAATCTCAAAATCCTCGTTTCCCGAAACCGCCCAAGATACCACTCCTATTCCCACGACAGCCACTGACAACACTACCACCACGACCACGGCAAAAATGAACACCACGACCGCAACAACACCCAAAATACAGAGCTCAATAAACCAATACTTCCCACCGAGTCCCCCGCGCTCAGACAAAGGAGACAACGACGATGAAATTCAAGAAGTCGAAGTCCCACTGCCACCACCATCAATCAATCCAACAAAAGTTTTAGATATAGATCTCGGAACACCAGATTCGCATGTTCCGAGGGATCCTCGATTGATCAGATTGACGGGAGTGCACCCATTTAACGTGGAAGCCCCATTGACGGCGTTGTTTGACTCTGGTAGGTATTTGCATTTTTTCTTTTCTTTTTTATGTGCTGGGCATATGATCATGTGGCCATGTCTCAGCACTCAGATCCTGTGAATGCTTAGATGCCGTATTTAGGCGATATTAGAGCGCGGTTAGAAGTATCTGGAGACTGACTATCGATTGTAAAGGCTTTTTGACACCCCCTGAGCTGTTCTATGTCCGCAACCATGGCGCAGTTCCAGAAGTCCACGATGAGGATATCATGGATTGGGATATCTCAATTGAAGGGTTTGTCCCCTCTAAACCAAATCTGCAAAGCCATAGCCATATATCTAACATATCCATGTTTAAGACTAGTCGAAAACCCCATGACAATTTCACTTCGTCAGATCCTCACAGACTTCGAAAATGTTACCCTCCCCATCACGCTTGTCTGTGCCGGAAACCGCCGGAAAGAACAAAACATGGTCCAAAAGTCCCAAGGTTTCTCTTGGGGCGCCGCCGGCGTGTCGACTTCTCTTTGGACTGGACCTCTCATCAGCACACTCCTAGCTGCTGCCAAACCACTTCGACGTGCTCGCTACCTCTGTATGGCCGGCGCTGATGACCTCCCAAACGGTAAATATGCGACTAGCGTCCGCCTCTCACACGCTACAGACCCTAACCGCGGTATCATGCTCGCACATAAACAGAATGGAGAGACGTTGAGGCCGGATCACGGGAAGCCGCTGAGAGTGGTAGTCCCGGGAATGATTGGTGGACGATCAGTGAAATGGTTGAAGAAGCTGGTTATTACAGAGGAACCATGTGATGGCTGGTACCATATTTATGATAATAGGGTGCTGCCAACTATGGTGACTCCGGCGATGGCGAAGGAAAACGTGGATTGGTGGAAAGATGAGAGATATGCGATCTATGAACTATCCGTCAACTCGGCGGTTGCGTACCCGCAGAATGATGAGAGGTTAGACGTAGAGGAAAGGAAGGAGGAGATGTATACAGTCAGAGGATATGCGTATGCCGGGGGTGGTAGGAGGGTTACTAGAGTGGAAGTGTCATTGGACAAAGGGAAAAGTACTACACCCAGTATTCCTAGAATCAATTAGTAGTATCAAGCAACTAACAGAATACAGCATGGGCTCTTGCACCAATAACATACCCCGAAGACCAATATCGCTCCGCCCCTGACGCCCAAACCCTCTATGGCGGCCGCCTTGACATGAGCTGGCGCGATGCTTGCTTCTGCTGGTGCTTCTGGTCATTACCCGTCGCCGTGAGTGCCCTTAGCGCCGCTGACGATATCGTTGTCCGTGCTGTCGACGAGAGTCTCGCTATCCAACCCCGTGATACATACTGGTCTGTCCTCGGTATGATGCATAACTCATGGTTCCGTATTGCAATCAGAAAGGAGGATGATGGACGTATACTACGCTTTGAGCACCCAACGTTACCAGCGCTGATGAAGGGTGGATGGATGGAGAGGGTCAATAAGGAGGGTGGAGATCTTTTAGACTCGAACTGGGGTGAGAGGACAGATACGGGTGATTCGGAGGCCGTCAAAGAGGTCAAGCAGAGGAAGAAGGATGTGGTCAAGATGACCAATGACCAGGTGAAGAGGATTATCGACATCGATGAGCTCAGGAAACATGATCAGAAGGAGGAACCGTGGTTTGTGGTCAATGGAGAAGTGTATGATGGCACTGGGTTTTTGGAGGGACATCCGGGTGGTGCCACAAGTATCATTGCCGCTGCTGGGTTGGATGCCACTGATGAGTTTATGGGGATCCGTAAGATCCCAATTATCAACCTCTACATAGGTATACTTAACTAACAATCAAACAGACAGCGAAAACGCCAAATTAATGATGCCAAAATACCACATTGGCTCCCTCTCGGAATCCTCTCGCCTCGCTCTTCTTGAACAGGGCAACGCAGACTCTACCTCAGACCAGTCAACGAGTACCTTCTTGAACCCTCGAGCATGGTCCAAGGCCACCCTTATTGGCAAGAAGGTTGTTTCATGGGATTCAAGGATTTTTACCTTCAGTCTGAACTCACCTGAACAAATCCTCGGACTGCCCGTCGGCCAGCATCTCCTGATTAAAGTGAAAGACCAAGTGACAGGCGAGGTTATCACTAGGCCATACACACCTATGTCGACGGACGCGGAGAAGGGCGTTGTGCATCTTCTCATCAAGATCTACTTTGATACGCCTACCACAAAGGGCGGTAAGATGACTATGGCTTTGGATAAATTACGTATGTTTCCCATCTCTAAGCACTCATATACATATTCTAATATTTTTTATAGCGATGGGCCACACTGCGGAGTTCAAAGGTCCCATTGGTAAACTCATTTACCAAGGCCACGGAAACCTCACAATCAACGACGCCCCCAGAAACGTCGACTCATTCCTCATGATTTGCGCCGGCAGCGGTATCACCCCCATCTTCCAGGTCCTACGCTCCGTGCTCGAAGACAAGACCGACCCTACACAGTGCGTCGTGCTTAACGGAAACCGTCTAGAAGAAGACATTCTTTGCCGAGAGGAACTGGATGCTCTGAACGAGGCAAATGGAGACAGGTGTAAGCTTGTATACACACTCACAAAACCGGAGAAGGACTGGAAGGGTAGGGTTGGGAGAGTAGACGAGGACTTGATTAAGAGATTTGTGCCAGCAGTGAAGGATGGAAAGAGGCCATTGGCGCTGATTTGCGGTCCTGAGGCGCTGGAAAAGAGTGTACATGGAATATTGAAGGGTATGGGATGGGAAGATACGGACATGGTGTTCTTCTAGGTTTTCTTTTGGAAAATTGGGTTTCTTTCTGGGTTTATTGGGATTAGCGATTGGGACATTTCTTGTATATTTCTATTACTTTGTTCATTGCTTTGTTTATTTCAATATCAATTTTGGTCAAGCCAGCGGCTTCATGAAACCACACACATACATCTTCATTTCACCGCTATATTTGTGAATACAGCGAAATTGGCTTTTGAAATGTATATCAAAATTAGACATCCTGTCCTCCATTAGTTGAAGAACCTTTATCCATGTGAATTTCACCACTTCATATATTGGCTCAAAACTGGGTTAGATATTAAGCTTATTGAAACCACCTAAAATATCAAAGTGAGTAAAGCTTTAAATTTGACATGTCTCGTGTGCTTGAATTTGCGTGTGTAACTTTTATCGCACCACCTAGGTATGTACGTGCCTCTGGGACCATCGTGGGACCTGACATGTGGGAGCTTGGGCCATCGTGACCCACTGTATCTAGCCTTGTCCAATATCGCCATCCACAAAAATATTTTCACCCAAAGCCCCAATCTTAGTCTAGGCTCACGAAGCAACCCAGACCTCAAGAACCCTAACCCTGGCACTTCAGCTGAGCCACAGATTGGTCTCGTGAATTTGGAGGAGGAGCTCCCATCGAAAAGTTTTCTATTGTGTTTTACACCCCACGTTACCATTGAAACACTCAGTGCATTGATCCGGTCGTGTTAGATCGGAAGATGGGTTTTAATCCGAGAGACTGCGGATCAACCCACCCAAGAATCGATCAGAAACGTGGGGCTTTTTCATATAATGGACATATGTAATTCCCGCCGAGCATGGGGAACTTTATTTAGACCTGCCTGGGTACCTAGTCAGTAACTCTCCCTTCTCCTACCGATTCCGATTCTCGATTTCGATTTCTTCCGGGGGTGGGTGGTTTCGAGTGATGGATGCTGAAGCAGCCTGTCTGACAAGTCAATCGGTGTGAGCACCCTCTCCCCACCCCGGGACGGAGCATAAAACACGTAACAATCAACTTAAGGATTGCAAAACAACCCAGCGTGGGGATGGTGTTTTCCCTATCCGCGCCATTTCGTCCAAGCTCGAAGCTAGGCCGGAAAAACTGCTAGTAACAAGCCACCGGCGCCTTGGGTTTTCGTGCGAGCTAGTACGGGAGCTCCCGTGGTCTCCGGATCCTACTAAAGGAGTCGTGAGGATCACAGTGGAACAGGGTGAGATGGGGGAAATGATCATAAAGTCTGGTGCATTCCTGTTGCTTTAGAAGATGGCACTATTTGATTTCACGATCGAATTGACTTTCTTTTTTTCCAGTTTTCCCTCGATTTACAAAAGTCTTTATGAACGGAAGTCCTCAAGAGCCAGTAAGGATTTCCTGCCGGAAAGCGCGCTTGACGTTAATATCAGAGTTGTGATATACAGAATCCTGATCAGTGGCATCAGGTATCATGTGGCGGTACCGAGTGAGAATCCATGATCCTCATAAATACTCATCTACTTTTCTCGATACTTTTTTTTTCTCTACCAAGTAGAGAACTGCTTTTTCCTAGAGTTAATCCGCTATCTAGATTTCCATCCTGCGACTAGATCGACTATCGGAATAACCTGGTCGTTTTAGTACCAAAGTTTCCGCGGAACAATTCTCCGGCGCATCTGTTGGTAGTAGGGGAACCTCGGGTCGGCGTCGTCGGGTCCGCCGTTGAAGCAACCTTATCTAATGCTTGGCCATGCAAGGGATATTACATCTACAGTTCTACCATGTATGACCCCCAACACAACCTTGACACTATCCCGGGTCCGATAAGCTATAGCACCTGTACCTATGCAGAATTTCTCCGCGGGGTACGTCTCCATCCGAGATACTTCCCCAGGGGTACATTGTAAAAGCACTCTAGACATGTACCAGTTTTGCAGGGGGATATACGGATATAGGATACATATGGGGTAGAACCGGCTGCCCGGAAACGAATTCAAGGGCGGTTTCGGAAAGCATGGGTGTCTCTGTAGATTATCTGGTAGGGTGGGTACGGTACTTGTGGAGTAAGTCTCCAAGGAAACCTAACACTCCCGAACGGTAACAACAGTAGAATAAAAAACGGGTGGTAAATAAAATAAGTGCAAGCTCAAATGGAAATAGGGCGGTCCTTATTGGCTGCGCCAATCGTGGTGAAAAAAATACCTGCAGATGATTATGATCGATAGTGAATAATTGTAATTGTAATAACGGAAAAAGCTTGTGGCGACAGTGTTTAATTAAAAGCTATCGTCGCCTAGTTCTTGACTTTGAAGACCCATAGAACTCTTATAGTGTTCAATTCAAACGTTTTTGACCGCCGAACCCTCACGACGAGATATACCCAAAAAGTCGTTCTCGTGGCTTACCTACTAGGAACCGTTCTTTGCTTTGCAGTATTTGCACTGCTTTGCTACCGCTACACCACTACAAAAGTGGTTCCACCACCACCAAAAAAGCCCATCATGGAAACCGGTTCGAGCAGTACAAAATCGTCAACCGCTGATGCGGAATCCTCATTACCACTTCCAAAACCCACAACGGGAATGGAAACACCAGAAGAGTTGGACGTAATACCAATACCACAGCTGTTGGGTCGCGAGGGCGGTAGACAGCGTATTGTGGTTGTTGGGTTGGGGATGGTTGCTATTGCCTTCATGTAAGAACCCCACCACATTATAGGCCAATGATTCAAAGAGAGAAAATCTAACAACGCCTCAAAACAATAGTGAGAAGATCCTAAAGCTCGACGCCGAGAACAAACAATACTCCATCGTCGTAATTGGCGAGGAGTCTCATGTCGCATACAACCGTGTCGGCCTGACCTCCTTCTTCGAGCACCGAAAAGTTGAGGAGCTTTACCTGAATCCCCGAGAATGGGTATGCGCATTCCTAGTAGACCTCAAAATAGTTGTTTCAAGCACTAACCCGAATTCCAGTACGACTCTCACCCCGACGTCCTCCATCACAAACTCAACACCAAAGTAATCTCGATCGATCCTACTTCCAAATCCATCACCACCTCCGCAGGCTACGACGTCAGCTATGACCTACTCGTTCTTGCGACCGGCTCCGACGCCGTGGTCCCCACTTCTACCCCAGGCCACGACAGCAAGGGTGTCTTCGTCTACCGTAATATCGACGATCTAGAGCGACTGATTACTTTCTCCGCCACTGTTCCGGGCAGCGCCGGTTGCGTTGTCGGCGGTGGATTGTTGGGTCTGGAGGCCGCCAAGGCCATGATGGATCTCGAGCAGTTCGGGTCCGTGAAACTGATTGATAAGAACCCGTGGGTGCTGTCAAGACAGTTGGATCAGGACGCGGGAAAGCTCGTCGTGGATAAAGTTACAGAGTTGGGATTGGATGTCCTGTCGTGCAGAAAGATTAAGACTATTAATGTGGACGAGGAGGGGAACACGAAGAGTGTGACATTTGAGGATGGCAATACCTTGGAGACGACTTGCATTTGCTTTGCTGTGAGTACCAGAAACCGAAAGTGGTAGTTAACCAGATGCTGACAAGGAGTAGATCGGTATCAAACCAAGAGACGAGCTAGCAGCGTCGGCTGGTATCAAGACCGCTGGAAGAGGTGGTTTCATTATCAACAAAGAGTACTACTCCCATCCCCTAGTAACCAGACCAATGATCGCTAATCATGTTTCCCCGATAGTGTTGAAACCTCCGTCCCCGGAATCTACGCCATCGGTGAATGCGCCTCGTGGGAAAACCAAACCTTCGGGCTGATCGCTCCCGGTGTTGAGATGGCCGATGTCCTCTCCTTCAACCTCTGCAAATCTACCCAACACGGGCATTCAGAGGCACCTAAAGCATTCCGCCGCCCCGACTTGTCTACCAAACTAAAGCTCCTCGGTGTCAATGTCGCATCCTTCGGTGACTTCTTTGCGGATCGTGATGGCCCTAAAGAACTTCCCGGACGTGACTCGCTCATTGAGGCCGCTGAGAGAGGGCCAATGATCAAGGCGCTGAGTTATAAAGATCCCTTTGAGGCGGTGTATAAGAAATACATCTTCACGGCGGATGGGAAATACCTTCTCGGAGGTATGATCATCGGTGATACTAAGGACTACATTAAGTTGGTGGGGATGGTAAAATCCAAGAAGGCACTTGAGATGCCGCCATCTCAGTTAATCCTGGGTGCGAAGGCTGATGGCGAAGATGATAACCCGGATGATTTGTGAGTTTTAAGATTTCTAGAAAATCGGTGTTACTTGCTAACGAAGGTGTGGTATTGTAGGGACGACGACACCCAAATCTGTTCTTGCCACAATGTAACGAAGGGTGATATCAGCAGAGTTGTGAAGGACGGCTCCTGCAAGAGTCTTGGTGAGGTAAAGGTATGCACCAAGGCCGGTACCGGGTGTGCTGGTTGTATGCCTCTTGTGCAGAGCATTTTCAACGCCGAGATGAAGGCAATGGGTGCGGAGGTTTCAAATCATCTCTGCCCACACTTTGCCTACTCCCGTGTTGATCTCTTCAACATTATCAGCATTAAGGTTAGTATTCCGTGTCCATATGAAATACCAAACACCTAAGTTAACACCTCGCCTAGCAACTCAAAACCCTCCCTGAAGTCATGCGCGAGTGCGGAAGGGACCCCGAATCACTCGGTTGTGAGGTCTGCAAACCAGCGCTCGGTTCAATCTTTGCTTCCCTCTTCAACGAGCACGTAATGGACAAGAACATGCACATGCTTCAAGAGACCAATGACAAGTTCCTGGCAAACATCCAGCGCAACGGCACCTTCTCAGTCGTCCCCCGAGTTCCCGGTGGAGAAATCACTGCAGATAAACTCATTGCTATTGGAACCGTCGCCAAGAAGTTCAACCTGTACTGCAAGATTACTGGTGGTCAGAGAATCGACATGTTCGGTGCCAGGAAGCAGGATTTGGTTGATATTTGGTCGGAGCTTGTGAAGGCAGGCATGGAGAGTGGACATGCTTATGCTAAGAGTTTGAGAACTATCAAGGTCAGATCTTCTTTAGTGGTTGTTACGGATTGAATTTTGTATACTAACAATTCGGTAGAGCTGTGTTGGAACCACATGGTGCCGATTCGGTGTCGGTGACAGTGTTGGTATGGCCATCAGACTTGAGGAACGATACAAGAGTGTCCGTTCGCCCCACAAGCTAAAGGGTGGTATTTCCGGTTGTATCAGAGAGTGTGCCGAAGCCCAGAACAAGGAGTAAGTCCTCGTCCCAAATGACATCCAGTTCATGGTCTAACGATTTTCATAGTTTCGGATTAATCGCTACCGAGACCGGATACAACATCTTTGTCGGTGGTAACGGAGGGTCGAAACCCCGCCATTCCGAGCTCCTGATCAAAGACTGTCCCGTGGAACAGGTCATCCCCATTTTGGATAGATACTTGATGTTCTACATCCGCACTGCCGACAGACTTCAGCGGACAGCACGCTGGATGGAGAACCTGCCCGGTGGGATTGGATACCTCAAGCAGGTCATTCTCGAGGACAAGCTTGGTATCTGCGCCGACCTTGAGAAGCAGATGCAAGAGCTTGTTGCATCATACTTCTGTGAATGGACCGAGGTAGTGAATGATGAAGACCGACGAAAGTAGGATCCCATAACACTTCACCCTGATTTTTCTTGAACCATACTAACGAGAACCTTTTGAATCCTTAGGCAGTTCCAGCAATTCGCCAATACTGGTGAATCCAGTGACCCTATCGAGATCATCACAGAGCGCGAGCAGTCCCGCCCAGCCTACTGGCCCAAGGACTCCGTCAAATACGACTTCAAGAACCACCGGTGGTCCAGCCTTGCTTGGCAGCCTATCCTCGAGGCATCACACTTCGCTGCTGCCGATAATTCGTCTACTCCTGTGACTGCTGCAGTCAAGCGTGGCGATACTCAACTTGCCATCTTCAAGGTCAAGGGTAAATACTACGCTACTCAGCAGATGTGTCCGCACAAGAGAGCCTTTGTCCTCTCTGACGGTATCATCGGAGAAAGCATCGACGATGGCACCGAGGAGGGCAAGAAGAAGAAGGATATGTGGGTCTCTTGCCCATACCATAAGAGGAACTTTACTCTTGAGGGACAGACCCCCGGTGGCTGCAGCAGTGATTCGGAACTGAGCATTGCCACTTTTGAGGTAGAGGAGAGAGACGATGGATGGGTTTACCTGAAGCTGCCGCCAGTGGCGGAATTGGACTCGCTTTTGGGTACTGAGAGATGGAAGGTGAAGAAGGAGGAGACTGGGGATCCGTTTGCGGAGATGGATCGAAAATCATGTAACACTAAGGGGAGAAAATCTGTGAAGCCTGCATTATTTACGAACGGTGTTAAGGCAGAAGTAAAGACAAAGAGCATTGACTGGTAGGATATGGTCTGGCAGGCGGATGGGCGTTTTCTTTTTTAATTTTGGGACTTGCATTGAAACGGTTTTCTTTTTTTGTATATAAATATTTCAGCATACATCACACTACATAGATGAACAATAGGTATTTCGCGTATATATTAGGTCCAAAGATTCAGAGGTGTTCTAGAGAGAATTAATTGAGGTGGTTGTTGAATGATACCCCCGGTTGAATCGCCAATGATGCCATCACTCTTCACAAAGGTCAATGATTTAATTGACATGATTCCTTAACTATAAAATCGCACCCCCGACTACTGCTCCCGATGCTCTAAAACGGCACCTTCACCGTTGTTTCCGTTCCTGCGCCCTCAGCATGTACAGGCGACATAATATTAGGGACTGTCTACCACACTAAAGGACATCGGCCAAACTCAAATAAACACTTTGATTTATCTTCGAGCGGTACTACTAAAAGGGTGACTCGTGAGAGAAGTCTAGAGGAGATTGGAGGAAAACACAAACAACATACAAACGTTAACGAAAATGCTACTAAACCAAAAAGAAGATTAGGAAATAAATAAACTGAAACTATACAGATTATTACATACAAATAAAGCGTATTGGGTGGCAGGTCTCCTCTCAATCCCTCGGACAGAGCCCAGAGATTGAGAGAAGGCTATTTGGCACCCGCAACGAGTCTACAAACAGGAGTCGGGCGAGGGCAGAGAAACTTGGAAGGGAAATTGGCGGGAACGGGGGCTAGGGGGGAGGGGATAGGGACGGGGATGAAGACGAGGTCGGGACGGGGACGAGAGGGACGGGAACAGAAATACAAACGACAAAGGCAAGTCTACAAAACCGCCCACTTCCCACTTCTGCTAGGCCCTCGGTATCACTCAAAGCCCAGAATAAGCAAACCGAGTTAACGCAAAAAAGCCCCCCTCCTTCATATGAAGGAGGGAGGGCAGGCGAACAAAACGACTTAACGCAAATCAGCCCCCACCTCTCTTCCTGTGCACAACGCACAAGAAGAGAGGCGGATGCCGACTTACGGTCCTCACCTCACTCCCTCCATCCCCATGAAGGGAGAGGAGGGAGAGAGAAGACGGAGAGGGGAGGGTGTGGTCACTCACCCCGCTCCTTCCATCCCTTATAGAGGGAGAGGAGTTGGGGAGAGGACCAGGGAAGGAGGGGGTCACTCACCTCCTCCTTCTACCCCCTTATTGGAGGAGAGGAAGAGGGAGAGGACCAGAGGGGGGAGGGGAGGTAGGTCACTCCCCCCTCCTTCCATCCCGCCTAGTGGGGGAGAGGAGAAGGGGAGGACAGGGGAAGGGCCACTCACCCCCTTCTTTCATCCCCACAATGGGAGGGAGAGAGGGCAGGGGGGAAGAGGGGCAGGAGGGGCAGGAGAGGAGAGAAACACCTACAACCTCCCATTGTTGGGGAGGAGGTAGATGATCCAATAATTATAAATGTGGAGAGGAGTGGTGAAGTAGGGCGGTATACAGCGAAAGCTTGCCATAACGGTACTTTCTATAAGGGTAATCTCTCTATAACGGTAGCATTTCTCGGTCCTTTTTGCCTGGCTTTCAGCACCAGCACCTCCTATATAAGGGTAATCTCTCTATAACGGTACGCTCGGGACCGGAATTTGGTACCGTTATAGCAAGATTTCGCTGTATAAAGAAATGACAACTCGGCGCTAAGGAGGGCGGCTAAGACGGCTTAGAGCAGTTTACGTTCGAGTTTCGCCGCCCTGCCCTACGGCAGCTTTGCGTCTTGGCGTTCCCGCTGCTGAAATCAGCGAGTGAGAGGGAATGATCCGAAGCCCATCACAACCCCGGGCGCATCACCGGCACAGCAACGGAAGTCTCGACCCCATACAAACTATCCAACAAAATACTGCACCATACAGACACTATTCTCATGCTATAATTTCTCCTTGCTACCTTCACTCGAAATAAATACTCCGCTCAGAAAACTAGCGGTCATCGGATTAACCGAAGTCATAATTCCATACCACGAACCCTGTTAGCCGACTGCACCATAATCCTTAGGTTGAATGACACAGTGCCAAAAAAAAAATAAAGACAGAAACTGTGGGACTAATCGATCAGTACTACATTTGACGTGAGGGAAGTATTTCCACAGTCTACACAGTACGATGGCTGTATACCGGTCTGACCCGGCTCACAGGGGGCTCCAACCCGCCAACCATTGGCACACCAACCAAGGCGCAGATATCAACGAAGGTCATCAAGTTCTTTACTTGAAAAGGCCACGATAATGCTCCCACGAGTAGGTCTGGATCTTTTAGGTTTCTGCCCATTTACCACCGATACATTGGCCACGTTACCAACAGCCGGAAAAGAATAATATGTCGTTCCCGGCTGGTATGTACAAGCCGTCTAGTGGCAGCTCGAGTCGTTCTCTGTCAAAACCCCAGTGCACGACTGCAAGGGAGGCAGTTAGTATAGCGCCGCAGGTCCTTCTCGAGACGAGTAGGAGAAAAAGCCTGATCTGGCTTGCAATTCCTGCTACCGACTCGACTCGAAAAGTCTTGAGAGGCTCGAGATTTCAGGTGACCTCTTATTAGGGTTTGGGGTGAATATATTTAGGGTTAGGGTTCGATCGAAGTGCCGTATTGATTGGTTCGTTAAGCTCAAGGCACTACATTTGTGCTTTTTGAGTTGCAATATGCTGGCAGAAATAATCCCTACAAAATGCTTGAGCTTCCAAAGTCGAGAACTTAAAGCCGCTCGAGTCAACTTGACTTGTTATAGCTGTTCGAGTCGGGCGGACATGTCTCTTCGACCACACCAAGTGAATGTCTCCAAGTGTCCATGAACGAGACGAGTAAATGAGAAGAGAATAGAGCGAGAACAAGAGCCGTGGAGGTCCGGTCGGTTGGTGGACGAGCGGTCGGCGGTGATTAAGGAGGGGTGGGTAATTTTTCAAAAAATGACCGCTCCTAGGATCCTCGTTATGCACTCAGAAGCTAAGAAGGACGCTACATATACTCAGAGTAATAGCGAAGAGAAGAAAGTGATGGTTTCTAAGGGCTAGGAGAGGAGGGCACAAGAGAATACTTCGAAGTTCGTGGAGACGTCCGAAAAAGAGAAACACACTAGAGAAGAGCAGGTGCTGAAGACTTGAGCCGATAAGGCTTAAACGTGCACTCCTAAATATATCCGTTCCCAGCCCTTCCTACGGTGAATAGCTCTCTTATAGCTATTACACTATCATCAGAAGACATCAAGCTTCATAAGCATGAGAGTGGGAGAAGAGGATGGGAATATGCGATAAATACATGTACTTAGGTACATGGCAAGGAATTTTAGATTAGATCGAGCTGATTGTCGAATAAGGCTGCGATTCTTATACACAAGTCACATGCAAGGCATACACTCCAGCTCAGCGCGAAAACACTGAATTCTGTTAATTACCCTCCCTTACTTCTTTCCAATTCAGGTGAATTTGGCCTATGGCCAGATAGTCTCGGTGGTGGATTAGAACACATTTATGGCTTCTCGCATGACACGAAGTCTGGCTCGGCCCGGCCCGATGCACCCACACCAGCAGACGTCATGTTTGGCAACTACACGCCGCTACATGTGTCTTCAAGAATCCCTCATCTGTCAACAAGCGATTCAGTTCTTACCACTCTTCGATGCTACTCCTCTCAAGCCTATTTCATCGTCCTTTCCAACACTGCAACCACACACGAGGTGTACCCGACACGAGTGATACGCCGTGATTATGCCCTTTGCTGGAAAGCCCCCTAGGCTTGGCCCAAGATCAGAACCCATAGTGCGCTCCTCCTCCTCCCCAGCCCGAATGATATACATAGCCATCTAATTGTTGATCAGATCCAATCTTATCCTCCAAAGGCAACCCTTTTCGGTGAGACTATCACCAAATCCACAGTGAGGAGACAAACAAGGACCCACTAGCCTAGCCATTCTTTTGGCCCCCACGAACAAGGTTCAACTCGAGCAGTTGCGAAAGAGTGATTCAGAAAGACTGCATCATCCGGTTCTTCGCACGTGACGCGAGTCTACTCTACGTAGTCTACCGAAACTGGCTGCAGTTAGCAAAAGTAGCGGTGTGTGATCATACTTATCTAATCGCCGGTAATGATTCAAGTGACATACTAATTTAATAGCCCTTGCCCTTGCCCTACTGATAAGCGCCAATCAGTAGCGATAGCTAACATAGTGCTAGTAAGAGTAATAGTAGTAAAGAGCCACACGGAAATAATTGAGCCAAAATGATTACAAATGAGATAGCTTTTTTGTCTGCAAGTAATTACATAAATACTTTTTTTCTCCCCCCCTTTTCTCCCCTTTTCATAAAGAAAACCGCCCAGCACACACTAATGTCGTCTTACAAAGGAATGATAATTGAGTGATTGTATGCAGCCCGTCTTACAAAGGAAAGATTCTGGCTGGATAAATAAGTTTCAAGCAGTAGTCGGAACCCCCTTCGTAAAGCTGCAAAACAACTCTACCAATTGGCCCAATATCTTTTTACTGAGCACCACGGCCTCTGCCGCCTCTGCCGCCTCTGTCTCCTCTGTCTCCTCCTCCGCGACCACCTCTATCGCCGCCTCCTCTGCCTCTGTCACCGCCCCCTCTGCCTCTGTCACCACCTCCCCTGCCTCTGTCACCACCTCCTCTACCTCCTCTATCTCCGCCGCCTCTGTCACCGCCGCCTCTGCCACCCCGATCACCTCCAACTCGGTATTCAGCTCTGCCTCGATCTCCACCGCCGCCGCCTCTGTAACCGCCACCTCGATCACCGCCTCTACCTCTATACTCTCCTCCACCTCCTCTACCACCGCCTCCTCTATCAAAACCACCCCATCCACCGCCACCACCTCGCCCTCCACCTCGACCTCCGCCTCCACCCCAGCTCCTGGTCCGTCGGCCCATGAAACCTCATATGGTTCCGCTGTGAACCCTTGACCCCAATCGTCCCACTCTAAATTATCGAGAAGGCCGCCGTCGGAGTCAAACATCCACAATGGCAGAACTGTCTTGGTTGCGTCTACCCAGAAGGGAATTTTATACGTCCGGGGCTTTGCAACGTTCCAATTGGGGCCTGGCGCAATTTGGGCCCATGGGATATACCAGGCCGGGTCGACGCCTGGCGCTTTTAGAGGGTACTGTTGTTGACCACCGCGGCCGGCCATTCTGGGGTTCTCGCTTCCGTTGTAACCTGGCTTATTTCAGGAATTGGAACTTATTCGGAGGGATAAGAAACTAAAAACCTCGTAATGTACTATAAACTGTTTTTCTTCGTAATTTCTCTGCTTCTCTTACACTGGCCCAGGTCTCGGTCTCTCCCGGATCAGGGCTTTATCAATTAATCCGTTGCTTTATATAACGAGATTTCTTAACGAGCGATCGACCACGGGGGCAAAGAGAGGAAAAAAAAGGCCCGTTGTTCTGATTGGACATGCGATGGATGCCTGAATTGTGGGGTCCTATGGAGGGGATAAGTAAGCAGTAATGCAGGGTTGGGTTTAGCGTGTATGGTGGGATGCCTGAATAGGCATCGCATGACGGGTGTTGAGGCCTGGAGAAAGCTGTATGACGGTGAAGTCAGAGTTGCGTCTTGTGTTCTCGCGATATTGGATGTTGGTATGGTTACAGAAACCCGACTCGCAAACATGATGGGGCAGAGCAACTGGGACTGCTCCTCGTTATATTTGCTAGTAATCGGATGATTCAAGGTAAGGGGTAATATGCACCTATAGGATATCCCGCTAATACGTGTCGTAGGTTTGTTCTCTCTTTCGTTAAGGGAAAGCATCAAACATTCTCATGCCAATGATCGTTTACAGATATTTGCGCCAAGACTTAATATCCTCTCGCTTGCCGAACCAGGGTTGATAACGTGTCTTTCCGATTGCAACCAGAGAGGGTGCCTGGAATGTGCGAGAATGAAAGAAAAGATTCTGCAGGAAGGATTCTGCAGATCTTAGTTCTGAAAAGAGAATTTTTTTTGTACTCCCCAGGATTATCAATATTGATATCCCCCTCGTTATCTAAGCGAGAACTATTCTCGTCCTTACCTAAGCGAGAAATTTCGTTACTTTTGCGCAAAGATACATGTATGGCAGGTACTCACAATATGTATGTACCCTCCCGTAACTATGTTTGATATTGATGATTGCGCAATTGCATCTGCGTATATTGCTGGCATGATTATGATTTTTAAGGTTTTCTTCCAAATAACGTTTCCGGACCAAACCGGAGGGAGAAGATTTGGTAATGTGATTACCCCTTCATGTTTGGGGTTTTATGCAGTCTCAGTAAGTCCTATACGGAAACGTTTTCCAATTGCGAGGAGACGAGTTTCCCGCTAGCGATCTAGGATCAGGTGCTCAGTCCTGCCGGCTGTTGATGGTGAAATCAATATGAGAGATCGAGGCTCAGGCACGATATCATTGATATCGACTTTAAGGCTCCAGCCCTGTATCAAACTTGATATGACACAGAGAAAGATGCTGAAGAAACTATAGAGTGCATATTCAGGCGTTCAATAAACCGTTGCGAATTCAATGCAACTAGCCAAGCACGAACCCATCACAAGTCGGATATCGAAAACGAAGAGGTATCTTTTGTAAGTTGTGAGTGGAGGGGGATGATCGGGCTTTGATACTCACCCAGTTGTACTGATGACATCCGCGAGATTTTAATATATATGCATGTAGTATACTCCAGGCCCTCGTCATAGTTGCCCCCCACGATTCCTCTAGAATCATCTACGGGTGATTACAGTAGCATTTTTATCCTGAGGTGTTCTTTTGTCGTCATGGAATGACGTGCAAGGCAGAATATACTAGCCACCTAGGCTTTTAGCCACACCACAGCGCGACATGTGGGATGCCTGAATTCGGGAAACGAGTGATACCATGTGACTGCAAACCTTAGATGTTACTAGACACCTAACCCTGAAGTATTGTAAGTTAACGTGACGGCGTGACAGGTGGTGAGATGGGATACGCTTTTGCGCGTAGATATAGGTATAGCTTACACTTTTGTCTTGTGTGAATGCATATTGGGTGTAGAGTATGTGCACTCTACCTTCACTTGGTCTTCATGTACCGACAGGTACATACCAGTACCAGTATTGCCTAGAGTGTTTTTGTATACGACTTCAAAGTCTGAGGGCAATGACTACATGTATGTACCTCGTGTAGAGTACCTAAGTACCTCAACACCTACCACCTCTACACTCGGACAGCTCTAGAGCAAACACCAAGAATCCAGAACCCGAAAACGACATCGTGAAGGCGTTGAGACCCGCTACAACCACCGGGGTTAGTAAACGCCCAAGCACCTCACCGGCACAACACGAACCCTCCGTCCCCGTCCCTTCTCCTGTTTCACGACAACAGAACAGACAGCGACACGATCCGTCCATAACGTCTTGAATTTTCCGCTCTGGGCATCCGTCTCGGTGATTCGGATATCAAGCCACTTCCACACCGTCCTCGGTTCGCTTTGGCGCGGCGGGCAGCGCCAACACAACAAACTGAGTAAGAATGCCAGCCACCACGAACTAAGCTATCGGTTCCGACGTCCCCGGGACGGAGGAAGATGGGGGGGAGGGCTTGGCGGGGCCTGCCCGGATTGGGACATTCTATGCCGTAGAAGCACAGAAGCACAGGCACGGAACGGTATGGTACGAGGTGAGTGGTTCGGTTCGTTTGGAGGATAGGTAAACGGAGTGACAAATGTTATGTGCAGACGGTATGTAGGTACTGATTAATATGGAGACTTTTTTTTTTAATTGAGGAAGATATGTACAGCTCAAACTCAGAAGCCTGCTCGTATGTATGTAATGTATGTAGGTACAGGTACTTAATTTGCGTGCCGTGATGTTTTGGTGCCTTTACTACCCTGGGCAGCTTGACAGGTACGAGGAGTGCTTTTGCATATCGTGTGTGAGCGAACAGGTGTAATTTGGAATAGCAGATAGAGTAACCTGCAAGTAACAAGTAGAGGTGTAACTTATGATAGAGAGAGAGACACTTCCGAGATATGCACAGCTGGCTCCGGTCATTTCCGTGCCGATCAAAAGTTTTTAGAGTTGGAACGGAAGACACGAAACTAAGGCCATTCTCACTCTCACGCTGACCCTCGGCCTTACTCAATGGCCATCTGATAGATGTTGTGATACTAGATATCATGATGATGATGATGGTGATGAGAGAACATGGTGGGTGCACATATCTTCTTCTCACCTACGAACTGCACTTTAGCCATCACACGACTGACCTCCACCATCCTCCCTCAGGTCACAGCATGTATGTCTTTCTCTCTTACCCACTCACAGTGCACTGCATCTCCCCGCTGACCCGCTGCTCCCACCGCTCCAAATGACGATCCCCGCCAGCCATGGTCCTGCCTTCATCCCTAAAAAGCTTAAGACACACGTGGGGAGGCTGTCTTAGGTCCTCCAAACAGGTTATTTTGTCTTGTCTCTGAGCAGCCGCAGATCCGTCGCACAAGATTGCTTCATGAGACGAAAGCACTCTAGTTCCATCATCTACCAGCTCCTCCAACGGCGGGCCACTGAACGTATCGTCATTGGCCTACAGCAAGCGAACAAGTAGCTTTCTCGATGGTCCTGTCGATCACAACAACAACAACAACAACAACTGTACCTACTCTTACTTTACCTTACCTGCACTGCATTGGAAAGAAAGTTCGCCCATTTTATGTAAGTGCAGCTACTTGACGTGTGCTCTTTTTCCTTTTCGTCCGGAGCTTACCATTGCCATCAGCACGTCATCGAATCAAAAACCCTCACTCAGGTCCCAAGACATGAAGCAGCGCAGCTGAAGAGGATAGAAAAAAAAGGCAGTTTTTGCAATAAGAATAACTACAAAAGTGAAATAAAAAAACATAAAAAAAACTTTGCGGCCCACGGAGCAAGCGAAGCAAATCAGTCTGTTTCATTTCATTCAATCAGGCCTAGATCATCTCCTGCTCATGCTCATGCTCACGCTTTTGGTTCCTGTCGCTCTGCGCCCACCTAGGTAGCTGCGGTTCAAAAGAGCAAGAAAAAAAGAGAAAAAAAAGGAATAAGAGACGAACAGCACCAGAAACCAGGGTGAGAAATCGACAGCAAAGTGAAAAAAATCTTTCCAAAAACGTATTCACACATATGATGTGAGCTGCCAATTTTTTTCAGAAAAATTCACTTTCACGCTTCCCCGGCCGCACTCCCCAAAAACCCAGCTTTCCAGCTCAGCCCGAAATCCCAGCCATCTAATATCTGGTTTTCTCGTTAGCTAGCGAACACAGTACATCCACACTCATCCACACTGATTGCTCGAGTCCCAAAAACCTTAATATCCACCTATCTACATCCCCACCCCACACAGCTCCCCGATCTACACGAGCAGAAGTAGTAAAAAAACAAAAAAACAATTCCATTCTGCCCCTACCTTAGCCGCTCCTTTTTATAGCCCCATCCCCAAATTGCCAAGACACCGAAAAAAGCAAAGATATCTGTATGCAAGCAAGCCACTCACTGGAACCTTTCCGTGTTTCTATTATGGTGGGGGGGCGGGGTGTCAATGATCGAAACAATGCGACTTTTACAACCATCACGTGACCATACATATCACTCGCTCCACGGTGATTAGTGATTGGATCTCGGACAGTCAGCAGCTATAGCATGCAATCAACGCAGGTACGCTACACAAGATCAGATTTGAGCTGGCCGAATGACCAAGCGAGAGTGAGACGAGCTCGCTCGCCACAAACAACCTGTTTTTTCTTTCTATTACTGCTGCTGTTGCCGCGCGCGCGCAAGGTAAGGGAGGTGACCATGATCAATGAAGGTGTGGTTACAGAGGGGTGGAAATGAAATAGAAAAGGGTTCGAATTTCGAAAGGGGGTGGTGAAGTAGAAGAGAGAAGAAAAAAAAAGGGAGAACAGAGCAAATGGGGGGTTGTGTTCCTGTACTCTCATGATCATAGATGTGTGGATAAATCATGCGAGATGAGGAATAATGTGTGTCGCGGATGTTTACTTTTCTGGGTCGAATTAACTGCAGCTGTTTTTTTCTTTTTCTCTATTGATTTATTGATTAATTATATGTCCTTTTATTTATTTATGGTCATGGCCAAGGGTGGAGCGGAGGTTTCGTCGCGCGCGCGCGCGGGTTCTCTCTCGCTTTCGACGATTTTCCCAACCTCATGATTGATTGGATCTATTGCGATATAGGCGACCGGCCTCGATCAGCAGGAGGTTTAAAAGAGGTGTAGATAGGGTGGAGGGTGAGATCTCGGGGCCTAGAGAGTGGTGGGTGAGATAGATAGGTAGGGGTCGGACGAGGCTGTCGAGACCACATGTAAAGGCGGAAAAAAGTGCAAAAAATTTATAAGAAATGCAATAGGAACCTTAAATGCAGGATCGTGATTAGCATCATGATTATGAACGTGAAGATGTGTTGAAGTGTTTCGGGTACAGCCTACTCACTACAAAGCTATGGACAAAGGAACAGAAGACGGGAATGAATGCTGCGGTGTGAGACTCTAGGTGGAGCCAGCGCGACAAGTTCTCGACATTCAGGGACAATTGTATCTCTGCTCGTGTAGTACGAGGGGCAAGCCAGCTAGTCAGGTAAACTTTATTCTTGTAGCGGTTTTTCTATTCCTTTTTTTCCTCCTTTCGAGCACACGATGCGATCATTCACGTTCCGCTGTCCTGTCGAGTACAAACCACAAGGCCAATAATGGCAGTGGGGATAATTCTGATGGTAGATAAAGGAAAAATTATATTTGTTTTCTAATTATTTAGATGTGTTTCCCAGGCATTAACCCATGTCCAAATGTCCCATTTTGTAACCAATATAGCCAATGTAACCAACCCAGCCCAACCAACCAACCCGGTCACCCCCATCAACCTCCACAACATGATAATTATGCATTATTATTCATCGCAAAATATTGTTCGCTTAGTTTCTGTACCAGTTCGCGGCAGGGTCGCCAAGGCACTCTCCAACAGTCGCAACTAAAACACAATGCCATTAGCAATCGCGCCCACAACTTAAACAGTAGTAATGACAACTTACAAGTTAATCCCTTGGACTTTGCATTATCAATCTCGTTCTGCACCAAGCTCTCGACAGTGGTCTGGTGTACATCGTGGTTCAATACGATGTAACTGCCACCGGCCTGGATGGCGCCAGCATAGGAGTTGTAGGCTGTCTGGATGTCGGCGGTGTGGGCATAGTCTTGAGGATCAACGTTGGCATGGATGACGTGATAACCTAAGTTGTTCATCACGTTCAAGCAGGCACTACCGCAATCAAAGTAAGGAGGGCGCATGTAAGTCGGATATTTCCCAATCGCACTGCTGACCGCACTCTCAACCATGGTCATCTGGCTGGTAACATCGGCATCAGAGAGCGAAGACAAGTACGGGTGGGACCAGGTGTGGGATCCAATCTGGTGACCCTCGTTATTCATTCTCGCAAGGATAGCCTGGTTAGTAGCAGTCGTAATTGGTTCACCCCAGTTTTGGCCGTTGACAAAGAAGGTCGCCTTTACGCCGTTGCTTGAGAGGATGTCGAGGAGTCTTGAGGTGTAGATGAATGGACCGTCGTCAAAGGTGAGGGCTACTGTGTTGGGTGTGTTGCAGCTGTAGATGAAGGAACCATATGGAACGCTTCCGGGTTTTGAGCGGCCGCCTGTGCTTGGTGTGTCGGTAGGAGTAGAACCACCTGCGGAGGTAGTGGGGGTAGTAGACCCTCCACTGCAGGTTCCATAGCCACTCTGGCAACCAGTTCCTGTAGTTGATAGTTAGTAAATTGCCCTAAAAACCACAGTAACTCGACTCAATTGATGGTAGTGAATAGGTCTACATACCACAGTATTCATCGGTATCACCGCACCATCCATACTGCGAACAGCACTTGTAGGAATCGGTAGGACACTTGTAACCACCATTGCTGGCACCACAGCTTCCATCCGGAGTAGCCGCCTGTCTACCAAAGATGTTGGCGGGCAGCGCACTGGCATTTGCGAGCCCAAGAACGGCCGCGCCGAGGAGAAGGAACTTTGATGAGGTGAAAGAAGGCATTGTGGTTGTGAGAACTGATCAGGTACTGTTGCTCTTAGAACGAGAGTGATGCGCTGGATGTTGGATAGAAAATATCGGGGTTGTGCCAGGTGCTTTATACAACTCCAACTACTATCGTGTCAAAGGAGGTCGGTAAGATCAAATCATGAAATCTAAATCCATCAATCGACCTAACCTGTGACTGGTTCTTGGCCTTGATCCGCCTTGTAGTCCTCTCATCAGCTTCGATAGATAATCATCATTCCTTTCTAGGAAAAGGCTCCCCTATCGACAACATTTAGGGTATTGTGATCGAGTTTATCGTATCGGTCAAGTCCTTGGATCTAATCACAACTTGCATATGTCTAAAGAAATACCTAGCCGGGCCCAAAAGGCTAGCTACTTCAGCTTTACCCGCGGCAGGACGAAGGAAGAAAAAGAAAAGAAAAGAAACTACCCAAGAAAAGTGTTATGACTGTTCTTTGGGAGCTTGTACCACGACTGCACAGTAGAGGTGTAAGTTATGTTGTAGTGCAAAAAAAGATAGACAGAGACTTGGCATACATACCTAACAATCGTAGTACCATGTAGGTATCTACATGGATGTAGTATTTGTGTATGGATTACTCGCCCCACCCACCCATAAGTACCTTGCAGGTAGTGCGGGAGCAATATCAAACTGACTGATGTGCATACCAGACAGACAGGCAGGGAAACTGACTCTGTCTGAGTAGAGACACAACCTTAGACAACCCTTCCTAGGGCAGCAAGCATTAACAAGGTTTTTGGAGGGATCGTGGGCCAGATACGGGATTCCACATACGCGAGCTTCCGAACCCAGTGCCACGTTCGATGTTAATCGACACCCAGCCCCAATGGGAGCCGTCGTACTCTAGGAAAATTGATCTCAAGTTCGATCCTCTCACTGCATCTACCTATAGCTAGAGTACGCTGCTCTACCTCAGCCGTGGTCGTGAGTTGTACTGGCTGAGAGACAGTACCGTACATGCGCTAAAGATTTTTCAAGTTTCACAGGATCTGCCTGTCAGTCTGTCAGTCTGTCTCTGCTGCGGTGGTGATAAATTTAGGAGGAAAAGGGTCCAAATTGCCTTGCGCAGTTACAGGGCCAAAAAAAAAAACGGTATCTTCTTGGCATGGTTCCTTTTTGAGAATTGAAGTCTTGGATGTGTAAGTAACAACATCTATCTGACTCGGTCCGAGACGAGACGACTGAGAGTAATATCCTATTTTAATTGTTTGCCGAAACTAAAAAAATGCGCGAGTATTCCTAATAACAAATGCGTACTGGCGTGTTGCTGCTGAGCGGCTTCTAATCAACTAACTTGTAGGCATATCGTCATTTTCGGGTGGCTTCCGAATGTGGGAAGAGTGAAATCCTCCAGGATCTTACCTCACCACAATACGCACGGAGAAAGCCGACTCGAACCGACTTTTGACCTAGGTAGTACATTGACTGTTGTGCTGGTCTTACTCTAGATATTCCGCCTTTAGGTATTTAGGTACTTGAAGTTCTGAACCAGTACCCCCCCTTACGTCGGAGGCGTAGATCTCCACTAGCTGCAAACGCTCTAGCTACTCCAGCGTCTACTGTGTGGGAATAATTCGACTTCACCCTAACACGTCAAAGAGCGAGAGACAAAATCATAACCACCGAGATACATGCTGCGGTGACTTCTCATGAATTCAGCCTCACTAGCCAGCTGGCTGGTTATGCACTTGGTGTTCCACTCTCGTACTCTACCTAGCTAGGTTGTTACTTTGCCTTACACGCTCATATTGTCACTAGGTAGAATTTAGGTACTATATTAGAGTACAGTTAGTATATGTATCGTGCGATTTTAAAGATTTAACCGTAAAATGAAGTCAATTCGAAGTCGATCATAGCAGATAACATAGCATAGCATCGGCAACTTAGTTTGTGCCGAACGATCCGAGATTTCTAGTTTTGGCTGATACATAGAGTACCCGTATTTCACTGACGTTTGTGGACGCGACTGATATTGCATGCCATACAAAAATACACCAAGCTCATGATTTTGGGTGTATGCAATAATGGCCCAGTTCAAAAACGTCAGTGAAATACGAGTATGTAGAGTAGATACTTTAGAGTGCATCATAGTGTTGGGTGAGTCTAAGTCCTATTGGCGGGAAGTATTGTCATGGCATAACGTTTTCAAAGCGCATGGCATCGCTTCAGAACCTTCTCTAAGCTGCATTCATTTCCAGATGCAGAGAAGAAATACCTCCTCCAATCTCCTAACTGGGAAGGTCGCGGTGTGCCGCTATCACTATCGTATCCTAATCAAGTCAGCCAGTTTTTCCCATGTCTGCGTTGTCCATCCTCCCACTCTCCATCGGTATCATTTGCAGGGAATGTTATTTGTTTATCGCTAAAACAGCCTCTGTTGTGCCACACCCAGAAGCCCGATTTAGACCATGCAGCCAAGAATTCGATTCCTCGGTTCGGAATCAGGGCTGAATACATAAATAGGAAGGCCAAGGGCCAAGATATGTTGCCTACAAAGCTTAGGGCATCGGAAATATTTCACCCGTTTTCGATTCCTCCTAGAAGTAGAACGAATCAACAGAAGGCTGTTAGAGCCGTACATACAGAGTTTTACCTGCAATGCCGCTAAACACCCCTCATGCGTGTAAGATGAGTTTATCCAAACCCACTGGATGACTAAATACGAATAAATAAAGTTGATAGTCCAATTTATGTGTTTATGGTTAATATCATCACGAGAGCGATTTCACCAAAATTAAAGTATGTAACAAGGTTGAATGAGTGGACAAGGGACGAGATCTAACAGTTACACAGGATCTGAGTCATCAGGCCTGGAATAAGATTTTGTTGGGTTTATCTTGATTTGGATTTAAGTAACGAAGACGAGAGACTGCACAGACCACTACGTTCTAGTTGTTCGAGGGTCAGCGCGGATGTAGCGCGGATGTAGTTTACCCGGGAAGGTCAGGGTAGGGGTTGCCCAGCCTCATCCTTTTGGAATGTTTATCGTTAATTCCAAGATGTTCTCAAACCGCCATAATTCGAGAAAGATGGTGTAAGAGGCTCTTCGGTGAAGGACACGGGATCCGGGAGTGCATACCAGGTGGTACAATACCGGTAGAGTACCTACATAAACATACGGATCCATGCCTAATTATTACCTACAGGGCAATGATAGATAAGTCGTGTACTGACGTGACTTTTAAATTTTAAATTTTCTCGCTTCCCTCTAATTCCCTTCCGTTTAGCAAGGTAGGCACGAACCCTTCGTATTTAAACAATGTTATAATAGACTTTACCAATATTCCGTTAACCCCCTAAATTAATTATTGGGTTTGGGGTTGGGATGGTGCAACGTGGGGTCTCCCTCGTCGTTCCCTGGGAAATTTCAAAGTTGCTGTTGACCCTGTAAGTTACCAGGATGCTAGCTCCTTTCCTCTTCCTAGGATCATTCCTCCCGAGAGGCTGTTTTTTTCTCAGAAAATATTCCAGAAACATGCATAGCCGCGTGATATATGATGATGTAGGATCATATCACGCACTCCCTCAGGTAGTCTTGGCGACATGAGATACCTTTTATTTACCTGTATGTACTTAGTGATATGAGTGAGAATGAGGAATCTATAGATTTATTTCAGGGGAATGTTCTTTCAAATACAACCTGACTTGACTTGCCAATGGTTAGAGCATATTCGAGGAACATCCTGCGGGAGAGTAGCTGTCCCTCGATTTATGTATGACTCTGGTTGATCCCCTGCTGCTATTCAGATAGAGTACATGTATGTGCAGGGTTAATAGGTTCCACTTCACGGATATGTAGGGATTTAAACCCAGCAGAAAACGCGGAGGCCAAATCTCCTATTGTTCAATAGTAGTCGGTATGTATGTGTGCTTTAGGCATATCACTGAGTGGCATTTGTAAGGGTGCTGCGGTTTAGCACCAATACAATCGTAATCGTATCAGTTCCATCTGCCCGTACGATAGATGGCAATAAGTTAGCCAAGGCCTTTTTCGTATCCCTTTCGGTTCCAAATATATATTAAGCCGAGATAATTTGGCCAAACATACGTCGTAAGTTTTTTCTCCCGTGTTTTTGGTCATACTAAGTTTAGTTGACTAATCACGGGGGTTGGGGTTTTAAAGACGTTACATCTTATCTTCCGGTCGACGATAGGAGGACGAAGTCACACCTCGCCAAGATGTAACCTCGGTACCCCACAAACGTCACACTCTCGGCCTCACCATCACAGACTCTTCCATTGTTCAACCAGTACATGTAGGTACATTTGCGCTTCTCAAAGATAAGACATGCACTGCGTTGCATATTCTCCCATAAAAAGCTTATCCAAGTCTCAGCATGGAAAATAAATAAACAAAGACATAAACACGTACCTGATCTTTTCATACGCGTGTCTATACCTCATAGAGCAGTCGGTAAAATAACCATAAATCGACCCTATGATGTTGCCCCGCAATTCAACTTCACCTTCCAAATCCGCAAATATTGTGTTGTGGATCGAGGGATACAGCACAGCTTTGCCTACTTGTGTATGTAGGTATGAAGTAGGTACATGTAGGTATGTGATTCGAACCGATTTCAGCCTCAAAGAAAAGAAGGGCTAGTATACCAAATCAGTATCTTTGCGAAAAATCTCGCCGCTATCATTTCCTTTAAACGGCATCATCTCAGACGAATACCGCAACTGAGACGAATATCGGCGACGACCAATAATTCGTGCGGGGTTGTCTGTGTATGTAGGTAGAGTGCTTATTTCTCGAGGCTGGGCTGACCCCATCACCCACACTCATCAGGCTTTTGTGATTCTCGTACATCACGGGGTGTGCCTTAAACTGCGTTGTCCTTGCTCCTGTTGTGCACAACAGTCAAGTTCGGAAGCACGGCATCTCAGATCTTGTATTTGTTCTACCGATCATATATGTTCCTCGTTCTCACGCAATTCCCTCTCAGTGAAATTCTTACTACGTCCTATTAGAATTAACAGAGACTTTAAACTCGGTTTGGTGAATACTCTAGACTACGGCGTGATTGACTGGAAAAACTTACTAACTTATAATACCATGGCGATATGTGACAAACATAAGCGATAAGTTCGGACGGAACAAGGCGTGCGCTTGATGCAATCGTACATGTATGTATGTTGTTTTAATTGGACGGTTGATGGTTGTTGGGAATGAGCCAAGTAGGGCACAGTAGTTTTCGTTCTTAAAATAGTTGTGGTGGTCTACTTGTAGAGTGCCAAGAGTGCTTATCCAGTAGAGCAACAGTTGCTTAAGCCTGGCGCTGCTTCCTGTACGACCATACACGCTGTTTTATGTTAGTTACACGTTGGTACCGTTGTGTAGTGGTACATGTAACGTATGTCATGCATAGGCCTGTAACTTAGCAGGCTTATTACATGGATACATGTATTATCGAGCTCGGTTATTAACTTCAATGATCCGGATAAAAATTAAAGGTATTTCAAGGGGGCCAAGCAGAGTAATTAACTAGTCCCTTAAGATGTTGATCAGTAACTGTTATGTAAGAGTTATTGTTGAATAGTCTCCTAATACCGGCCGGATACTTCACTGCGGCGATGTTTGTATATACACAGTACCAACGTATCCCGCTTCTTGAATAGATGTTTACCAAGCAAACATCTTGTGGATAGCATCATCGTCAGACTACACATGCGTGACGTCTGAAGATCCGGAACCACGCAGATACCTGAGCTGCATTGCATTTAATGATATATTCGTGATTGCCTGGCCAGCTGGACTTAAAATATGAGTCTTATCTTGGTCATTTGATATAACTATAATCTCATATAGTTACCAAAAAGGTTGACTCGACTAAGTGTGGTAACATTCCCGTCGCGTTCAGCTTTATAGCCGAGAATTTGATGCATTCCTTATATGCAGCTGCAGGTTATTCATAACCACTTCTCATCAGCCATCACTCGATTCTCATAAAAAGTGGCTGCGAAAACATTGCCCCATAATCAACATACCTCAGTAATATCCATTATCCTATTATTATTTATTCAACATTCTAATTACTAGGCTGCGCTTCACACTATGTCCTGGCTCCATCTTTGGATAATCTTTTAGGAACCTTTCGTCAAATTGTTAATCATTACTCTGTTGATTTTCAGGCCTCCAGTGGCCGTGTCGGTCTTGCTGCGCCCCGCTGGTTGCACTCAACTATCAACATCTATTGTAAGTTTTCCTCATCTAATTGGTAGAGGAAAAGACCTCATCGAACCTCTAGACTGGGAGTTGATAGGATGTGGTAAAGGCCCACTTAGATAGTAGTGAAGGGTTTGACTAGTTAATATATTTCTATATGTCTACCTATTTTCCTACACTAGGTATAGATAGTGGTTACAGCCATATATGCATAGCTAGTACTGCTATGATTAATTTTATTTCTATAGTGCGTTAAGAAGGGAGTAATCTGATTATAATCGAAACCAAGCTTACTCAGAAATTCGATTTGGAATGTGTGTTTTCACGTAAAGAAAAAAAGGAGCCGTTATATTGGAAGAGGTATGACCGAATTGACCAGGATAAGTTTAGGACCCAGGATGTACGTATGTGCAGGTGACCCATGTGCTTGATTGAAGATAATCAACGCGTACTCTATATTGTAAGGTGGGTAATCGCGTTGCATCTCGGTCGTGTTCTATATCAACCAATTCAAAACACCATTAGATAGCCCTATTTTTGTCATAGTATGTACCTGCTGTAGAATATATTTTATATTCATGCAAAGCCAAAAGCACAGCATGGTATTGAATTATGGAACTGTATAGAGTAAAATTAATAACTCACACGTACAGGAGGCAATAAGTCTCCCCGATATTAATGATATCGTCTACCGAACACTTTGGATAAATCGACGGAGACTTCTGTACCGTTGATCCAGAATCTGGAAGATGGATATTCTTCCGATGGCGACGCGACGCGACGTGTACCCCTGTCTCGACTTAATTTATATATAGTTTCGAATTTGATTTTGGCTTCTTGCCAATCGGTTATTGTAATATCAATCAGTAAAAGGTTGGCATGGATGATTGTAATTGGTATTTTTCCATTGCATGTAATATCACTCGGTCGCTTGTTAGCCCATTGAGCCCAACCCTTCTACAACCTTTTTTTTTTTTTTTTTAATTCATTAATTGCATACCCTTCTACAACCTCTCTAATAGGAAAGACTTGTATAATCACCAGAGTTCCCTGAGGCTAATATGTTTATGGTCTTCACAATCGGATAGATTTCCTATCTAAGTATTTTAGCGAGTTCTTACTCATCCGAAGTGGAGATTAGTAATGAAGACGGGACTCCACGGGATAAGCGACTTTCGATAATATTATGCGTAGACCGTAGTATGCGAGATAATTCGATATCTATCCCCATATAAATAGTAATAGATAGCCGGTTTGTTTGGTGTTTCTGACCTTAAGGCTTATATAATTATCACGGTGGGCCTGATAGGTACCACATGTAGGGACAGTTGGAGCCCCTGGAATATATAGTGATGATCCCTTTTCAGAGATATAGAAATTGATGAGGCTACTGAAATCTGCCCACAAAACTGCTCGACGGGTCTGAGGATAGTACACAGGTAGTGAAGGCACCATTATGTGCCAAGTAGAGATGACTGAGGGGTGTGCGAACCAACATCTATGTTCAAATACGTATAATATGAAGTGATCATCAGCATGTATAGCTGCTTTAGTTAGATAACTTCGTTAGGCATAAACGGAGGTCTTTTCTCGTACCCGGTATATAGTTGGTGCCTCATAGCGAGGTCGGACTTCGTTTATATGGTTCTATCTTAGCACACCCCGTCTATTACGCTGCGTTTATAAAGTGAAGATGAAGACAAAAAATTGGTATGTCGTGATGGGTAAATTTAGAGAAAGAGATAAAGTTTGGCTTGAGGAGCTGTTCTTACATCTGATTTAAGGTGTTCGCCAAGTCCCGTGCCGCGTAAATCTGTGCAGCGGACACTAGCAGCGATCTACGGGGTTCCATGATTCCGGCCTTCCACATGTTCTTTTCCAAATGACGCCAGATCTCAGAGCACAAAGCCAAGTCGATCGAGTGTGGGTGTTTCTTTTATTCAGTTCCAGGTTACCCATTATCATAAGTGTGACTTAATCCAAGAACAATTTTCCCTAATCAGGATTCTATCTACACCCAGCCAAGGTTTCATTGGGCTACAGCTGACCGGCCGGATAAAGTGGATGGATGGCCAGCCGGTTTATGGGTTGATATACATGTACGTTTTGTCTGTCATACCGAGTACAGCATATCCAGATCCAGATCTTTGACGGAACCTAACCGGGTATCATACCTTCTTGGCTTTCATATACCAGCGGGGATATCGAGGACAGCCGATCGAAAGGGTCTTGGCTCAGGCAGCAGAGCCACATCGATCCCAAGACTCGGTATCGCAACCCATGATGGCGGTTTCACATGGCATAAGCTTGATATCGTGTCCCTTGTGGTCGGCTTGCGGCATGGCGGGTACATGTGCCCCCCTCATCTTGCCACAGGAACATGCAGGCCACCCTGGATGAGTCAGTCGAGTGCTAATCCATGAACGGATCTCTAGTCACGTCGCGGCCGTAGAGCACATGAACCTGAATTCTGGGGGCGAATTTGGTGCCAAGACCTGGAAAAAAATGAGTTCGTGACCCCGCTTCTGTTGGTGTGGTGAAAGCCGCGGGGGTGTCGCCCGATCGAGTGATAATTCATGAAGCCATAATGGCACCATATATCACTCGCGGGGGATTTTCGACGCAAGCAACAAAAATCGTGTTACTTTCCTCTTATCTCATACGATTCAAGCCAAAATTTTGAGATAATTCCTCCGCATCCCCCAGACCCTCGGCCCCACTCAAGGCCTAACATGCAGGGCAAGCCGAATTAACGCAAAAAAAAGTCCTCCGCTTCATACGAAGGGGGGGCCGGGGATAGGGATAGGGAACTACCTCACGCAAAAAAAAAAAAAAACTCTGCTCTCATAAAGAGAGTAGAGCGTAAGGAAAGCTTAGGGCCTAAAGTGGTAAAAAAAAATTAATTAACGCACTTTAGCTCCCCCCTAAGTCGGGGGAGGATTGGGGTGCGTCGCTGTGGGAGACGGAGCGGGGCGGGGGACAGTGCGGTGAGGTGGTGGCAACAGCCCACCGCTACTCACTAAGAAAGAGAGGAGGGGCTTAAGGTTGGGGCCGGAAGGATTTTAAGCCCCATCCCTTTGATAACTCCCACGAATGGAACCGGGGGGGGGGGGGTAGGTGGTTACAGCCCCCCCTTCTATCTGGGGGGGGAGGAGAGGGGTTTTTTTTTTGGGGGGGGGGGGGAAGCTACCATAGTTGTATAATTGTAGAGAAGTAAGGGAAAGCCGGGCGATATATAAAGAGATCCGATGCCAAGGATTGCGCATGAACTTCCGCCGCTCTGCCTTGAGGTCATGATCAGTATATGGTGCCGGTCCTAATTAACCTCAACCCCATCGATCAAACATTAAGTACCCCAGCATCCACGATAGAAAAAGCAATTAAAAGGACCAATCTGTATCTAGAGAATCACCAGAGCTACATGTACGTATACAGGATGGCTATTCCAATTGTTATCCATATTAATATTTCAAGATCCTAAGCGGGCACCGATCGGTTTGTATTGAAATGGACACTTTAATTATGCGTCTAGTATATATAATGACCGGTGCCAAACAATTTTAAAAACTACATGTACGGTCAGGGCGATTTATTTCGTTCGGGAACACATAAATTGAGCGAAAAACATGATCACCCTGCTCCTAAAACCACCTTATATGTGTGCAGATAAACCGTTTTTCGGTCTTGACCAATGGCGGCGGCTCACCACCGCTACAATGAGCCTGCTAGGGCTGGTTAAGTGCGGCGAGTGATGGGATGTGATGGCCAAAGTTTCCCCGGCATACTTGTACTTTCTTCACGGAATGTCTCAAAAGGGCGCCTGCTTTTTAGCAAGGCTGCGTCGATGTATTGTCTCGGTCACGACAGGCCTTGGGTTAAGCTTAATCTATTCGCCCACCCAGAAATTACATGTATTTTAGACGGAACTGCTTAGCCCCCTGTGTTGGACTAGGTTACCTTTTGTTCCTTTTTGTGATGAAATAAGTATTTTGATTTTTGATCTCGAGATTTCTCTAGAGGAAGGGGATGCACCGCAGTATATATCGATCCGATCGGGACTATGTATTGTATTTGTATACCAAGATGGCGGGAACTCGGATTGACTGACGTGACTGGCAGATGGATAGATGGGCAATCAATTGCAGCTTAAAGCTTCGAGGGTCATTCCTGTGCATGTGCAGTGTGGCAGCTGTCCCGGGGCCAGCTATCATGAGAATAGCTATATGTCAGCTCAGGGCCGGACACGTATATATACGAACCCACCACCACCTACAAAGCTCCATTCCATCTTTCTTTGACCCCGCTCACTCTACACACCCACCAGTACGAAGCTCTACAAAAAACCAAAAAACCAAAACAAAGATGAACCTCCTCCCCCTCCTCTCCTTCCTCCCCCTCCTCCTCGCCACCCCACACCCACACCCACACCTCTACGACCTCAGCGCCATGCTCACCGGCTACGTCCTCTGCACCACCACCGCCTCCTCTCCCCAGATCGACCCGGCCATCAGCGCCATCCAGTCCCTCCGCGCACGCCTCTACCGTCCCGCCGTGCAGGACAAGTCGGCGGACCCCTTCTGCACGGACCTGACAAAGAGCGGGACAGCCTATACCGCGATCTGCGGCCCGCACGACACGGTGATGCGGTCGATGGATGCGGGCAAGATGGCGAACCAGATCTACCGCTTCTGTAGAGCAGAGGTGGGGGGCGTGTGGAGGGTGGGCGGGGTGTATGTGTTTGATGGGGAGACGGTGCCGGTGGGGAGGGTGGTGCTGTATGCGGTTGGGGAGGAGGAGGGGGAGCTGTCGAGGCGTGGTGGGGGAGCTTTGGGTGGGTTGTAAGCCTTTTGTGTAGGTTCTGACTATACTCGAGCAGTATCATTAGCAATTCAATGGAATGAATGACTTTCCCGCCTCTAATACTTATTTTCATCATTTTCTTTGACTACCGAGATCTTCAAAGCCCCTCTGAACACCGCACCTCGATGACCCCCTCTAAAGATAAACCCCGAACCGAGTCTTGAGGTTTAATCACTTGATATCACTCGTCGCACTGTACCTAATCCGCCTAGTTCGGCATGGCCAGTCCTGGCTACAATAATAGTATTGGCCCCAGCAGCATGCAGCGCCTCTCTTTATATACCGAGTCCCTCGTTACAAGAAGAGAGGGCACAACTCATATCTAGGGGTTTGTAACCTACATGCAGTCTTTCGGCGTTGGCTTCTACCCTAGCTAGTGGTCTTGTCAGTTAGACGCATGCCAGTGCAGGTTGTGCATCCACACTGGGCCACAGAAGTTGGGGTGTGTAATAGGTATGCGGTTCTGTGAATCTAACAGGTTATGGATATCGATCGTTCAGAATACTGAAATGTATGCTAATTGATAATACATAGGAATACACACTGCTAAAGCTGATGCCAACGACGCCTACAACTTCGACCCAGCCTCCAACTTCCTAATCGCCTTTCTATAATTCTTCACCAACTCCCTCACGCCCAAATCCAGCATCACATCCTCACTCCCCCCGGGCACCACCGCGCCCGGCACATCCCTATAAATCCTCTCCACCAACTCGCCCCTCCCACTCCTCGTCAGCCCATTCCCACCCAGCAGCACAACAGCCGTACTCGCCGCCTCCGCCAGCACCATCCCGGCACTCGCCTTCACGAGCGCCAACACACCGCCCATGTCCGCCTCTCCCTGCCGCATCCTCCACGCCACGCTCTCAACCCACGCCCACTGGCTCTCCACGCGCGCACCCACCTTTGCCAGCCGGTGCCGCACAACGGCCTGCTCGACTAGCGCCTTGCCGAACGCCTCGCGCGCGAGAACGTATTCGAGCGCGGAGCTGACGGCGACCCGGGCCTGTCGCGTGGTGGCGATGGCGATGGAGAGCCGCTCGTGGTTGAAGTTGGTCATGATCATTTTCATGCCTTGGCCTTCGGCGCCGATGAGGTTGGAGATGGGGACGCGGACGTCTTCGAGGGTGATGAAGGTGGTCCCTGATGTTGCCATACCGGTCACTGCCAGCTTGCGCAGTGTCACGCCGGGGGACTGGAGTGGGATTAGGAGTAGCGAGAGGCCGCCGGGTCCGGGGCCGCCAGTGCGGACGGCGGTCGTGGCGTAGTTGGCCCAGATGCCGTTCGTGATCCTACATACCCCACCAACCACCACATCAGCACCGCACCGCACACCGAAAAAAAAAAAAAAAATCACCAGGTCAATCAATACAAAAACCCACCATTTCTTCTGCCCATTAACCACGTACTCCCCCCCATCCTCACTCCTCACCGCCGTCGCCTCAATCCCCGCCACATCGCTCCCCGCGCCCGGCTCCGTAATCGCAATACACGCCCTCGCCCTGCCCATCAACAGATCCGGCAGCACCCTCTCCTGCAGCTCCTTACTCCCATACTTGATGATCGGCGGCACGCCATACGCCATCCCGGTGGTCAGCGACGCGCCCGGCCCGCCAGCCCGCTGCGCGCCATCTCGTCCGCGTGGATCAGGAAGTGCATGTAGTCGAACTCCTCGACGGGGAGGCCGCCGAGCAGCGTGTGGATGCCGAGCCGCTTGAGCCATGCGATGGGCAGCGGGCCGGGCAGCGCGGGGATCAGCATGTGTGCGGCGGAGAAGGTGTCGAAGACGCTGGGGGGAACTTCTTCGGCGCGCTCCCAGTCGAGGGCGTGGGTGGTGAGGTTGGCGGTGATGAAGGCGCGGCAGGCTTTTTGCCAGGCGAGGTGCGAGGGGGAGTAGTAGGGGTTGGGGGCGCCGGTGAGGTAGGCGGGTTCGGAGAAGGGGAGGGGGACTGGGGCGGTCATGGCTGGTGGTGGTGGTGGTGGTGGTGGTGGTGGGTATGGTACGGTTGGTATGGTATGGGTTGGTGGGGTGTTGGGAGTGTTGGGAGGTTGGTGGATAGCTATACAGACAGACAGCTCGGAGCTGGAAGAGCTGGAACTGGGAGAGAGCTTGGGTCGGTGTTTTGTGGAGATGTGGGGAATCCTGGTTGTGTTCGCCCAGAGCCCAGGGCTGAGAAGCACAGACGCGTTGGTTGCCGAGGATGCATGTGACTGTCTGATACGATAAACAGAGAAACATCTCCAGCCCACAGCTAGATGCTAACAGTTACAGAAACACTTTCGGTTCTCTGGCGATATGCGCGCTTCCTCTGTGAAGGTATGGTGTTGAAAAAGTATTCAGGGTGTTGTTAGTGAGTCGAGTGATCGCCTGTAACGCCAGTGATTGCCAGCCTGGAAAGGCCGGTGGGGTGGGCCTGGTGGGGGGGGGAATAAAACCTCACGCTCCTAGCTAGCCAGTCGAACATCATGGGCAAGAACCCCGAGGGTCTTGTAGCTAGACTAACATGCAACAAGGGCTCTTCCCTCATAAGTACTTCTATGAAGGTCAACCGGCCCGACAATTAGCAGGCTGATATGATGGCCCTGATCTTAGTCGACAACAACGTACCGGGAAAGAAGGTATATCGGAGTAAGTAGTTAAACTAGCGTAAGCCTGATTGGAATACGAGCTGGATAGTTGTCTATTACGCCCCCGAAGCTTAGTCGTGGATTGATAGCACAGCGGTGGGCACAAAGGATAATATAATTGCCTAGATTTCCATCCTTTTGTAGTTAGCAATCACCACAACCATCATCATTGCAGGCAACTGGAGGGGCGAGAAAGGGTTGAAAAGCCATCCAGAAAACGGGGAATCGGGGGATCTGAGATGAGGTAGAAGGAGGGGGGGGGGGGGTTTCCTTACTCCTCATTAGATATACGATACATGTAGTCAGATTAGTCTTGTTCCGTATCTCGAGTTGTAAAATAACGGACCACTGCAGCGCAGATAGACCAGCCACGCAAAACTGGGCGGGTGTCTGCAAAAGGCCCCGAGGACCATTGTTTTCACCTCGACAGTTCTTGGAGGTTAAACGCATGCATGCACGTAGTCTGCAGTGCAGCGTGGAGGTTGATGGTTCGTATGTCTTTCGGATCGAGCCACAAGAGGGTGATGGTGTATTGTACAAGTGGTAGATTGTCATGGCAGGGTTAGGTTCTCCGGCTCGCATTTTATAGCATAGTAGATGGGTCCCTCTTCGTAGTCTAGATCACAATATATCACTCGGCCGTCCACAAAAGCACAACACGCACCCACAAGGCCCACGCAACAGGCACTACTACACTGACTGACTAGTATTGCAGCCCATAACCCTCTAGAGAGAATGTGTTTTTTTTATCAGTAAAAGACTACAATGCCACGGACTTTTATGAGGATACCATGGCAACCGTAAATATCAACAAAGACCAGTTCGGCTTTGGGATGTTCTTTCTCCATTTTTTTCACTCCACATTTGGGGATTAGTACTCAATGAGGAAGACATATTGGCTGCTGTTGGTGCATCCCCCCAATAAACCAGTTAAAAAATCACAGAGTTTTTTCTAAATGATCTTGACTAATGTAAATCAATAAATCCGAAGCTAGCTTTTTTAATTTTTAAATGTTTTATTGATGCATGCATTGATTATTAATAACTTTGGACTAGTGACATTACACGGTTCACCATAGAGTCCACGGTGTTGTTTTCATCGCTTACTCTATATAGAACACCGTAAGCTTTACGGTCTTATTTTTAGTATTTACATTACACTGTAGACCGTAGTGGCTACGGTCTGCAGTTCAATACTTGTACTGTATGGAAGACCATAACTTGAAGCTCTACGGTATTATTGTTATCGCTGACACTGTATAGAAGACTGTAGGCTCTACAGTGTTAAATTAGCTGGAATTAGTTGGTTAGGATGAGTTAGGGTTCAAGTTTTGTTACACACACTGGCTGCCATGCATGGCACCCTAGATATATTTGACAAAAGGCCGTGGCATTGTGGTCTTTTCCCGTTTTTTTTTTATCGATCCAGCATATATATATCCACTCGGCGTTACGTATACAGCTCGAATTAACATAAGAAACCCCCCTAGCCCTCCTCTCCACATGAAAAGCTAGGAAGGGACAAAAAAAAAAAAAAAAACCAACGCACATCAGCCCGACCCCATCTTCGTACAAAGTACAAAAATAGGATCGGGCTGACATGCGGACATATGTATACACGCAACAATGAAATCCAAAGCTAGCTCGAGAGTGACTACATGAGGAATACTTAAGGAAAGCTGGATAATAGAAACAGGAATAACCATACGGGACGACTGAAATGCATAAACATATACAAAGGATTTTACACCGGGGTGTCTATCCTGTTTCCAGCTAGTAATCTAAAGAGAAATCTTTCGCTACACTATCTGACAAACCAAACCAGACCATCCGATCCGGCTCACAGTCAACACGGAGGCAGCACAGGTCTGTTGTGTCGCTAGTGAGAATCGTTTGAGGTTGGTTGACTTGTCGGCCTGCCGGTCGTTTAAAGCGGTGGTTTCTGTCAAGGCAGGTAGGTGCAAGGTATAAGGAACGTGACGTCAAGACGAATTTTCGATATTATTATGACGAATGATATTTTGTGATTATCCTACATTGCCTCTCTTTCTATAGATGTGAAAAATATTTCATCAGACTACGAGAGAAGGATCTAGAAACCGAAATATAATCACCCACTCCCAAAAAGACAAAGAAACCCGTTGATCGAGCTTTGAATCGGGGCCGTGGGCGCAGGAGGAAGGAAGGGGTGAGCATGTCTCGTAGTGCTCTCCCAATTTTGGTGGTTCCGACAAGTTGACTTTTGCTATTTGGAGAAACAGCGAGGTAGTGGTGTAGCGGGGCTGCTTTGACGCAGTGATAGCGATAGTGTTAGGGGTAGGGGTGGTGATATAGTCTCGTTCCCAGGCTGTTTTATTTGAGATAGACATCGTGGTGGTTCTCGATGACGTTGGTAGTTGGTATTTTGTAGGAGGACAGGTGGGACGAGACATCTTTATACCCCTCCCTCTCTATCTCTTTACTAGAGTAGAGTACCCGTACCTACCCCCCTCTCTAGGTATCTCTCCACTACTCCAACGGTATGTACCCCTCTCTATCTTTATCGTACGAGTCAAGCAAACAAACGGGGAGGTTGCAAGATCTAGATCTGTCAGTATCCACATCCACATCCACGCCTACCTTTCTCGAAAGGCCGTGCACCACGCATACCTTCACGCACACGCCTTTCAATGACGCAGAGTAGAATACTCTAGAGAGAGTTCGCACGGTCTCGCCGACCGGGTATATACGAGGCCAGTTCACAAACAAAGAGTGAATACAAACGAGGTCTAGGTTTTTGTTAGATCTTTTCGCATCCGCCAAGTATAGTATCGCCTACCATTTGGTTCTGACATTTGGGGCGCGTGATTTAGCGCTTTAGGGCTCAAAACCTGTCAAGCACTAAGGTGCTAAAAGGGACGACGTGTAAAGACAACTTTTAATTGTTACATATGACGAATGATAATTTTATGATTTTTCTTCCTATATATGCTGTCTTCTTATATATATAGCAGTGAAATAAAATTTCAGCAGAACTGTAGAGACAGTGAAATAATCCCGGCCTGCATAATGTGACAGAGGAAGAAAATGAAGAATAAAGGAATGAAAAAAGGGACAAAGAAAAAAATCCCGAATTTCCGGAAGGGAATAAATCAATTTCCCGAAATGAAAGAGAATGAAAGAAAATTATCCCGTCGGGAACCCTGTTCCAGCACCATAGAGGTATCCGTAGAAAACACGACACACGACACACGACACATGTGGATCTGTATACATGGCATGAAGCCATCCCGCTACCGGACGCTCTATTCACCAATCAACCAACTAGCGTAGCATTTAGAATTAATGAATTAAACAAGAATAACAAAAAAAGCCCAAGATTCAGGGTGTCCGTCCTAAACGAGTGATAACCCATGACTTTACCAGAGTGATAATCTATGACTAACATCCGAGTGACAAACGGTGTATCTCTCCCCCGAACCAAACACCGGTGGTCGAGACAATAATCTCTGGCAAGTTCTTTTCTCGGTTCTGGAGTGGGGGACCCTAATCGCTAGTGATAGCACTCAATGCAACTTCTGAAATCTAGTTCTTGATCTAGATCTAGGTGGTATTCATAGCCAGGTATCTATCTATCCTATCTATCCTATCTATCGTATCTACATGCATGTACATGTCTTAACTCGGGTGTATATAAACAGAAAACACAAAAGAAAAGCTCATAAAAAAGCCCTGTAGGTCATTATCATAAAAGAGAAAAAAAAGGGAAGAACACCAATCGTCCCATCAATCATCTGTCTATAACCAAACCCGAAAAAAAAAGAAAAAAAAATGTGCAAATGTCAAAAAGTCCAAAGTATATGTCCCAAAAGTCCCAAAGCCCCAATACTCCATCCGTCCCAAAGGGAAAAAAAAGAAGGAAAAAAAAACTCCAAACCCCATCCAAAGCCCCAAAAAGGAAAGAAAAAGGAAAAAAGGAAAATATATACCTCAGGCCTCCTCCCCTAGGTCGCATAACTCGGCGGTCTCGCGCCCGTATCCCACGCCTTCACCTCCGTCCCCAACACAAACTCCATCGTCCCGCCCTTCTCAAAGATATCCCCCAGCTGACCCAATTCTTATCCCACTCCTCACCATTCACCTTCAAGCTCTGGACATAATACGCCGTGTCGGAGCCGCCAGTAGTCTTAATACTGACCTGCTTCCCATCTCCCAGGTTCAGGTTCAACTCCGCAAACCACGGGGACCCAATGAGGAACGTCGTCGACCCCGTCATCGGGTACAGTCCAATCATATTCCACAGCAGCCACGACTGCATCGCGCCGGCGTCACTGTTGCCCGGAAGCCCCTCGTTGCCCGTGTTGTAGTACGAGGTGGCGATGAAGCGTGCCTTCTGCACGCTCAGCGACTGCCGGTTGACGTAGTTGAAGAGGTACGGCGAGGCAAAGCTGGGCTCGTTGCCGGGGTTGAAGAGCGTCTTGCCGAAGCGGGCGTCGCCGCTCGGGTTCGCGCCGGGCTCGAAGAGCTTGGCGAGGCGGGACGTGAAGAGGTCGTCGCCGCCCATGTACTTGATGAGTGTCTCCATGTCGTGGTGGGCGCCGAACGAGTACTCGTAGGGCAGCGCCTGGTAGTAGTTGTCGCCCCAGTAGCAGCCGCCGCAGCTGAGCGGGTCCCAGGCGGGCGTGGGGAAAGCTCCGTTCTGGTCGATGGGCGAGAGGAAGCCCGTGAAGCCGAAAGCGGTCGACTTTGCGTCCCAGTGGTTTCGCCAGTTGCGCGAGCGGTTGAGGTACTTTTCTGTGTCGTCCGTCTTGCCGAGGCCCTTTGCGACCTGCGAGAGCGCAAAGTCATTGAGCGAGTACTCGGACGCGCGTGAGACGCTGCGGCTGTATTTGGTCGTGATGTAGCCCTTCTCGAGCCAGTCCGGGAGCGCACCGCGGCCCTCCTTGGTCGACGAGTCCGGAGCCATGGCGTCGTTGTTGTTGGCCGGCGCGACCTCGGCGTTCTTGACCATAGCCTTGTAGCCGTCGTCCCAGTTGATGCCGCCGCGGACGCCCTTGACGTAGGCGTCGGCGAGGACGTTGTCGGCGTTGCTGCCGCCCTGCACACGGCCGTTGAAGTTGGAGGAGCGGCCGTCGGGGAGGTAGCCGTCATGACGCCAGACGTCAATGAGCGAGCGGATGTAGTCCTCGTAGCGGTGCGGCATGAGGACGTGCATGAGCGGCGTGTGGCTGCGGAAGAGATCCCAGAGCGTGAAGATGTCATCGTACTGCGGGGGGTTTTATATTAGTTTTCATCGATCATTGACACTGGTTTATGTGGATTGGATAGAAGAGCAGGCAAGACATACATAAGGCTCGGTGGACGTCCACTTTGGGTTCTCTCCCGTGCGGTTCGACGGAATCAAGAACATTCCGTACAGCGACGAGTACAAAAGCCCCAACTTCGCCGAGTCCGTCTATTTTCACCCATCATCAGCTTCAATCCCCATCACCAGCCCATCACTCGGGTCATGCACACTACATACCTCAGTCGTAGTAATCGACGAAAACACCTCGTTATTCCACGTCTCCTTCGCCGCGCTCACCAGCGCCTCGAACGAGTTCGACTCCGGGATCTCCTTCTCCTTGAACTCGCACGCCTTCGCCGTCGAGATGAACGAGATGCCAATCTTGGACTCGACCACCAGCTCCAGCCCGGCGGTGGAGTTGAACGAGAGCAGCGCACCAAGCCTCTTCTTGCCCGACACCTTGGTCGCATTCCCGAACGACTCCAATGTCTCACCGGAAACAGCAGTCCCGGCGAATGTGCGTGCTTGCGATGGCGTCTTGTCGACCGTTCCGCAGAAATAGATTTTCCAATCCTCACCTGTTCATAATAAAAATATCAGTAAACAACACCCCCAGAACAAAAGAGGCGGGGGCGGGGGCGCGGGAGAATGATATACCTAAATTCCAGCCCCCCTTGTACACGCCAAAGCCGGTGTATTTCCCTTTCGCATCCACCTCAATCTCGCCCTCAACATACTTCTGCTCAATGCCCTGCCCGCGGAAACTCGGCAAGAAATGCGACACATCCACCAACACATGGACGCCTCCGTCGGCGCCCGCAAACCGATGCCGCATCATCCCCGCATGCGCCGCCGCCGTCAGCTCCGTCACCACCCCGTTCGCCAGCGTCGTCTTGTACCGGCCCACCTCGGCTTCGTCGTCGCCCACGCGCAGCGGCGCGTTGTCCACAAGCGGGTTCTCGACCGCACCCGTGAGCGGCAGCTGGGAGACGACGCCGTACTTGGGCGCGCCGCCGGTGCCCGACTCATGCATGAGCGAGAAGCCCGTCACGCGCCCGCTGGGGAGATAGCCCGAGTAGGCGTCGGCCGTGCCGGTGGCTGGAAGCATGTCGACGCCGATCTTGACGACACCGAAGGGGAGGGTCACGCCGGGGAACATGTTGCCGCCGTTTTGGACGCCCATGCTGGGGTGTGTGTTAGCATATAGCTTGTGAAGATACTTCTTCCTAACAAGTAGATTGACATGGTACTTACAATGGGTGCACATATCCCGTCATGTCAGCGATCTTGATATCGTCCCTCCTGTTAGAGGATATATCTTCACTCCTCTTACTATCCTGATCAATCGCCGACGGGTCCGCGGCCGCACGTATAAGGCGTATACCCAGCGCCAGCGCAACAGTAACTGCAATAAGAACCATTGTGAATAGTCCGACGCTCCAAAGTAGTCTAGGTGATGTGCAGTATCTCGATTTCTTCTCCTCTTCAGGTAGTTTCTTCTTCTCGTTCAGCTCTTCCAGACTTGCGCCGTCCTCTAGGTCCTCCGCCTCGGGTTTTATAGTAGTCTCTGTCATGATGAGAAACAAAAAAAAGACGATTAGATATAGGCTGTTAGTTTACCAGCCAGCGAGGGGTGGTAGGGTTCGCTCGGAGAGGATCTGCTATATTAAAAAAGTTGTAACACCGGACGATATCATGTACTCTACTCCGGGCGTAAGTATTAGTTAGTATCGAGGCTATCTTGTCCGCAGGGTCTCCCCGTGTGTTGCTTGTGCGGTATTCTATTGGCTACTGACTGACCAAGTAGCAGCTGGACACGGGAGACAGTATAGAATAGGGAAGATCTCTCTCTCTTTAGATTGAACTGATTGTCGGGGAGGACAAACAAAAAAACACTCAATATAAAAGAAAGATAGCCCTCATATATTATGGGAGGGGAGGAGGGGCCCCGGTCCCCTTCACGAGCCCCATGAAGCCGTTCCTGGAAAGTCATTCTGCTGCAGGATTGTGGCATTACCACAGCAGAAGCAATCTGAAAGCAAGGCAACATGTGGTGGATGTGTGATGTGGGATAAGCCCATGGCCATCATCCATCATGGGCCATGGGCCACCACCATCACCACCATCACCAAGAAACGGCCAACCAGCCAGCCAGCCACTCTCACTAGCACCCTAGAGGATGCATGAGCCGCCTCCGTGTGGCCATAGTAGGTATGGATTGTGTGGTTGCTGTCTTAATTGTTTTCAATTGGGCATAGTAGCCTATGATTGTGGTTTAGTAGGGGTTGGGGGGGTGGTTGAGTAGAATGGTGGTTGTGGTTGTTGTGGTTTAGCTCTGAGTCGTCCAAAAATTCCCCACCGGTGGATGATCACCATGCTACCGGAACCAGATGAGAGCGGCGCACATGCCATCATCCTGAGCTTAACTTTCATGGCAGGGGCAGGGATCATGTTTTCAGATCCAACCGACAGACACCTAACAAGTCAGTCAGCCAGCCAGCCAACCACAGCGAGGGTTGAGAGCATGAGCTACTCTTCTTCCCCGCCTGTCAGTTGCTTCTCTCTTCCTAGCAGAGTGGAGCACGTACCTACAGATCCAGTCCTGAAGACCTCGTGGGGTTCTCCATTCGCCTGAAGGGCAAGTAGAGTGCACAGGTGCAACTCCAGATATCGGAGATGTAGACAGTTCTACGGATAAAGATAAGCCATCGTTAATATCTTCATGCTATCTATCTATCCGAGTCCATCCGTAAGCGCGCCGACGAGGAGGATGAGAAGTGAGAAGAAGAAGAAGGAGGAGGAGGATGTCGGTGGTCGGGGAAAGAGTGGAGAAGAGTACAAAACCATAAACCATGGCGCTTAGCGGCGGGGAGTTACTTAAGTGATTTTTTTAGTAGAGAGAACACGGTTTTTCAACTACAGTATCTGGTTTCGGTACCCTAACTAATTTATTCTTCAATGAAAACTAAGAATTTAGTCCTAACCATATATTTCGAGTCAACTACTACACCTGCCAGCACTAGAGGGAGTTTGAGTCCTCGAAGTGTACCTACATCCCTTCCGACTACTCCAAAGAAACGAAAATAATCTCAAGTAAGCTCCCAGGCAATATCATGACAGGCACGGAAATGCTTTTCAAAGTTTACCTACCCTACACCCCCTTGCATTGAATGCCATGGGCCATATGCGGCTCAGTCAGCTATTTTCGTTTGTGTTCGGTGGAGGTAGGAAGTCTCGGCAGGTCCGCAAACAAACTCGGCTATGTAAAGTAGATAGGACCCTCCCTCCCCCCTCTTCTCTCTCCCCTACTAAAATAAAAATAATCACACAAATCATGCTATAGCCAAGCCCCAACTGCACAACCGTTCCCAAAACGAGAAAGAACAAGCTTTTCCTGCACCTACTCTACATACTCACATCCCCGATCATCCTCGCGTGTGCATGTATGTCGAGTATCCTTATCGCTCAGCGCCTCAGTCTCAGGAACGGTCTCTGATCTGTTTGGCGAGAAATCGTTCGAGCGCACGTACATACATGTACGTGGGGGTGGTGGGCTGGCTGGAAAACCCTATGTATGTCTGTTTCTCAACCTCAGCCAGCCATTCTATCTACTCCACCTCAACCACCACATCCTGAGCTGATCAGAGCTGAAAACCACCCCCGCGAGATGGCTAAATGCCAACCAGATAGACTATCGTCTTGTGGCGAAAATTTTGGCCAGATACTCTACGCTCGTTATTGGGAAGAGGAAGGGAAAAATATGTATGTACCTTCTAGATCTCGGGAGATGTGCTGTCATGCACATAATCTACATACAGTAGGTAGCTATAGGTAAGACCTAACTAGGGCTACATAGCCTCCACTATATTTTTCTTCCACGATGAATGAGGCAATAACCACCTCCTAAGGAGTATGTATGGTGCACACATCTTTTCGCCCAACAGCAGTAGCTCAACAAAAAAACCTCGGCCCGCAAAGAAAAATTTGTCACGATTATCATATGTACTCGATGTACCTACGTGTGAGTATCTCGCTCGCCCCGATTGATGTTGTGTGACTGCCCGGCCAGCCACCTTGAGTAGGGCTAGAGTTCTGTTCTGTTCTGTTTTGCTTGGTTAGGAAGATTATCTTATTGAATTAATGCAATAGCTTACGGATTCACCTCCGTGCCACATCACATACTCCAGGTACTACATAATCTTCTTTAAAGTATATTGGATACATAATGGATATATAAGCGGCGCTAACTCAAACTTTGTGCATCGGCTTGCAATTGAAGCCTAAGGCACCGATTAAAGAGGCGGAGTATTCTACCAGTCGGTACATACATTTGTTTGGTAGCACATGTCGTGTCTTCTTCTTCTTCTTCTTCGCTGTATAAGCTATATCCCCGGCTCCGTAACGGCCAGACCGCTTGTGTATCGTACCCTAATCCCAATAGAATAAGAAAGCTGATATTTTCAGCGGGGACGTTGTGCATTATCCAGTAGCCTTAATTGTCAGGGTTGTTTTTATAACGCAAGGCCTCTATTTCAAAGCATTAATTCAGATTCCTGATAATGCCATGATCTTTTCCGCTACACCTACTTTCGCGCGTTTCGTTCATCGTCGTAATTCTGATTTTAGGCATATAGGTATGCTGCCCCCGTATGTACAGCCACTGTACGTTGTCAAAGTTCGTATTCTCACTAATCCAAAGTGCGGGCTTAATCCCGCAAACATATCACCTACCATATCAATCGACGGAGACTTTATTTTCTACCTTCGTGGTACTTGAATACGAATTGCATTCGTATCTTACTTACTTGCCTAGGCTTCTTGTATCATTACCAAATGGCCCCATCTCCTCTAGATCTAACTAGAGAGAGCATGTAACCCTCCAGACCAAGCACGAAAGACAGTCCCGAAATACGGGTTTGTAGGTACTGCCTCGTTGTATAATGTATTTTTGTAGACGAGATTGGTCCCGACGGTTTAACAGTCTGGGCAACGGCAGAAAAATGCTGTCAACACGAGGGATGTGGTGAATATCGGCTACCGATTGGTACATATGATCGGGATCATGGAAGAAGAAGAAAAAACCGGCGGTTTGGTAACTCCATTTCCATCGGCAGGAAGGAAGGAAGGATAGACATGTGCTGTTAACCGTTAGAAAAAAAAACCTGCAGGGAGAAGGAAAAGGATTCACAGTAGTGTATTTGTGGGTCTTAACTACGTCACATATAGCGAAGGCGTCCCTCAGCCTATCAGGAGAGAGCGAGTGAGACACGATGGACGACACCTCATTGGCGCCAAGGCGTTAGTGGTGTCTTGGTGTTCTTGGTATCGTGATTGGCTCGTATCTAGGGGGCAGTGTCTGGTCTTGACGATGTTGGAGGAGTTGTGGGGAATGAATGATGTTTGGTGGGTGAGGAGTAGAGTAACGAGGGTATGTGGTATGCACATGTATGGATGGGGGTGTTCATGGGTTGTCACTCGATCGATTGGCAGGTAGCCCGTTTTTGTGGGTAAGGGTAAAGGGTGGTGCTTGCTGGTGCTTGGTTGCAAGTTAGGTGGCGTACGTCATAGGATAGGTTCCATGATCTGCGGCTGGAGTGGAGTCTTGTAGAGTAGGAAGAGACGAGGTCGGTCTCATGTTGACGTGGGTGGTGTTTTGGGCAGCCATTTTTACGTAGAGTGGCGAATCCAGTGCTGGATCTGCTGGCTGTTGATGAGTGTGTTCGCTCTGCCGGTACGTCATCTGGCTTCATGGGTACTCACTCGATACTAAATCTTTTTCGACCCGAATGTTAGGTACATGTATTGATTGATTAAACGGTTATATCGATCACTTGAGGTGCACTGGTTTCTTACGGAAAGGGAGATATTGCGGGCCTTCTATTCTGAAGTAATAAATATGGTGCTTTAAAATGGTCGCCCCAGAAGATAACTGCACGAAAAGGAGAAGAAAGACTCGATCATAGTATACAGTTTATAACTCTCATGATGTGTACACTGATAGGCCACTTGTAGTTTTCATAGGGCACTTGTCTGTTGATTTTCCGCTCAAGGCCACGGTGATTAACTTCGCTTAGAGATGAATTCAGTGCTAGCCAGATAAGACAATCTAAAGCTTGATACTTTAGATGTACAAATGAAGTTACTTTAATTAGAAACGGCATTAACGGCTACATTAAGCAGCACCAACTTTACGATCCCCCAGAACCCGTCGTTCGAGATATTCATGCATGAAATATCACTCGGCTACCAAGCCAAACTTCTGTCTTAGCATGTCAGCGAAACAACTTGAAAGGAGGGAACGGCGTCTTGGCAAAGCTGTCAATGATTAGAAAATCCTTTGTTTAGTTGGTTAATTGGTTGTTACCCGCCCTGCCATAAGGTTTGAGCGGGTGGGTCAAGCATCGGGGTTGGGGGTAATGATTGTGTGGGAGTTGGGGGTTCGGGGAATGTTGGGGGTGCTTTTTGTGGCTTTATAATTGGGAGCTATTTACACTGCAGTGCGGTACGGTACATTTGTGTGGAAGGGAGGCAGGGAGGTGAGGGTGTAGGTGCGTTTCAATGATAGCTGTACATAAAATATGAGAGGGAACGGAAGGGGTAGAGGAACTGGAGCTGAGTAAAATTAAAAGTTGAAGAGGAGAATAGACACCAAGCATTGATAAAGGCATGTAGTAAATAGCGCTAAGAAAGCGAGAAATTAGTGGAATAGTGCGATTGTATTCGTGCAGTTGGCAAAATGTACGTACGCGGTTTTACTATAATTTAATGCGAAGGATACTTACTACATGTATAGTAGCTATAGGGAGATGGAAGATGAGAGAAGGGGATTGTGATAAGCCCGGCGTCTGATGACATGCGTGAAGTAGGGCTAGAATTTATCATGAGGGTTACCACTGAAGCCTTCAGGCCGGCTGTTTACTTCAAAACCCCGAACAGATGTTTGTAGAGTCGTCAAACTAATTAAGCAGTCTGAACTTTAGCTTCCCGGAATTCCTGTTGTAGGCAATCTGTTGCGATCCTGGCACACACACACAGGTGTGACTCAGAGTCTTTTCTCGGATAATAGCCTTCCCCGCGTTCATAAGTAATAACAGCCTTTGGAATCTCGAGATATCAGTTATGAAGTAAAAGGCCATAATCTGAGCATTGGTATCGATGTAATCAGAGTAGCCAGCTCTTCCATATCGATTACAAACCCATATCCATGATAACAAGCTCTGACAGGCACGAGACCGAGCTATCACGATCTAGAATAGTAGATAAAAGTACGTCAACAACCATTATAAAATATCACTTATGCCTCGACCCGTCCTCTTTCCGTAGATTGCTTGCCTCCAGCAGCCGGCCACCTGCATGTATAATGCCTGCATATATTCACAACCCCCGCAAGCTCGCGCTCACAGTTCTACTCACCAGTAGTACAGTTCAGAACCAGCTCCTGGGTCAAGCCCTACCTCCAGAGCCTCGCAAACTACTAGCCTTGTCTTGAGGCCACACATCCCTCCAATCCCTTCTACTTCCTTCTATACACTCCAGCCTTTCATCATCACCATCTTTAACATCTTCATAATCCATCGATCCATCATGGTTACCTCCTCTTTTTTATCACCCCTTTTGATCCATCATGGTCACCTCCTCTTTTGATCTATCATGGTCACCTCCTCTTTTTACCTCAATGGCCTCCCTCCGAAGTCTCTCAAGCCCTGAGAGCGCTCCCACCAATTACCCTTCTGGGTAAGCTGGAGGAAGAAAGAAAGAGAGCATTCTTGCCTCTGCCTTCCGACCCCCACCAGAGATTTGTTTTGTCCCCTGGGATGGCGGAGGCATGGAATGAGAGGGTTATACCCGACTCTGTCTCTCCATCTCGATTGGGGGATTTGTTTTGGCCCTCGGAATAGTGGGGATGGGGCAGCAGAGGATGCACATCTTCTCGTGCTGCTCGTGCCTCCCCGGATCTGTTGGAGGTTAACTGGTGACTTTGAAAGTTTGTGAATATTTTTTTTTATTTATTTCTATATTTCACTGGTTTTTTTCTTGATGAATAGAGTCCTTATCAGAAGAATCACGATAACTGACACCACCATCTTGTAGCAAAAGCGGGAAAAGGAGCAGCGAGCTCCTGCTTTCTTCTTTTTTGTTTTTATGGGCCGTCCTGTCTCCACGGAGGTTAACCGGTGGGCTTGACATGCTTGTGAGTATTTTTTCCCTCTTTCTCCCTTTTTTTACTTTCTTTTTCTTTTGTATCTTTTGTCATGATGGAATGAGTTTCTGCTAGAGCTGGAGTAAGACTAACACTACCCATTAGGAGGAGAAAGGGCAGGAGAGGGTGCCCTTTCTCTCTCTTATATCTCGGGAGGAATAGTTGCTGTAGACGATGCTCCCAGAGATATCCTACAGTTAGTTTCGGGCCCGTTCTCCACGTTGGAGGTTAACCGGGATAACTTTGAGGGCCTTTGGGTATTTTTCTCCCCCTCTCCTTCTATATCTTTGCCTGTTTTAAATAGAAAAAGTTTCTGCTAGAGCTGGAGTAAGAATTATACCCACTAATACCACCAATAGCAAGAACAAGGAGAGGAGCCGGCGGCCCTCGGCTCCGGCGCGTTTGGATTTGGGTTCGTCCTCCACGCTGGAGGTTAATCGGTAGACTTTGGAAGCCTGTAGGTATCCCTCTTCCCCTATCACTCCTCCCTCGTTCTGTATCTCTATCCATTTCCCTTAATTAGAAATGACCCCTATCAGAGTTAGTGTAAGAGCCATAACCGCTAACACCACCCAGCAGGAGAAACAATAATGGCAGCAGAGGGACCTGATTCTCCCTGCCTGCACCATCTCCGCAATCGATCTTGGTGGGACCAACGAGAAATGCTTAAACTACATTCTCTCGCCTCTGCCTCCCACCAGCCAACTATACATTGGGAGTCATCTTTCCAGGGGACCTCTCAAGTACCCTGCCGCCGACACTCCCAGCGGTGACCGCGGCGCCCCCCCCCCCCCCCCCCCCCCGAGCAGCATCACTACCGCTGTACCGGCGCATGGGTCTGGGAGAGGTGCCCAAAAGCTAGTAAGGCCATTCCCGGGGCCTAGTTAACCCTACAACCATCGACCCATGCGGTATTGGGTCAAGTGCTCGTAAGGCCGTTTGCCGGATACGGCCCCGGGCGCCCTTGGTGAAAATAGTAGCATCAGGTGGGTGCTACTAGTACCATAGCGGTACACTGCTGTATTCTCCCGAATATAATGAACCGCCACCATAGCCCGACTGCTGGGGGCAGTCGCATGAGTAGAAATGGGGGAGGCTGTGGGGTTTCTGGAGGATGGATCCAGAACATGGCTGGTTGTACGTAGGGTCTTGTAATTTAGAAGCCTTTGTTGTGAGAACTGCGTGGTGTAGGCAGTGTCCCTTCTGTTTTATTCGGGGTGCTTTCGTGTTTTAACTCCTGTATGCGTGGGTGAGACCCAATGACACTAAACCCCTCCATATTGGGTCGCGACTTGCAGGAATAAAGGAAAAATTAGATAGGTCGAGATGTGATTGTCCTTGAACTTGTAGAGTGACAGCTTTGTGATATCGTTGCGTAATCGGCCCAAGAGATCCGGAAGAACGCTCTCACCCAGTTCAGGTTAAGGTTCGATATATGGTACGGAAAGGATTTAAAATGACACAGTCTTCGGTCGACGTGCTCTACGATAACACATGAGATGGCCTAGAATTAAGAGCGAGCAAAGAGTTAGGGTATGTTCTTCATCTTGGCATATTGCAAAGCTCAAGTATTACTTCCAGCGCAGCATCCACTATGGGCGAGTGGTCTAGTGGTTGGACTGCTCGTCGGGTTAGACACCGCGTGTTTGATCTTAGGATACCGAAGGTCCTGGGTTCAAACCAGGGGTGGGGGTAGTAACGCGTACTGATAAATAAGTCGTTGCAGTACCTTTTGCTTTTTTTCATAGTGAAATAAATTAGCTGGAGTATATTTTTATTTTTTATTTCCCTAATTATAATGGACTGTGTCGTTTTGCATCATGTGTTATTGCAGAGCACGCAAAGTAAAAACCGTGTCATTTTAGACGATACTACATGTAAGTGATGCCAAAACTCAGCTAGTAGGAGACAGTGCTGTACATACATGTACCTCCCCTCCCCACCACCCCACCATCCCACTACTTTACCCCCTCCCCTCCCCTCCCCTCCACCCCACCATCCATCCCATTATCCCAATCCTACTCTACCCATCCCCAATTCTCAACCACAAAGCAATACCACAAAGATGGTGTCTCTATCACATCACCCACACTCTTCGGCTCTCATCTCGGAGGCGGAAACTTCCTTTAGACTTTTTGGTTTTTCCGAGGAGGTAAAATTTAAAAGGCCCTCCTGGTAACTTTTTCCCTCCTGCCCCTGCCCCTTCCCGTTCTTACCTGGGCTAGCTTTCTTCCTCTTTTGGCCGTTCAGATGAGTATCGTCTTATTCTTTCTCTATTGACTTTGAAACTTCGGATATTATTAGGACACTAGTACTCTAATCTCTCCCACTATATAGGGAGGAACTTAGACCTAGTTCTCTGGTAGCGTTAACTGATCAATATCCTAGACCTTAGAGCCTATACGACACCTCCACTCGACCGGAATCCTATTACAGTAAAATGATGGCTGGATCTGTTTTACCGACCATCTGAAACAGCAGAACTCCTTAAATCCTTAGGCCTTCCTACGGACACAGACAATTATCCCTGGAGAGCTTTATGCTTGCATCTCGAGGTTACAGGAAGTATATCACCGGGTACTGCATCATTTCAAGCCTTTTGTGAAGCAAATTGCAATGCACAACTAGTGCCAAGAATCGGCCCGCATTAATGAATTAAACAAAAAAAAAAAAAGAATCGGCCCGCCAATGTTTACCGAGTGATAGTCTATGATTATTGGTAGATAAGTCGGAGACGATCTATCATAACCTGCTATTCTAATCATAAGCTATAAATGCTCGCTAATAAAAGGCTAAAGCTACATTAGTTAATTGGTTTGGAGTAGAGATTGACAGGAACAGCTCCGAGAATCTTGGTAGATTATATATCCTCTAAGAGCCAATATTAACGGAAGCTTAACGAGAGCAAGCGAGGAAAAAGAAAACATCAAACGACCAAAGTGCCATCATTCTGCTCCATAATCCGCTTACAATCGGTAGTAAACGTTTCAATCTCAATACATACTAATGCCTTTTGGGCAAGTTTTTCCTTTTTATTTCTCTAGAAGCATATACGTCTTCAACATTTATCATTACAAAATAAGGGTCATTTTTACATTAGCAAGAGCTAGTTATTCGCACACGGCTCATCCAGCCTTTAAACCAGGTACGGCCATCCCTTGGAGTACTTGATCTCGTTCCACCCCAAGTACTTGTCCTCATCGATATAGCTGACCCTGTTATCAACTGCAGATTCTAATTAGCATCGAAAGTCAAATAGTCAATTAGAGCGATATTATAACCTACCATAGTGATAGTAGAGAATATCCTTCTTGCCATCAACGAGAACACCCTGTCCACCAGGTCCATACAACCAGCCGTGGCTGCCGAGGATAACGTCGCCACCGCCATTAACCATGTCCGTGCCATTGCGGTCCAAAAAGGGTCCGTCGATGGTCTTTGAGCGCCCGACTTTAATCTTGTATCTAATTTTCCGCATGCATTAGCAACCACACACAACAGCCCGGGGGGTTGACATACTCCTCTCCAGCAGCAGGCATACTAGCATTATACCCACAGCAGTACCCGTGACTGACAAACAAGTAATAGTAACCCGTCTTGCTCGCATAATGGATAAACGGCCCCTCGACCGGATTCGGCGATACAGGATCATACGCAAGGTGCTTTGGCACCGCGCCCTCCTCAATCCCATCCATCGCCTTGTTCAATGGGAATCCCCAGATGTTAGTCCAGAAGGAACCGTACGACATGTACGGCTTTCCGGTCTTGGCGTCAAAGAGGACAGCCGGGTCAATGGCGTTTGTGATAGTCCAGGGCTCAGTCGCGTTGGGGTAGTCGTCGAGGTCATAGGAGCGGACTACTTCACCATGGTCGGTCCATGAGCCTGGAAGGAGCGTCTTGGAGGTCGCGAGACCAATGGCGGAGTTTTGCGCGCCGAAGGTAGAGACGGAGTAGTAGCAATGGAAGGTGTCTCCAACTTTGATGACATCGGGAGCCTGGTAGAGCGAGTTATTATCAGTAACTGAACTATCCGTCTGATGTGAAGGTTATTGGTTTACCCAGATGTCGTCACGGCCTGGGAGCTCAATGATGCTCTGGCCAGCATCAAGGACACTCCCGAGGTGCTTCCAGGGCCCGTAAAGAGTTGGAGAGCGGGCAATCGTGACGCGAAGATGGGTCCCGAAGGAGTAGTACCACCCGTCGTGCTTCACGACACTAGGATCATGAATGTGCACAGTACCCCAGCCATCGGTATCTCCGAAGATCTGCTCGATATTAGAAGATGAAGAACAACAAGAACGAAGGCCTATAGAGAACATACCTTAGCAGGATATGGCCAGTTTGACGACGAGAAAACGTCTTTGGAACTATCATCCTTCGTCGGCGCGCCCAAAACTGCTGCAGCCAAACAGGCCAGGGCCGTCAATTTCATACTCGGGATGGAAAACAACATCTTTGCACGCGTCGTCAGATGATCTATCTAGCTATTGAGCTGGAGAATGATACTCCAGCAACAGATACCGGATGATCAATGAGGTTTATATACCCCAAATCTCACGAACTAACCTGAACTACAACCCATCTCATCCCCGCCAAATTTAATTAATATATCACCCAGTTGCCCGGTTTTTTTTTCTACGGTCTTTATTCATCCGGGTTCGCGAGGTGGGGATAACAATACGAGAATGGGGAATTCTGGGGTTGAATTGCAAGATTTTCCGAGCTCTAGCTAGATAACTTGCTAGGCCGTACGGAAAATCTCATGAGATGAGGTATCAGGGGTACATCTGTAAGGGTTCCAATCGGCTAAATTGATAGCCAACCGAGCGAACGAGCCTCGCGTTGCCTGTTTTTGCGGGGTATACTCACTCCACGTGCTGTTCTGGGGAAGTCGAAGGGGATAAAATCAGGTTGTGGGGAATGGAGAACTGGGGAAACCTGGGAAAACCTGGGAAATTTTGGATGATAATACTCTAAACTTTCTAATGGATCCAATGGCGAGTTGAGTGCTTTTGGTATTTCAAGGTTGAATATTTGTATCTGTAGCATGTCTACACGCGTGTACGTGTGGTGAACGTTTTGATCCTATCTCTAGTTGGAAATGATCGTGCAACTGATTTAGATAAGATAAACACAACGACCAACATACAGGAACAATACTACAAGAGCAACACTGCTATTAGTACCTACACCATACCGAGATAAACCTAAGTACTAACTTTCCGGTAGCTAAGTTTGGCCTTATAACAAATGCATTCGGTAAAGAGTTCTCCGATAATTCATTAAGGAAAGCTCGGCATCCTCAAGTTCATCCAATACGGCTAATTACGGACGCCACTTCGGTGCCTCCTCGGCCCGGTCTCTAGGGGATTTAGCTTGATTCCGGGGTTCGGGTTCGGGACTCCCCGTTTAGCCGCTACTGTGTCTGTCTGTCGGCTGGTGGCATGTGTTTGAGATTTTAGTTGTCACACCCGTCACGCCCGGTCGTATCGGTACATGTTCTAGTAACAAGTACCGGCGTGACACCCTGGACAACCTTTTTTACTATTCACGGGTACCACTGCCGGAATCTCATCTCTAGTCTGAAGATTTGTTTCTCCTCTAGATCTAATAAGCATTTGAAACACGACTTGACATATTTATGATTAGAGCACGTACTCTTCTGGGACCATCATCCATGTCTTCTTCACTTTCAAGTTCTGCCGCTTGGCTAAAAGATGAAACGACGTCCAATAAGAATATCAGAAACAAACATACGGCTTAGAAAACAAATCAAAACACCCGTCATACCATATGGACAAAGAAGATCGCTCCGTTTCTTGCAACCAGTTTACAACACATGAAGTCCGACTTGATACACGATATATTATGTAGACTCCCGAAACCTATCAGGAGCCCTTGATCGAAACAGCAAGTCTACGTCTACACATTTATCATCTACATATATACTCAGTGGACTAAAGATCCTGAAACCAAAGTAACGATATACACGTGACGGACCGACACCACCCCCGAGCCCACTCCGCCCAACCGCAACCCCATCACCGACCCAGCCACCTCCGGCACGTCGCCGGCGGGGCCTAAGCCGCGCATGTCGGGCCCTTCTATCCGCCTCAAAATAAGTCCTCACCCACGCACCCCACACACCACCATTGGTCCGGCTAAAACCCCATCACAGCACACACACCCACTTTCTCCCCCATGCCCTGCCCTGCATATATATGAGCTTTTGCCTTGCTTCACTCCTTCTCTACCGATCCGATCGAATCTCGATTCTGGCACGGTTGTGTGATTCGTTGCGAATGCTTGGAATCGAATCGGTCGTTGGTGGTTTTGTGATATTGAGGATACCTAGCTGACATGACCCCCCTTCCCCCGAACTGACATGACGGACCGGACCGGGCACTGCCCCCAGAATAGTAGTAGAGGCAGTCTATCCATCTTTGACTTATCTGTATCATCACCATAGCTAGTATACTATAATAGTGGTGGTAATAATAATCACATAAAGCAAGGCTCTAGCAAGTTCGAAACAAGTCATATATCAGAACTCAATAATTACTATCGCTCTCTTATGATGACGCCGGATTTGCACTGGCGGCCGTCATCATTATAGGTCATAGGTGTTTAGAGAGGTAGGTAGCTGATATCGTCGCAGCGCTCACCAGTCAGTCACCACCCAACCAAAAAAAAAAAAAAAAAAATTCCCACACGAGATCCCGCTATCAACATGCCGTTTTCAAAACCTACCCAACAACCTCACACTCATTCTCACTCCTGAAACTTCCCTTCCACCTGTCTGCCTGCGTGCCCATTCCAAATATATATACAAAAAAATATGACCTCCCCTCTCATCGTTCCAACGCTCCTCCATCGGTCCTTTGATCGCGCCAAAGTGTTTTTTTTCTTCTTCTTACGCTTTGCAAAACTCATGTACCATGTGTCTCTGGCCATGCGGAAATCTAAAACACGACCACTTGCCCGATCCGGAACGGGAGGAGGAGGCTGAAAGAACCCTAACCCTAACTGCACACTGAGGCTACCGGCACTTAATTGCACTTGGCTCTTTTTCTCTTTCTCGCGATGCGGTAGGCTCCTCGGAGGAGAACGGGAAACCAGGAGTGGACCCTAAGGGCCCAAGTGGTCCCTTGACGAACGAACGAGGGAGGGCCCAACTACGGAGCGAGTAGCGGGGGCGAGACACTTGGAGAAGGGGGAAAGGCCGGGAATCCGATTTCTTCAAAAACCCCGCGCCGACGCTAGAAAATTCCGGCGGGAAGAGAGTCTGGGTAGTGTAGTGGTGAGGGTCTAAAGATGTCTAAAGTAGTGGGGTTTTCATATCCTTGTCACAATCCAACATTTACCTCAATATCGTCACCGAGGCTTTAGAAATTAAAGGCTTTAAAGGTTTTCGCACTGCACGATTTGAAGCTTTGGAGGTTTTTTTTTTTCCAGTTTTATCGAATTCTCATGTTCGATTTCCGTGTGAGTTTCTATTCATACAAAACAATAATCATCGTTCTTTCATTCTCATCATGACAACAACACTGTCCTCCTCCCCTGCCAGGAAGAAAACACCAAAAAGACAAAAAGAATAACCGACACAAAACTAAAAAATATGTAAAAAGAAGCCCAGCAAAAAACATCGCTGTTTAAGAAGTGAATGCAATCGTGAAGAAGAAAAACCCATGAGACCCCCCCACCCCTTCCTTTGCCGTAAGACCCATACAAAAGAAAGTTATAATAATAGAAGAGGAAAAAAAACGCCCAAAATGATACGCCCGAGAAACCCCTAAATAAATACCCAAAAACGAATGTGATAGTAGTAGTCTATCATGAAGACTCAATGGTGGAAATGAGCGGCGACTCTGAAAACTCCTTGCCCTTGATGGTGCTAATGAAAGCTCTAGTGACGAAGGCATGCCAGATCTTATCTTTCTTGATGTTGTGGTTGTGGTTGTGCTTCTTCTTGTTATCCTTCTTCTTCTTCTTTGAGGCGTCTACATCCCCGCCTTCCTCTTCTACATCTTCTACCTCCTCCTCCTCTTCCTCCTCGTCGTATTCCTCGACATCGGTGCCATCAACTTTTTCGCCAGCCTTCTTCTTCTTCCGGCTGTCTCTAAGGGTGGCATCGACAATCTCTTGTGCGAGCTTCAAGTAGTTCTTGACCGTCATATCCTTCAAGTTGTAGGTTTTATCGGTTCTAGTATTGTACTCGACCTCGTATCTAAATTCGCGATCCTCGACATCTCTGAGTTCAAGGTTTTTGTGGTGTGCCTCTGCCTCATCCTCCTGCTTCTCCGGCTGCCTTCCATTGATCCTGGTCATGTTGGCATAGTACTGAGTGTATCCCAACCATGTGAATGGCTGCATGGAGTAAGCCGGGCCGGGGGGAGAAGTCTTTGAGGGTCCGTCTGGAGAACCAGGTTCCTTCTTCTTCTTCTTTGTGACGGTTGCGGTGGTGGTGTCGAGATCCTCCTCAATTGGGCCAGGTCTGATTTCGTTATCGTTGCGGGACTCTCCAAGGCCGGTAATGTTGTACTCGACAACTCTCAATGTTGGGAAGTAGTTTGGAACGACGCTGGGTCCGACGAGCGAGAGAATGTAGCGCTCACCCCATTTACCGCCAATCTTCTTTGAGTAGCTGCGGCTTGCGGCCTCGACTTCGTCTGCGCTGGAACCGACCACGTTAATGGACTTGGGAGGTACGAGAAGGCCTCGCGGAGTGAGTGAAGGTAGGTCTCGGCATTCGAAGCGGTGAAGGTAGGGTTCTCCTCGTCGAATTGCATGACCTCATCTTCTCGCTCTGGTTCCTCCTCTACACAGCTCGGGTGTCCGGTGCAAGAAACCTTGGTCTTCTTTCTCGGCTTCTTGGGGCGTCTGATCTCATCTTCGTGCGGGGGCTGGAGTTCGTCACTGTCGTGAAGCAAGAAATGATCGAGATTCATATGGCTAAACCGGATATGTTAGCCAAAAAAAAGGTTTTCCTTACTATATCGGGGAAATGATCGACATACCCATAAATGGAGCCAACAATGACATCGCGGTACTGCTTAGACCACAAAACATATTTCTTCCAACATCTAAAGATCTCTGTTAGTTGGACATTCCTTGTGTCGCGGCGGGTATGTGGTGACAGCTTACGTTTCATCCCAACTTTGCTTGGTGCTCGTCCAAGCTGGTGGAACGTGCCCGATCAGGATTGCCTTCATGCCGATGTCACGCATCAACGCCAACTGGACCTTCAACCACTCCATCTGCTCGTAACCAGCCTCGCCCTTGACATCGCATCCGTCAACTGCCGCGTTAGATCCAAAGAAATAACTGCAATCCCAACCGTTAGCCAACGAACAAAAACCCCGCCTGAGGGAAAAGCTTATGAAACATACATTGTGTTGAGGGAAATGACTGAAAGTCCGCCCTGACTGCCCAATCCCATCTTTCCATTCGTTCCGGGAACAACCTGGGTCCAGAAGTACGCTCCCTTGTCAAACACGTGGTACTGGTCCTGTGGGATAAACCTGCGCCAGATGTCCGAGAACTCCCTGGTGATTCTGTTCGGTCCGGCAGTCATGATGTTGTGCGGGAAGATGTCATTGTTTCCTAGGGTCGGGATAATTGGTACAATCAGGTCGTTCGTCGGGTCGTCGTCGCCAAGGTTGTCGGGCTTTCCAAATACCGCAAACATCTTGTCCGAGATGCGACGGTTGAGGTCAAGGATCTGGGTTTCCGAACGAGGGATATTGGCATCGTTGTCGTGGCGCGCCGAATCGCCGGTCCAGATAACAAAATCGACCTCCTATTGTAATACGTCAGTTATTTAATTTTCGGCAGTTGCGGGATTTAGGTATTTTTTAAACGTACATCCTTCAGGTTCTCCTCGATCCACTTGAACGTCGCATTCACCAGTGTGAAGGGCGTATCACAATCCGAAGTCTCAGCGCCAAGCGTAGCGGCATTGCCCGAACCGCGGTGGCAACGCTGGAGAGGATCTGAACCGGTAACATAGAACGGATCTGGGTGTACATCTACGCAAAAACACAAAGTCAATATATATTACAACACGACCAAAAACCAAAAAATGCGCAGAGTATGGGGGAACAAAGTTTGCTCACCTGAGATGTGGAGAAATCTCCCCTTGAGTTTCTTTGGCTGCTCCTGGTTCGTCTGGATCACTTGCTGCTGCTGGGCAGCGTTGGGCAAGTTCTCGACGTGCGCCGGGGGCTGGTTATTTACGGGGGAGGACTTTGTCGACGGAGCTAGAAGACAGACTGCAAAGGCAGCAATGGCGGCGGTGGAGGTGGTGAACCGCATATTGGAATTAGATTGGCCCTAGCCAGGCGCGGTAGATGGCAAAGGTAGCAAGAATGGGGAGAGGGAGAGAGGAAAGAGAGCTAAGTTGGAAAAAAGAAGATATCTAGATGGCAGGACAGGTGAGGTGAGGAGGAATGATGGAGGAAATGAAAAAGATAATGTGAGGGAAAGGAGCAGGAAGAAATAGTAAGTTGAGATGGCGGGGGGAAGGGTAAGAAGATATATATCAAAAAAACATAGCCATCGAGTTATGTAGAGTAATAATAATAGGAATAGGATATGGATAAATAACCGCACTATCAGGTTAACACGGGAATCAGCAAATGTGCTGTGTATCGGCTGACGGTGTGATTGGCCAGGGATTTAGAAATATGGGAGAGGAGGAGGAGTAGGAGGAGGAGGAGGAGAGTGAGTGAGAAGGGGTTCAAGTCGAAAGAGAGCTAGCTAAGCAGCAGGCAAGGTGTCCGTAAAGGTGGGATTGTTGGCTTGAAAATTGAAGATGTGGGCGAGCTACACCCTGCTCTGTGCTTAACGCTAGCTTTGCGTTGGTTAAGCGCAGCTCAACTTCAAAATAAAAAAACCGCTCTTTGCTTGCTTGCTTCCGATACCTCCAGATGCTGCAAGTGAGGACCCTGATGGCTGGAACCAACCCTCCCACATTGAAATTCCCTCCCTCCCTCCTCAATTCCCCCCCCCCCCCCCCCCTTTTCTATTTTCATGTTCACTTCCCCATCCATCCACACATCTGCGGGGCAAAACCTGGGATGGAGGGGCAGCAGGCCTAGCTAGGCAAGAACGAAAAAAGAAAGGGCAACGCAACGCAACGCAACGCACGCACAAAAACGTCCGCCGCCACATCCAGGTCTCTCCCAAATGTAGGTATCACCGTGACACTTTCCAAGACACACGCGACACGTTCCTATATCTCGAGTCTAACTGGCTCTCTCTCCCCAGCTACCTTCAATCTTTCCCACAAAAACCTGAAAAAACTGAAGCCCGCTCCCGAGACCAGTTGCGATATGCGAAAAGAAGGCATGTAGAGTAATGTAGTGAGAGTATGTAAGCAAAGACAGACAGACAGGCTGATAGGCAGGGCTCACTGCGCTGAGCGGCGCTGAGCCAACCGTTCATTCAGGGTGCACGTCCCCTTTGATTGGTGGGATGGACCAGGGTTATGACGTAGGGTTCGCCATTATGTCAAAGTGAGATCAAAGAGCCTCTCTCGACTCTTCTATCACCATATTCCATAGATAATTTCCCCTCCCTCCCTCCCCTCCCCAGATTATGGCACCCTCTCTCTCTAATTATTCCCCCGTTGACTTGCTTCATGACTGTGCGAGATGAATCTTTGGCAGAGAGCGTCATCTCCAGAGTCAGACAACCCAACCCAGCCCTTCTTTTCCCGGTCATGAGGTCCGACCTATTGCAAATAGGTAAACAGGAGATCTTGTTTATCACTTGCCCACCCGAGTAAATAATACGTCGGAACATCGACAACGAACGAAGCAGCAGAAAAACAGTAGGTACAGAGCTCAGGGTGGGGTAGATGTACATATCCTCGAGATAATCACAAAATATTAAAATAAAATAGCTCCCCTAGCTTCCTCTCTGGCCTCTTTGGATTGATGATCAAGAAGCTAAAAAGTGCCTGCTTTGTTGATCTCACACACCCCACTCACAACAACCGCAACGCGCGCAAACCGGTGGGGGGAAAAAAAAAGAAAACCAAAAAATTAAAACGGAGGAGAGTAAAAAAGGAGCGACAGTTACAGACAGTTTCACTGCATCAGCTCTCACTGTCCGTTTTTTTTTTACTTTTTTTTCTTTCTTTTCGCGGAGCGTTGTCGTCGGCCCATCAACATGCTGTGGTGGTCTCGTGCGGCTACATGCTGCTTGCTTGCTTGCGCCCCGTAACCCCCGCATCCCAAGGGATGGGGCACCACCCACCCACGTCCCTACTCCCCTACATACCATATACCCTACCACCCTACTAACCCTCCCCCATCCAAAAACTCCAGCAAGATCGGGCGTTGGCGCGCTCGATAATCTAGCATCTTTTTCTGCGATATATTACTCGCAGCAATTCTCCCGGTAGGGTTTGGGTTGCGCGATATAGACAGCCAACTTAGATCCAGAGACGAACGTCCGATACCAGTGCTAATTGACTTGACTGTGGTGATTGTTGTGATATATCTGTTCTGTTTTTTGTTGGTGTTGTTGGTGGTGGTGATTATGAATTGCATATGTCGGCCGGCGGAGAGGAAGGGAGGGAGGGAGGGAAGGGAAGGGAATGCACAGGATGGATGGATGTACCTACCGTACCTACTGTATAGTAGGTACTCCTATCTTTAGATTGCTTGTTTGCTTTCTTTCTTTTTTCTTTCCCTACCCTACCCTACTCTACTCTCACGAAGAGGCAGTTCGGGGAGTAGGCATGTATCCAGAATGTAGAGTAGATGCCGGCGTGCGCGCGGGGTCTTCGCACAGAGTCGTGATGTAAGCCTATGTCTGTCTGTCACACCCTCTTCCACCTCCCTCAGTAAAGTACATATGCCGCCATATCCAGCACAGAGCTATGTCCATCCTCTACCCCAAAGAGAGAAAAAAAACAATCCGACCCAACCGCAGAGGGTGACGCCACTCCTCCTCCATCCAGAAGCAATCCAGAATACTCTACTCTTGACATCACGATATATATCTGCTCGCTATTTATTTATTTATTTATCGCCGGTACAACGTTCCGTCAACATAAGCTTTTTTTTTTATTATTTCCTAACAGACAACTCTCTTCGTCTCGTGCCCGCCCCGGATCCTTATCCCGGCGCTCGGCTCCACCAAATTAAAACTAGAACCTAAAGCTGACAATTGACAAGACAAGACAAGCCACGACGAAACCGCCTGCCAAATTATAATAAAGCTGTAACATAGGTACATGAGAGTAACACCCTAAACATCTCAGTCAAAACCCAGCAGCATAACAATTACAACCAAACGGCCACCGTACACAAGGAAAAAAAGCCTCGACTCCTATGCATCAATCAATCAATCAATCAACCAGGCATGCTGCGAAAGCAATTATATCAACCCCAAGTGTTAAACCAAGCAAGTGGTAGAGGTACCGAGAAAGAGAGCATGCAGAAGTCGAGGTAGGTACCGACATACATACCGGGCGGAATCGAAATCACGACTCATGCTCTCACCGCTTGCCTACATACATTGACTTGTCTCTTCGGGCACGGCGGGTCGGCGGGTCGGCGTGATATAACTACAATTGCGCCGAAATGCGCATCTCGTCACTCAGTTCCTACCTCTAAATTCAATCTTATCATATATCTACATACTATTCTCCGCGGCCGGCCGGGCTACTAATCAACCGAGCAGCGTTACTTATTAACAAAGCTCACTACAGTCACGCATACACCCAGCGTGACACTCCCCACATCCCACATTCCTTTTTTTTGCCCCTCTCCTCCCAAAAACAGGCCGCCGCCGCCGGAAAAAAAAGTAAACAGATCTCCCAAACCCTGCATACCACAACGCTACGTTCGCCTTGCCTGTAACATGACGAGTCGATTTCTGCGCTGCATACTTTCTTTTGCGCAAGATTTCAATAGGCACTGAGACGGCAGGAGAGACTGCGCTTGACGCAATGGGGTAGGCGGACACACGACAGACTCGACTCGGAGCTACGCGGGCGGGCAGGGGAAAGGCAAGCGCGGCGGGTGCTGGATTAATTACAGGTTGTAGTTACAGTTACCCTTGGTCGAAGTGTGACAATTCTACCGAGATAGGTACTCTACTAGTATTTGGAGGATGTTTCCTTTTTTTTCTTTCCGCGGGAGGCGCGGGATTAATTGGGGGTTAACAAGTACATAGCTAGGGCAGAGACCTTATCGAAAAGACGGAACTGTGGATGGGGATAGGTACAGTACTCTACGTAGGTACTCTGCTCTGTGGGAGAGGAGAGACATAGAACTGGCCATGGTAGAGACGTACATACATACATGTAGGTAGAGGAGTACTCTAGAGTACCTAGATTCTTCACCCACATGTAGCTCGCCAACAGGTTTCTCTCGCTCCCTCGCTCGGCTTCTCTGGGTGGGGGCAAAATCCGGGGTACATATACGTTACGTACACACATGCCCTGTGAGACCCTCCCTACATGGTCCACATCTCGCCTCTGAGTTAAAGCGCCTCCAAATACCGTCTCTACTCACGACAACTATCTAGAACCCTCGAGTGAGACAATAGCAATGGGCAATATAGAAGTCGTAGAGTACATGGTGTAGGTAGCTACCCGTCGACGCGCGATATAGTTACATCTCATGCAAGTATACCAGAGCTCACTTGCGAATCCGTCCAGGCTGATCGTATTAACCCTGGGCCGGAATGGAATGGATACTCTCGAGACAGTTGACAAGCGGCCTGGGGCGCCTGGCTGTCTTAGAGAGTGGCAATGACATAACTGCGTGTTTTTTTCTTCAACATTGGAAAAAATTCTCTTCACCGACGAGTGCGAATCCGTGAACAAGTCTAACTAATGACTTGGCCCGGGCCACGAGGATGATCCCCCCCGCCCATCCCGGCAGTGGATGTGCTGCCGCGGCGGCCCTGTCCCGGATCCCCGTTACCGGCAGCGTAAAGATTTCGGAAGCGAATTATATTGTCTGGCATGCATAACAGCGAGGGAAAGAAAAGTAATTACTGCGAAATTCTCCTGAGCGAATTTTGAGATGGCTGGCAATTATTAGCTTAGAGAAAACAAAACCGTGCGCTGTATGCAAAACGGCAATGTTGAAGGGGGTTCGTCAAAAAGCATCATCCAATAGCCCTCACGCTCGTTTACCATTCATGGACCCCACGTTTTTGTTTTGAACGTCATGAATTGGGGTATGGGTGCTTGAGTGTGTGTGCGTGTGTGACCAGCATCTGCGGTCCGCTTTTAAAGGTACCCGGGTTTGGGTACGATACTGCAGCTAAGATCACACCCCTTGTCTGTCTTTTCGACATGCCTTTTGTTATTTGGAAAGGCAATCAAGCACGAGAGTTGAGGGGTGTGGACATGAAGTGCTGTTTTTAGTTATGCGTGTGTGTGTGATGGACATGGGGGAGTGAGTGGTGGAAGCGCAATGTTTTTACGTAATTGCATCTCCCCTGCCTGACAGAATATTTGTTTTGCAATTTGAGTGGTTCTCGTGGTGAAACGTTCCGAGCTTGATGCCCGGCGAGATGGGAATCCGGGGGTGGTTATTGGGGTGTTTTAACTGATTCTTAGAGATGTTTATTTCGACTACATATGTAGAGTCTACGGGTAGGCCATATTTAGATTGCTAGGGCCTAGCTAGCGCTTCGTGCCATGAGTGAAGAACTACATGTGTTCAATGACCCCGGATTAAGCTGGATTGAATTATTCTTGAGGCATTAGTAAAACTTGGATAACTTGGAAGCAATACTCGGTGGATCCATGAAGATGAGAGTTATAACGTACCGGCAGCTGAGCCTAGGAACCCTTTTCACCGGAGGTTACGAACAACCTAGATTAAGTGGTTTAGAGTATGAAGCTTCATAGCTGCATAAATATTGATAAACTTATGTACATGTATGCAATTCTCTTGGAATTGGTAGGTCTATGGAAAGGTAGCGAGAATATGGAATATTTTTTAAGGCACCTAAGCTTGAGTGTAAAATCTTAAACGTAATCCGCTTCTCACTGTGGTCCGAGTTCCTGAATAGGGTGCTTATGTGCTCCAGATGTCTCACAATCCACCGGAACTAAGGATAGTAGCCATGCACAGCGGATATCGGTTTCCGTGCTCTACTAGCTCTCTGTAGGCTGGGAGCCCATCCATCCGCCTTTCTTTTTTCTTTTTCCTTAAAATATCATTAGTGGAAAGCCCAACACTTAGTCGGTAATGAAGATCTCGTGGGGGCCGCGGCTCCACAAGTGAAAGCTATGGTCATCTTGTTTGGAGTTTATCTATTGATCCGCTAAGTTGAAGAGTTAAGGTGGGTGTAGATACGGATCATGAGATATCACTCGTGAAGATCACAGCTACAGGAGAAGGCTGACTCGCTTCCTGTGCCGACGCCATTTGTGATACGACTTTTTTTTGGCTTTATTGGTAACTGTCCCAGTGCGTGCCGTGGCGTGCGTGCAGGCACTGTCAGTATCGAGCGGGCATAACATGCGGTTTGAGAATTCGAATTTAAGAAGTTCCGGCCCCTCGGAGTCACCTAGCCAATCAACGTAATGTTTTCATAGTGCTGGTTTCTATGATAATTCAGATCTTATCATATAATAGGGTTCGGTGTAACTTCGGAGAAGGTATTCACACACACAACTTCGGAGAAGGTGGAGTTGTTCCAGAAAGGCACCCGAGCAGTGCAATGCTGTAGTACAGAGGCTTCGGTTCTGGAATGACAATTCTTGGCGGGGCTCGGATTTAGCTTTCGACTGAGCTATTATACCATTTACGCGTATGATAACGGTTTGCATAAAATTACTATAAGATTCACAATGAATAAAATTAGTAATAGCTATATAGCCTTTAGATTTGAGGCCATGGGTGCATGCATGCATATGGGATAAGCTACTAAATAAGATTTAGCACAAGGTTTCTCGCGTGAGGAGAGTGAGAGCTCCTACTTCATTACTCCCGTTGTAATCTCTTTGTTTGGTTGTCTGAGAAATAACTCTCCACTTTCCCTAGGGCCCCATTCGTCTTCATTCTTGTTCCAGTCATCGCCGTTAAAGTCACGGTTTCGGGTGGTTGCACGCATCACGCGCGTGTGACACAATCCTTCCGGACTCCGAAGCATGCAGGGACGTTCGAATTGCTTATATAATTCTGTCGGAACCCATTGATATATGTGAGAATGCGTTGTTATGGATGACGTGACGTACCAAATGCTGCTTGCCTCTGCCCTTTATTGTCAGTAGGTGTGTAAGTACCCTGTGACGCGTGGAGGTGGGGGGGTGGCTTTCCCAGACATAGCTTTCTTAGATATCTTGATGATAGTCAAGCAATCATAACCAACTGCTGATCAAAGCTGATGATTTGCTCGTGAGTCGCACAGTCATGATATATCACTCGTTGTTTCATTCCGATTGCTCACGATTTTTTTTGTTTGTTTAATTCATGGTTGCTCACGACTGCTCAGAGTTGTTTGATAGGTTAACTATGTACCGAAACTAGGCTGGTTGGGCTTGAAAGTTTATAGGGAAGCAGATAACCCCTGTGCGTGGTAGATGGTTAGAGGTTTAGGAGTCTAACTGCGTAGTATATAGCCTAGATCCGGATAATGACACCTATAGTCTAGGTTCATACGCAATGTGTCACATTCAGGTGTCCCATTGGCACAGAATGTGTGTCCGTTTGGCACCAGTGTGACAGGCTGTTCTCTCCGGCGTAGTGTTACGCCACTGGCCTCACACAAGATAGGGTTAGGGTTCCCTACAGATGAAACACATTTCAATGAGTGACTCCCAAAGCTACATACCATCGCCAAACGATGCCGCTGAATGCTAATTGATAATGAGACCGCTTCTATAGACTCTGCACCTAGTACTCCGCCGGAAGTGAGGCATTACCATGTTTTCGTGGTGTGGGTCATGGATCATCACTCGCCATGATTTCCTCGGGGGGGGGATGACAGTAATTTCGGGACGGGTATATATATAGCATATTTCAGCTCACCACCCCCCACCAAATGAGCTCTAGGATTGCTTTTCTGTCAATCCTCTTTTCGCGGTAAAATTACTACATACACGTATATGTATACCCCTTGTGGTTCTCGGAGTTCCGATCCACGCCCTGCTGATGTGTAGTAAATCATATATACATGTAGCCACAGTCATTCCCATTCACTAAAAGTGACCTCTTATCCAGAGCGGGTGTATTCTTGTACCACAAGGAAAGTACCCCCGAGGTGACCTGGGAACGTTAACAGTCATAATCCCATCGCACCAAATGTACATGTAGTCAGTGGTATCGGGAGGAGACTCCGACGTGAGCCATAGCTACAGCGATACTTTTTGTCCTGTGACGGAACCCTCATGTATTCGTAGGACAGCACGAGGGAGTCAGATGCGGTGGTCAGGTGGGTTAGGTTTCGTGCTGCTTAGTAAGCATATTGATATCCCAAGCGGCGTTATCGGTTCCTCCTGAGTAGATCAAACGTTGTCTAAAGTATAGAGTGTTTGCAAATTAAAGTTCGTGGCCATGGTGTAGTTATTAATGAATTAAAAAAAAAAAAACGGTGTTGTAACTCCCTTGTTTACCCTAACCCTGATGGGTACTATAGCGCAGGTTCCCTAACCCTAGCCAGTCTCGTCGTCTACTCAACCTTACGCCGAGAGCCGTTCAACCCTTCCCCCTCTAGAGAAATCAAACATCAAAATAGCGTTCCTAATTTATTTCACTCCAAGAAAAGAAAGAGAAAGAACAAAAGGTTCTTCAAAACGACAAAAGGTACTGTAGCGACTTATTAATGAATTTGCGCTACAACCCCCACCCCTGATTTGAACCCAGGACCTTATGTGTGTATTGGTTGTATCCTGGGTATGCTCGGTGTCTGATGAGTAGTCTATCCACTAGACCACCCGCCCATAGTGGATGCTATGCTGGAAGTGATACTTAGGCTTGACAGTGTACAAAGATGGTACTATTAATTATATTACAACTTCAGACGTACATGTAGTTAATGTAGGGTTAGTTGGTGTACATTTAATTAACTTTCTTTATGGAATGTTCAGCTTGATCTGACTATAGCTACCCATACCCCCCGAGAGGTTTGTGCTTCGAAACTTTCCATAAGGAACGACCAACTACATGTACTATCACTACCGATGTTGACTGACTTAATACCAAGGCCACTGCCAGCTTTTTTTTCACTATTTATATTGTGCTAGCTTTATAATTTGCGAAGAGGCACCTATTGTAAATACATGCACCTCCACAGACCACGATTATAAATTTATGACACCGAACAGGCAGCACCACAATAGAAGTCTTCACCAAACTGTCAGATCACAAATTCACATAACCAACGGGCCAGAACGTTATAGATATACGGCATAATTTTTGAACGGCTCTCAGAGCCTTTATACAAAGTAGTAAACACTAACTAACAGAAAAGTAAAGGAATGCATAGTTGAAGAGCTAGCTCCTCCACCACCACATCTTCCCACCATGGAAATAAAAAGTAAAAATACAAAACAGTCACCCCTCCACTGGTCAGGTAACGTTCATTCAACTAACAAATCTATAAACAAACTAATGCATTAGTAAACTATCGTACATAACGATGAGGAAATTTCAACATACCTTCAACAATCTAGTTACGTCCACCAGGTCCGCCGTGGTGACCACCGTGTCCAGGACCACCAGATGGCGCAGCACCTCCAGTAGTGCCAGTCGGGACAGCACCAGTCGAGAAAGCCCCACTAGGGGCCGCACCACTCGGGACCGGAGCGTCAGTTGGCGCACCAGTAGCAACGGGAACGTCAGTACCGATTGGGGCACCAGTAGCTACTGGGATGCTAGTAGCAATTGGGACACCAGTTCCAGTGCCGAATGCCTGAGGCGCGAAGACACCGCTAGCGGTAGGAACAGCACCGGAAGGGAAGCCACCAGTAGGGAAGACGCCGGTGGGGAAAGCCCCAGTGGGGGCGGGGCCAGAGGGAATGGCGCCGGATGGGAAGCCACCGCTGGGAATGGCAAAGGTGGGGAATGCTCCGCTGGGAGCAGCACCGGTGGGGATATCAGTGGGAGCGGCACCAGTGGGGATGGCGCCTGAGGGGGCCTGGGGAAGTGGGACAGCGCCGGCCAGGGCGGAGAGGAGAGCGGCGGTGAAGGTGACGGCGAAGAACTGCATTTTGGTTGATTGAGGAATTTGGAAAAAAAGACTGTTTTGGTGTTGTCAAGTGTTTGGGAGTGAACTAGCACTGCTCTCTGGAAATATTGTTTAGAAAGTGAATTGCAAATTTAGCTAGTTGGATGGGGTTGAACCTACAAGAAAGAATGTAAACTAAGGTGGAAAGTGAAGAGAGAACGTGTAAGGCGGTGGACTGAACTGATTGATTGAGCTGATGATTTTGAAAACGATGGGGAGGAAGACATCATGATTTATATGCTTTCAGATCTCAATGAATCTTTTCACTTTGATGATTGTTTGACGGTTAGAAAACGGGATAGTGTCGATCAATCAATCAATGCACGGTATTCTACTCTCCACAGGCCCATGTGCCATCAACAGCCCTATCAACATCAATTGAAGTCCAGCCATGAATATTGGGTTCTGCCCCTGAAGACAAGAGATATTTTTCTAGATCTTCAGGTACTTGGACAGCTTCCAGACGATACTCCGTCGGCCCAGAAGTCCGCATGTAGGTAGATAAGTATCCTTCACCTTCGGTAATTGTATCGATTTGTATTAGTTAAAGATCAATATCTAGATTGGGTTAGAAGAAGAGTATCCTAAATCTTAGTTCGCATAGTGGTAAACATCCAATTGTTGGTTCTACCCTAGTTAAAGCACAATATTCTGCAGCATCTTGACAACCTTTTGGTATGGGATTTTCATAGACAGCTGACGCGTCGCCCGTTTCAAGAGAACTCTACAGTTGTCGAATAGATTAACTTCTCGTTTATTCTGAAACGTGCGACCCTCGGTTCTCTCTACCGGACAGGTAGCAGAGGATCTGCAGACAAGGATTGTCAGTCCCGATCCGTCTATTCCTAGTACGTCAAGTGGATATCTTTTGGACTGCTCATTTATCACGAGTTTCAGAAGTACTTGGAGATCGAAGTGGGTCGGTATTCCTTTTTGATGCTACGCGCGCGACTTTAATGGATGTGACAAAATTAACTGGACGCGGCGCGACGCAACGACGCAACGAACGACTACGAACGACCACGTAACGATTCAATTAAATGAACTCGAGCTCTCACGTTAAGTACAAAATTAAATCAATATTTCGTATACCAGCGCTCAGCTTCGATTACTGCTTGAACCCGATGTACCATTGTTTCTGCCAATATATCAAATAGATTAGGGTCAAGCATTTCCCAACAATGAATAGAAGAATCAGTGATCTCCTTCCTAATAGACCTCTCATCCCTCCTGCCTAGGTGTATAAGATCTGGGTAGAACTTTTGTAGATTGTGTTTGACAAGTGACTAGATGTGTTCAATAGGGTTGAGGTCAGGGGAATATCTAGGTATGCCTTTGAGAATGACACCTTGGGAGATCAGCCACCTCTTTAGAGGCTGATGAGTTTTTGCATTGTCGATGATAAAAAAAAATCTCTTGATCTCCTTCTCTCTCTTGAAGTATTTGTTGCCAAAGGGTCAAGAAATATCAATTCATTTCTTTAATGAATGATTGGCTTGTAATCCCACTGGCACCACCCCATGAGTTCTCATCTGGGTAGACTGGAACAAACGTTCCATACCTATATACCACCACCCGTGAGTTCTCAGTTGAGTAGACAGGAACAAATTCCATGCCTATGTCCCATAAAGCAGCCAGTCATCATTTGACTGATTTTTCTCAGAGACAGACACTCTCGGCTCTACACAGAACTTTGTCCATTTCTTTTTTGGGTAGCGAAAAACCCAAGGCTTCCTTTTTCCACCCCCTCGCTCAATTGTAACCTCATCTCCCCATATGCATCTAGTCTTCCACATTTGTCCTGTCCACTCCCGATGTTCAATTGCCCATCCCAATCTCGCGCGATCTCCTCGTTAATTTTGAATCGATCTTGTGCGATCCATTTTCGTAGGTTGACCTCTTTTAAGTGACGTCGGATTGTCCTATCACTGACATGTGGTGCAATCTTTTCACCTATGTCCCGATAGCTTTGATGTCTATCTCTTAGAGCTTCCTTTCTTTTCCTACCCCTACCTGACGACTCCTGCCCCTGCAGCTTCCCTCTTTTGGCTGTGTAGCCTACGGTAGATAAAGGAATACCTAGAGTTACAGAGATCTCACGCATTAGAATATTAGCTCAGTGCATACCCACTATTTCACCTCTCTAGAAAGCAGTAAGGTGTTTTCCAGGTACAGGCATCGTTAGTTCGCATCACGTTGAGGTTGATGGGTCGCGTCGCATTGGGGTTCTTGCATCACAAGATCTCGTTGCGTTTTTTTTTTTTTTTGTTTAATTCATTACTCAGGGATGCATATTTGTTTGAGTAAAAGTCACATTAGTGTCTTTACACATATATCAAGAAGAAAGAACACATTACTTCAATTGCAAGCGCCTATTCGCTTTTCTTTACGCCTCGTTACAGGTTTAGAGTGAGCAGTATATTAAGAAGATGCTAGAAACGCGCGATTGCGGGAGAAGGTCGAGAATGTCGTGCTAGTAGCAGGCCTAGGGGAGACGGGGCTTCCCAGACTGCAAATTATTACGCATACTTGACGCTTCGGTACTATTTATCTCGCGAAAAGATTCTCCGCAAAGGTGGGCCCGGCCATAAAGCAGAGTGGGTCATGTGTACCCGGGTCATCGTATGCTATAGTACTGGCATCGTGCACAGATATTGATCTAGTAGCCATGTACACTCCCTGGATGCACCTTAGATCCATGAAGAACAACACTCATTACTTTCCTGCCATTCTCAATTAACTAACACCCAGCAATAAAGCTTATCATTGACAAGAAAAACTGCCAACCTGGGGTACTCCGGATCAAACGTCCACACGCGTAGACGTAGGCCCATGCCCAATTTTCCTTCCAAAGAATATATATATTCTCCGGCCCCAGACAAAGTGCCGATGCAATATAAGTCCTCGCTCGGAATATATTGGCCGATACCGAGCAGGTTTTTCTTCTCTAGGCACGCTTCATGTAAAGATCAGCGGTATTTCTTCGGGCTTGCTGTCCGCTGTCCGCTTTGTGCAGTAAATAACTCGGTTTTTATTCAAGCCTATTTGGTTCCGATCAGCCATATCATCATTATTGATTCCTGAATGCCGAGCTTTCAACACTTTTCGGCGCAGACGGGATCTAGATCCTACCAGCCTTTATCACGAGTATCAAAGTTTGCTTTGAATCGATCAGGTCTGGTGGACTGATGGAAATGCAGCACCGAAAATCTCTCAGGATTTAGTAGCTGAAAACTTGATTCTCCAATATCTTCGAAGTGACTACTGACATCAACACGTCAAACACAGCCTTTGGTGTATATTTCGCATGATTATTTGCCCGACTTTAAGGCTGCTGTGCCATTGCAGACGGGAGGGCATTTGCCGGAAATCTATCTCGCTCGAGATTGCATCTTGGCCGTGATGAAAAAAGAGAGGAGTACATGGTGTAAATAAATAAAGCTACCAATTACAAGGCCAAACGCTTTGAAGTTGCCGGATCGCTGAAGCTAGACTTCAATGGCAGCAACCGTGTTCTCAATGGCAAAAACTAGCCCCCCTAAACCTAACCTTGGCATGAGTACATGTACCTCGATCCTCAGGAGCTTTACATTACCATGTCACCATAGCAGAAAACTATTCCAAAGACCGCAATGAGCATTACGGTATTCCGGTAGCTTCTCTCCAGATGCCTCCATTGTCTGCTTAGGATTACTGCAGATCTTGAAGCTAGCAGCCATACACTGTACTTGTACTATGTTTCAAATCTTTCGTCTTCTCAGTACGGCGACATACCAAGAATGAATAGGAAAACCATCTACAGAACCTATGGAGCTACTCTCATCAAATTATTCTCTCTTGGACAGGGGTTTACAGAAAAGTCTAGCTCCCGCCATCCGCCTCTTTCACGTTCTGCGTACGTACGTGCAAACCTCAACCCGTCCTCTAGCAAGTTTCATTTCAAGCCATAGCTAATTCTCAAACCCTATTCATTCTACATAGAAGGTCAGCTAATTTACTCCATAACCACACGCCCAATTTATCCAAAAGTCCACAAATCATTAAGAACTCATAACTAAAAGAACTAGCAAAAATGCCGCTTGACCATCACTTTACCTGGCTCGGCGCCAGCCGTCATCTATGGTGCAAGAGGGAGTAGAGGGCGACCCCGTCAACCCTATACACACCACTTTGGTCAATTCCTTCATTGGCTCCGGGAAGTAAACATTGAGGGGCCTCACCTTTAACTCGACTTTATAGCTGTAAGGGCTACAATACTGAACTGGTGTGAACAGGGATGACAAGGTCGCCTTTCGCACCATAGTATATGGGCCCGCAAGCCATGACTATTGTCTCGGCGCCAGGCTCGGGCTTCGCACACAGTCGCTACCGGTTTTCCTGCCGCGTGGTCTCAACGGAAACTACGAAGATATCGAAACTGATCCCGGCGTGGGTGAATTCGCGAGAGAACAGAGCGCAGCAGTAGTTCAAGAGAGAAGTCTACGCGTAGAGAAGCGCTCCGTGCGACCTGCAGGTGAAAACGAGGAAGAAGATATGGAGAAAGAGATAAAGGAATACGAGAGACTACTCTTCGGACTTTTGGAATTCTTAAGTGGCCCGCAGACACTTAGTTACTCGGGATCGGGACTCGAGGAGTAATGCGATATTACACTAAAGCCGCGCCGGCGAACAGACATCGAGAGGCTATCAGTGCACTGATGCAGACTACCCGGTATGCTATAAGCGTATAATCGCGGGCGTTTTGCTTCCGTAAGGACATAGGCCGTGCACGTTGTGTTTCCAGGGGATTCTATGGAGGCGATTAACAGTCATTCGATGTATGGTTGCAGGTGCATAATGTGTAGAGCATGCATAAGAGGTGACATGAAGATTGTTTAATATTTTTATTGTGAGGTATATAAACTCAATATAAAAGCGACACCCTTATTGGCTAATACATTAACGAGCTCGTCCTTCTGAAATGAACTAAAAAAAAAAGAAAG